TACTACATTAAAAGTTCATTTATTGTCTTTTTAATTATTTATTATATAACATTAACTACGTCTATGTTATTATAACTGAAATCAGATCTTAATACATTTTCTTAGCTTTCAAAAACTTATACAACGTTCCATTTATTTATTTAATTACAACAATATCATTTAATATAATGCATAAGTTTAAACATAAAAAAACGTTTTAAAATAACATAAATTATTTCAACTCATTTATGGTTGTCATTGTACTTTTTGTTATGGGATCTACCATTGTATTATAATTCATTTCCATTTTATTCGTAACAACTCCCTCTGCCTACTAATTATTTAGTAACTGAGAAACGAAATGAAACTGCAAATACACAATTATATTCTTAAGCCAGTCCCAGCTGTGTTTTAAATTAGACTCGAATTCAAAGCTAAAGTATTAGTGTAAATAAATTTTTAGTATGCAACAATTACTTATTTAAGTACAGCTTTATATTTGGGTTTAATTTAACTTATTGGCGAACTACAATTTAGCACAAGTGGCAACATTGCTGTCATATGGCGCTCTTAAAATAAACTTTTTATATACTTATATCGTAATAAACTTGCAGATTTACGGTATTATTTATGTTTAGGATAAATCGGATTATTTTTATCATAGAAATGAAATAATAAGTTATTAATGTTACCAAAATATCATGATATAATTTTTTACTTTGAATCTTTTAGTGGCTAATAGTCATTATTTTTCTTTTTTATGATGAGCGATGATCTCATTGTTACATTTAACTGCAAAGTTTAAACAGATTGAAAAGGCAGTTAATATTCATTCATATTATAAAATTTTCATATTTTATATTTTATATTAATTTCAGTATTGCAACAATTGTAACTTGCGACCATCTTTGATCGTTTAGCTCTCATGCAGAACTTTTACTTCGCTAAATTGACAAAGGAAAATTTAAAAAAAATCACTTTACCGAATTGAAAAGTTTACAAAAAATTGGAGATCAGAACGTTTGAACATTATCCCCAGCACACTGCGACGTATCAAAATAACGTACAAAAGTGAAATTGAGCCAAATGGCGTCACGAAGCATCCGACACACGTTTCTGAGCACGTGCTATGAACATGTCTACAATTTCCGCGACAATTTTATATTTCATGACGTTCTGTCCGGATGTCAAACGAACCGCCAAAGATCATTATTTTTTACGTTCCACAATAATATTACCACTGCTTTCGTAAGTATTAACGAAAATTTATTTGTAATAATAAGATGTATCTATCGATGATAATAAATATACACATCTAAGTTTATTATGTAAAGATATGTACGTTTGGCATCATAATGCCGACAGTCTTTCATTTAATCGATAGAATGCTGTCCAAAGGTCGAAGTCTAAGATTTTTGATCTATGAATCGATTTCGAAGTTACGTAAATGGGACCACGCACGCCGAACCAAACCGCCGCGTTACGATTTACGATTCTTATTGCGTTTACGATTCCATTGCCGTTTTCTGTGGTTTTGGCGTTTACGTAAGCTTTTTACGTCTTCATCGGGAGTGTTTGAAGACACGAACATAGGCACAGAACGCCGTGAAATTGGCAGTGACCGGTATGACGATTTTCGAATAATACGTTCGCCTTTTTTGTTTTTTGTTTATTTTAAAGCGCCAGATGTTTCGCTTTCGTGTTGTCTTAAATCGATACATGATTCAAAATGTATAGTTAGAATGACGTAGAAGTTTTTTCACCGGTGCCAGGAACTTTATAGATAACAAGTCCTAGACGCTCTAGCTACTTACAACCGGTTTCTATCTACAGATTTGGTGACTACCGATTGGTATTTGACATTAGCTCCATAATATTTACGTCAAAATTCTATCTCCAGATCCACAGACAAATCAACAAATATAGGACGTAAGTTAAGCGGTCGTTATCCTCACCACGCGAAAATCTCGAAGTTTTATCTACTTTATTTTTATTGCATTTTTAACAATCCTTGGCGCCGTTTAGTGTGCGTTTACAGCAAACTATCATTTTTACAATAAAACGTTTTAAAACTGGAGAAACGTCGCTTTTGCTATTGAAATAAAAAAAATATTTTTACAGCCTCAGAGATTTTCGTCAATTTATCAACACATTCTTAATTTCATATTAAGTGCAGAGATTAGTAGTAAACTAAAAATTTTATTTCGTAAAAAGCGATGTTAACACTTAGCTTACTTATTTTTTCGTATGTTTTTGTATTTAGAAATGTTATGTCATAATTAGATTTATTTTATTTTTTTCACCTATTCTAGCTTCACTGACACGTCAGTGATTTTGACAATGACTCGGTAATTTTTAAATTACTCGATGCGGTTAGGGACATGAGAACATTTACTTTCTAATAATTTTCGACAATCGACACTTACTTAAATTTTATGTCATTACCTGCTATTGGTTTCCTGTATAATAGTTGCGATTGTTTGTGGTTAGTGGGGTACGAGGTGGTTGATTTTCTTTGATTTTAGAAGTTGGCAAGCAAGCAGAAGGTTCTTCTAGTTTTAATTACCACCACCCTTGGACATGACCCACAACTAACGAGAGTTTTGAGTAGCGTTGTGACCCTTTGAAATGGTGGGCCATCGCATACCTTACTTCTGGGCAAAAAGTAAAATTACAAATATTTATTATCACGCCAGTGTATTGTGAGATTTGACAGTGACTGCCGAAAACCTCATTTGACTACACAGATTGACTAAGTACGTAGTTAAATCTCCACGTGCTACGTGTCGTTTCGCATCGGATACCTATTGAATAAATTTAGGTCTCAAGCACGCGGGATGCGTCACACCCGTGCCCACTTGTGTAACAACAACACGATATCTGTAGCTTTATCATAACGTTGCGTATTCCGTTTCATTATTCGCTTGAATAAAACATGCAAATTTCCCCGAAGCGTTGGCACAGGCTATTGACAATATCAATTCGTGGCATGTAATTTAAGATATCCCCGTATTGTACAAAGAATGGAAGCGCTCTGACTGGGATGTCCGTGTTTAGTCTGTGGCTGTTTATATTTATACTATTGTCTATTGACGTCTCAACGTAAATAAATGCGATATGTGTCACTATCAAGTATCCGATCTGATCGACTCGTACGCATCGCGGCGAACGGCTTTGTTCAATATGCGAAACTAAAGTAACCAACAGAGTTGCAGTCAAGCTGCCAAATTAGGCAACGAACAGACAAAGAACTTGTCCACTATAGGACTTCGAACGACGTACTTATCGTTGTTATTCCTGCGAGAAGCTTTTCGCGATAGACAGGTCGCTTTTTGTTCGTATGACACTTTTACAGTCGCGTTTTCCTGCAGTTTCAGATTTTTAAAAACGCTCGGAAGAAAACTAATCACTAATTTAGTTCCACTATCCACAGATGTTAGTAAATCTTGTTTAAATTTGCACGCTGACTGCGCTCTTTCAAAATGCCCCAATGCAAAGATCGTAAAGTTTATTTTTCACTGGGAAGCATTCAATCGCTGCCCGCATCTGTGTGATTTAGTATTCACGATTTTGTACTGATGTGATTTTAAAAATCACTTGCACCTGAATATATAGATATTTTAACGCATTGCCTAAACGGATTTGATGTTTCATACGAACGGATAAAAATATCGCGAAGAATTTCAAGTTATTACTTTGCAAACGTATGTATGCTTAAGTTCTGTATAAAACCGAATCAATACCGGGTAACGTTAATACCGCAAGCCACAAGCCCGTTCGCGTTTATTAATTCATAACAACTGATGACAGCACAATAACTTATGAACGTAGTTTTGAGAAACGCGATGAGCCGCAAGACATCTCGCTATTGCTTTCTTAATATGCCAAGATAGATTTATGAAAACGACACGAAGAGAACCATTTCTCACCATTGCACCTTCAGTTGGAAGGATTTGTTATAACTGCATTTATTTATAGTATAATCTTAGTTGCTTTTTGCTTTTCGTTTCCAGGTATAACATTCTCCGTTTGGATTAAAAGCCGAAGCTTACGACGGAAGGTATATCTTGCTTGCTCGCACATACTAAGCGTAATAAGGACACCGCATGGAGCACTGGAATTTCGTATATGCGACGTCGGATAGAGTTACAGTCATCTCTAATAACCTTTGCCCACATAACAGGAGTTTTGAAATTCTCCTTATGGGGCTACCCGGTTCATTTCTCATCATAAAAATCAAATATAAAAAACTGCAACATAAATAAAAAAAACTAGTTTTGTTCTCTGATTCGGTGCAATGAAGTACTCGGAACAACATTGTAGATATTGCATTCAAAATGTTACGGAGTAGCGTTTGAACGGGACAGTGATAATTTAATAATTTCTCACAATACGAGTATTTAATAATTTCTCACAATATGTATATTCTATCTGTATGTATATTTCGAAGACAAAGCGTTTTAATGTATGTATGACGCATATTAAAATGCAAATGAAACTATTTATGACGGTGCACTATGCCCTAATGCCCTCCATACAAAGGACGCCTTTGCTCTGCAGTGGGACATATACAGTCTACTTTACTTTACTTTTTTACTTGGCTTTACATTTTGAACACTATGACTATTGTCACCGGATATACAATAAGCACGAAATATCAATTACAATTCACAGATTGGTCTGAAATCTATGGATCAGCGATAGTAATTCTGGTGTGGCTTTGAGAAACCTGAGAAGGCTCGCTTATATATTCCTCAAAATGTATTTTCCATGCTTTCTAATTGAAAGCATTGTTCTTTTGTACGAAAAAATTGTTGCAATAGAAACACATTTAATTAAATTAACCGCACGACGATAATCCATTTAACATGCTGTCAAAACAGCAATTTTCACAGTCCACTTCCAAGCTTACGAAAGTAATTACTTAGTTCCAATAACATTAATAAATAATAACAAACTCTAATTATCACTTCAAATGTATATATACATCAATACTATCGCATTTTTGAAATAAAAAGCTAATGGAAAGGTAATTAGTGTATTAAAATGTCCATAAGATAATATAATAATGAAATTAAAAAGAAGACTGATGATAATATTTATCGCGAAAATAATGTCGACATAAGAGGTTGAAATTTCGAATCCGGAAGAGGTGGGCTCGATTCGCGCAGCGTTGGAAAACTATTCGTCGTTTTTTAAGCACTGTAAAAATTTAAATTTATGTTCGTTTTCTCTTTTTCGCAACAGGACAACGTCTCCTCTTAGTGATTTAACCGTCAGGGCGCGAATCCGCTAGACCTGGGTTCGATTCCCGCAGCGGTGGAAAACTTTTCGTCCTTTTTAAAAATTATTTATGTTTGTTTTCTCTTTCTCGCAACAGGACAACGTCTCCTCCCGGGGAGCCGCTCGTTCGCGCCCCCGTGGGCAAGCCGAGATGCCCGCCGGCCATATCGCGGCTGCGCGTGGAGAAAGTGGAGGGCGGGCTGGCGGTGGCGGGCGTCGTGGTCGCCGCCAACTGCCAGATCGTCTTACCGATATTCGGCTTCCTGTTCATGCTCGTCGGATGTGTGCTAACAGGTAATCGTATTATAAATAAAAAATTGGAATCTCGAGGATATAACAATGGATGCGCCAAGCATGCATAAATTGCGACAAAAAAACGACTTTTATGATTGTCCCTATATAATCATAAAGAAATCTACTATTACTAAATTACTAAATTTATATTCTCTTACAATTTCTATAACCTTTTCGTTATCCATTTCGTAAAAAAAAGTAAATTAAAAATTATAATATTATGTATGTAAACATTTGGTAACATTACATTACGGGCCGCCCAGGCGTTAGAAAAGCTTTGCGCTCGCAACAGGCGATGTAAAGAGATCGTTTCGCGGTTCCAGCGGCGTCGTACCGCGGCTGCGGTGAGAACGAGGAGCCCGACCATTACGCGGCTCGTATCGCGTTCACCGGCAACTCGCGGGTGCTCGGCCCAGTCTGTATCGTGGCGGGCGCTCTTATGACCATCGCCGGTGAGTTAATTTACTCTATATTTTTTTTACATATATTCTTATTTTAAATTCCTTATTTTAAATTTTTATTTCGTTTTCGATATTCTATTTCATACTCGTAGCTAGCACGGATTGTGCTGTAATCATAAATTTCTCATTTAGCATGTGCCATGCTGCCACAACTATAAATATTATTTTATTTTATTTTTTATCCTGTGTTGTAAAAGCGTTTTACAAACATAAATTGCACGTGGACAAACAGCCAGTTCCGAGACAATATCTGTGGGCAACACAAATACTTGTTCCGTGTGGGAATCGAACCCACGACCCCCGAAACCGAAGCCAATTCCAAAAAGAAACAAAATTTATGTATTTCACTATATAAAATTTTTCTAAATATTTTAATTTAATTACTGTATTTGACATTATGTATCAGTTCAATCACCTCAAAACTTTCAATCAATATCAAAATATTCAATCAATATATAGATAATTGTTCCGGATCCGGCTGTCTACGTGCAATTGCTTTATGTAAAATCACTCTACAACAGAGTTAACATATACTTATAGTCCACAAAGGTATAATGTCTTAGCTTAGAGAATAAAGCTAATTAGGTATAAGTATGATTGTTAAATGAAAAACATAAATGAAAACAAAATCGGCCTGACCGGTGACTATGCACGATCTGTTGGACGAAACTTCTGTTTAAATTTCTAATTGTACGCGAGAGAATTTGTTGAACACATGCGAGAAATCGTTTTATCTTTACCATATCGTCGTTTCTTTTTCAGGAATTGTCCTCTGCATATTGATGCGCGCCGCCCAAAAAAGACAACGTCGGCTAGCCTTCCACTGTCCCATCCACGGAGACTTTTACCCGTTAAGCCCTCAGAACAGTAGAAAATACTCCCGTAAGTAAACAAAGGGTGGCTTCTTTGCGTAAATCTTTGCAGCGGCTTAGGCGACTTTGGGATATAGAAGGATATTTGAAGAACTGTATATCGGAAATGACGACTGTTCAAACATTTGATTGTGTCAAATTTCTATTGCTAAGATAAATAACCTACATTTTTTATCATGCAAGCGATAAAATTAATGTATGTCTGCTGAGTTGGCCCAGTAGAAACTTTTGAATGTTGTATTTTGCGTAACGTGTTTTCTTTTTAAAATAGTGAGTCATTCTGTGTCTGTCATTAATACTTTTAGGCAATTTAAATAGCATTTAATTTCACTGATTAATTCTAAACTGCAACCAAAACTCAAATTTAAGTCAAAGAAAGTTACTTATATAAATGAATTGTATGGATATTTAAGGGCAGATCATTTACATGTTTGTGAAAGCTCTCCTTACACAGAATTAATTTTTTAGCGCCGGGGAGTTCTTTTTTTTTTTTAAATAATGGAGCTCAATCTCCACGGTAACCCTTGACTTACTTAGCTATAAGCTAATACTTCTATTGCAATACAAAGCGACAAACGATCACCTCGGAGATTGTTACCGCTGCCAATTCCGCATGCCACAACAGACGCATATCATTACCGACTTTTATGACTAACTCTGGTTACCGCCAATTACCAAACGAGCTAATTCCCCGTCAACGGAATCTGCGTAGCGCCAGCGCGATCTGTTGTTTTCTTAAGTGGCGTACGTACAGGCTGTTAGTAATGGCTTCTTTCTATACAGGCAGCCCTAGAGGGCTGTGGCACTGGCTGCGCACGTGGCTGGGCCTGGTGGAGGAAGGGGAGGCGGCGCGCTGTCCCCGATCCGCAGAGCCCGCGTCCCCTGCGCGCGCTGACGCCCCCTGCCCGCCGCCTTTGCCCTTCCTAGTGCCGTCAGACTCCGTCGTGTAAGCATTACCTTCTTTTATTCTGAAGCGATGGCAACAGTTCAAAAGATGGCTGTGATCGCCTGCCATAGCACACGCAAAACCGAAAAAATAGTATTACTGGCAATTGATGTTTGGAATTGGATGGAAAATACACTGATACGCGAAAGTATATGTGATTTTATTTCACTCTAGTCTCCAGAGAGGCAGTGATAGTTTCATTCCATCCCGTAACTTGACTAATCATACGGTAATAGTCTAGCAGATGGTACTGTGATTGCTGGTGATTGCTTGTAGTTCATTCTGTTTAGCATAACAACCCAACATAACCCAGTCATGTAAGGTGCCGGGTATCTTTGAAGATTTCCCCCCGATACCAAGAAAAAAAAAAGAAAAGTTACCTCAATTGCCAGGCAAAACACGAAAGTATAATACATTACGTATGTTGATATGCAGTTAGTATGATGAATTATTTAATTTTTGTTACAGAGGGATGGCGTCGGTGTTAGGAGCTCCACTTAGTCCTGAACAAACTTTTGGCTCCATCAAGTCTTTAGCGATATCGAGGGAAGTCGCCAGCTTTCCTTTGTCACGGTCTCCTACACCGCCACCTTTAAGGTTAGTCTTTTCGTTGAAATTTTCAAAGTTTATGGAAAACTGAATTTTAATGCAATGCAACATTGATTCTAACATTACTACATTATCACATTTAATAGTGCTAAAACAACTAGAGACGTAAAATTTGTCTCTAACACACATTAATTACAAATCTTTTTTTTTTATCTGTGAACCATTTAATAATGACGCTAAATAAAAACTTAGCCTAAAGTAAACTTTTATGTTTATATAGTAACTAAGTCTACGACCAATTTCTTACTGCGACGCCAAATTTAGACATGACAGTAAATAATCGATCAAAATAATCTGTATCGCCTAGTCAACATCGTACCGTATAATATCATCATCATCATGATCATTTCACGTCGTGTGGCGCCAACGTATGAAATAAGCCACCACATCTCATTCCATGGGTGTCATAAGAGGCGACTAAGGGATATGTCAAAAACATCTAGTAGCCGCATATAGATGGCGGAATAACCATCTCGAGTTTTCAGTACCTTTAGCAAGTTGTCTGGAAAACTGTATTGATTAATCAGCTCGCCAGGCGTCGCAACTGTAGCAACACCCACCCCACCAAATACATTACTTATAACAATTGTTATTAACTATCTAAAATATTTAAATATTTATGTTGCAGCTGCCCGCCATTCAAAGAGGAATCGAAGAACCCGATCGACAGCATACCGAACGCGATAATGGCGCGGCCAGAGATCGAGCGAGGCGTCCCCGCCTTCAACTACCGCGTAGTCGAGTGCAAAATAACGACCACCGATGAAATTCACCGCAGTGCCCCAACAAGCGCCAGTGTCCACGCCAAAGACAGGCAGAGACCCAGCACAGTCGCCATCGCCATACCCGACGAGGGCAAAGGCTAACGGGTGCCTAACACGGAACAATAGACAATACATACGATCTGTTCAGTGTATTAAGGCCGACGCGAGCATAACCGTGTGTTAACGTTATATTTTACTGTTACTTTTTGTACAACTGAAATGGAATGTGCTAGGAATAGATAATACAATAATGCTGCGCATTTAAATGTGTTTGTTGAAGGCAATAAGTTGAATGTACGGTTGGTATTCATCCGAGTCACTACATCTCACACGTTTTATTCCTTAATCTGCTCAAATAATCACATTCGTCTTCCGCTGAGCTCACCACTTCACTTATCAGATTTTAAATTCGAACACATTTTAATAGTAAGTATAGATTGAAAGTGCAATTTTTATTAACTGTCAAACTATCACAAATTTTACACTGCATTTACATCATTAGTTAGTTTTTAATTGCTTAACCTTACTATATAACTACTCTGTATATAACATATTATACCAAAATATTGTATTATACTTTGAAGACGACTCACAATTCTATATCAACATATTTTTCCATTTTTTAAATACAATATATTCTTATTTAAAACTAATATTACATTACTTCGTTTTTATGCCACAAATCAAAGAAACTTTTATAGATCTTTAATGACATAAGGTTGACGGTCTGGTGAGGCTTTCTATTCTATGAAATATAAATCACAAAATTTTTTATGAATTGTTTAACTAAGGAAAAATCTTTTGAATAAATTTTGAGTCAGTTTACTGTTCCTAATTTAAATTATACCTGTACAGTTTGTAGAGTTTTCATTCATTTATTCGTTGCTCCCAATAATATAACAGGTTAATGTCAGCCGCTACACAGCAAAAATAAGCGTATAATATTTGATATTAAGTTCATTTCTTTGAAAAGTTTAAGAGCCGGCTTAGTTGATCCTAAGAACGACCTTGGCATATGATCAAATGACAATGAAGTGCTAATTAACTATGTGCGTCTCATATTCTTAATAAGGGTCAAAAAGCACGTGCGCCAGAATTAGATTCCGAATTGTGATAACCTTTTTCTTTAAATAACAAATGTTTAATGATTTGATATTTCCTAAAAGATTATATTGTCATTTTATTTTATTTTTTTTAAGATTATATTGTCATTTTATTTCCTAAAAGATTATATTGTCATTTTATTTTATTATATCGCTATTTTCTCACTTATTTAGAGATCGTAATAACAAAGTAAGCCTTCAGACGAAACGTGGAGAATACAAGCGATTAAATCACGCACTGCCACGTGTTGGAGGCTACCTTTTACTAAATTAGGGTATCTAAACCATCTTCAGCCGTTATTTTGACTATGTCAAGCGTTGTACTTGACTTACAAATATTGTTGCCAAAACCACACAACTCATCACGTCCATCAAAACTTACTATTTAACGTAATTATATATAATCGCCTAATTTTTGGTAAAGCAATCAAAAATTGTGCTCACAAAAGACAATTTAGTAGAATGAAGCGTTGAATGTAGGAAGGGAGTGTAGGCGAAAGTTTGTAGGCATATTGATAGATCATAATATATATAACTAAGTTTTTGTGATGAAGGCATTTATTGGCCAAGTTATTGAAAATTATACGGAATGTAATTTTTTATAATCCATAGTTAAGTGCCACGCCTAAGTGAATTATACTATATACTTAATTAAGCTTATTTAATATTGTTTTAGATATAAGGATAATAAGAAAATACAAGTTTGGATAAAATAAACTGTTTTATTTTTTGTACTTTTATTGTAATGCAGTATAAATTGCAGTATAAATTTTCCCAAAAATCTTTTCTCTTTTCTGAGTACCTATTTAGTCAGCTCCAAAAAAAAGTGGTAAAGTATTAGTTTTAGTTATTCTTACAGAAGCGAGCAAGCGAGCTTGTGGTGCACCTTATGTTACAAAGCTACAAAGCCTGTAGGGTTGCAGATCCGTTTCTACCTTTTAATAAAGTCGGCCCCGGATACCTCACCCACCAGATGAAATTATAACACTTCCACTTAAAGCCACTCTTCTGTGAGGTCGTGGTACTTTCCCAGACGAGTTAGCCGTGAAGCAGTAAGGACTGCTGCGCGCCCTAGACAGAAAACAAAGATTGCCTTATATTTATAACATCAATAAGAGTATTGAAGGAACATTTTCCCGCTGGAATTAGTATTTCTTAGTGTTCAATATTTTTTTTATTCAATGAGGTGGAAAATCCGCAGGACCAATGCCAATGGAAAGTCATAACAGCAGAAATATTGCGGGAGTGTTACCAATCACTGAAAGAGTGGAGTTACCGCTCACCAGATGTAATTCTCAAAAATATGTACTTTTACTTTATGATGAACCTCTGTGAAACCGACTCGGTGGCGCCGTTGCTAAACTATTGGGGTCGTGAGTTCGATTCCCACACGAAACAAGTATTTGTGTGGCCCATAGGTAATTGTTCCGGATGTGGGTGTTGTTTTCAAATAGAGAACCGAAGAAAAACCGCTTATAACATGACTCACATGTTGTGCCGACCCCGCCTAGGTAGTATGAGGGCGGATGATGATGATGACGGTCATAATGTAAGCATATTATATTCAATAAAATGTGGCAGGGGTTTATGCAACTACCCGAACAATGTTAATTACAATTCATCTCAAATTAAGTTACAAATAAATGTATTCTACAATTGTTTTTTTTTTTGTTTAGTTTTTGAACATTCCATACAACAGGCATTCGCTTTTATTCAACGAATAAATCTAATTAAAACTATAAGCGACAAATACACAATTCATCTCATAAAAATAATCCCAAAATAAAAAAATCTCTGTAAGAAACAAAAATTATTTATAAAAACAGCACAAAATCATGACTGTTGTATGGGATAATAATAATTTGATGTTATAGTGGTAACAGAAATACTATCATGTCTTACTATCATGGTTCATGAGATACAACCTGACAGACGGACAGACAGACGAACGGACAGATTGAGACAGTTGCGTCGTAAATGTTTTTTATTGTAAAACGAATGCTTTTTTTTTTTGCTGTTGCATTGTATTTTATTTCTTATCCATATGAATAGTATGATAGATAGGTTCTCTGATACTAATCATTACTTCCCAAATGATACTGTGTTTGGGACACTTTTGACTGGTGATTTCGTAGGCGTATAACATATCTATAGCATAAAATATCATTGACCTACTCAGACAGTGATGAAGAAATGAGCAAAATTGATTGGCAAACAAGCTTGTGGATCCTGGCTACCTTACCCACTAGACGAAACACAGAAGTGTTACAGTTCTACTTCACGCCGGTCTTCTGTGAAGTCGTGGTATTTACCTGGACGGCCGTGCTCATTCAGCAACAGCCAACAGTATTGCGTGGCCCTACCACAGGCTATATTAGTAGAAGAGCTAGATTACGATTAAAATGTATAAAAGAAAGAAATATATAAAAGAAATTTTTTTTTCGATACTTCACGTAAATCCATAATTATTACCACAACAACACTGACACTATGATGGACGGCATGCAGGATAGTGTGTGGGCTACATCCTGCTTTGCAGTGCTGCACGGCGGACTGCCCGGCAGGATAGTCAATGGGCCCCTTTAGATTAACGGCCAAAATGGCGTGAGGTCAGTTCCTAATCTCAATTTAATGGCATTTCAGTCTACGTTACAAATACGATATACACATGTACGCTAAAGTATGTTCAACAGATTTCTCTCTTATTTCACGTTCTTTCCAAGGAAAAATACTACAGCTTCTATAATTAAGATACATAATAGTTTGGTACACTCTTAGTAAAGCCAGAATAAAGATTTTACTATCAATATTTTATCTGTTTTTAACAAGTAGCTCGGTAACGATACTAAAATAATACAAAAATATAAAAACATTAATTATGCATTTGCCTGCTTAGATAATATATAACTTTCGCACTGGCAGTCTAAATCGGAACTCGGAACGTTACTCTGTGTTACATGCATATGGCAGCCATCTTGAAATAAAATTCACAATGGAAATAAGTATCATTTCATTTTAATTGTTTTCGCCAATAATAAACAAAAACGTAAACATTAAAACTAACGTAAAAAAAATTCAAGTTTATAGGTGGCTACTTAATAAAATATAATTGATTCAGGACAAATTTAAAATAAAAAAAGATTTCATTTGCCAATAAAGCAAATCAGCTGTTATCCGTCAATCGATGTCAACAAAATTACGTAATTTTGTTTAGAAAAACAGTGAAGTCTTTATTTTTGAATGTCATTTAGGAATTTGCAAACATTATGGTTAAACTAAATTTTTCATAATTTAAATCTTTCAAGTAAATGTCCCTCCAAAAACTGATGGTTTTAACGAATCATTGCTGACCTTTTTGTATGATGTAGGCATTATTATCAGTTATGGATAATAAAAGTATAATAGAGAGTGCCGGATTTTACTTTATTCATAATTTTGACTCGGGGAATCTAGGTCACGTTGAGCAAGTTCCCAGAGAACTTATTGGTAAGTCTTCCAAAATATTATTTCCAAGCTCAGCTTGTCAATAATTTGCTGTTTCTTCAGAAATTATTTATATTATATTTTATAACATAATATTTTTCATTTAAAACTAAAATAAACATGTATTATTAAATGAATATGACAATTAGAAGGAGTTTTAATCTTATAGTGTACTTTTTCTGAAGTGGTAATATCACTATATTAAAAGTTAATTTACACACCATTATTACTAATTATGGAACTTTTCAGCACCTGGTGTCAACTTCAAGACAAATGCTTCAGAAATACCTGATTATGAGTTTAATCTATGGACAAGACCAGATTGTGCTGGGACTGAATTTGAAAATGGAAATAGAACTTGGTTTTATTTTGGAGTACAAGCAAGTGAACTTGGAGTATTGGTAAAAGATTATTTTCACATATGTTGTAAAAATTAAGATTATAATGTAAAGTTTAATTTATAAACAGACATTAGTTAGTAGACTTGTTTACATACCACTCTGTAAAATTAAGATAATTGCTTGTGGATTGTAGTAGAACATTTTGGCCAGATGTTAAAAAATTTGCAAATACTATTAAGTTTTGTGTACATTTTGATGTAATAAATTAAAGTCTAAATTTTATTTATACAGGTGCGACTTAACTTAATAAACCTTAACAAACAGGGGAAAATGTATAATCAGGGCATGGCACCTGTTACGAGGACATTACCTGGTAAGCCTCAATGGGAAAGAATAAAGGATCGCCCTGTTCATTCCGTAAGTATTTTTACAACACTTAAGTAAGTATGGTTAAAGTATAATTATAGTAAAAGTTTGTAAAGTATTTTGTTCATATGGAGTGGATGCAATAGCTATAAGATGCTATCTAAATTCCACTGAGTGTATTTGTATTAGCAATAATACACACAAAGGATAAACAGCACAGGGTTAGTTGAACATTCATCCAATTAGGTGCTATGTGATTCTACCAATTGTCTGTAGGATCACATAATGAGCTAGTACTCTTTCTACAGAGGAAACCGTTGTGGAATACATAATATATGGGCTGCTACTTTACTTTCACCAAATTTTCATAGGTTGACTGTAATCGATATAGTTTTTATTTAATATGTTTTTTCACTATATATACCTGTTGAAGAGTAATAAATATCTCCTTCCAATTAATATTTGTTTCCTGTTCTTTTAAACATACTAGATTAAATACTCATCACTAATTCAGTGTGATAAATGTTGTGATCCTCTCAGATTATCAAAATATTAAAACAATATATTGGCAATTATTAATACTATTCAAAGACAAATAATTTAATGACTTAATATTTCTTGCATAGGCATTGAGATTGAGTAATGATAAATATTTATATACTTGTTTAACACACAAAAAAGTTTTTTTCTACATACAAGGCCTATGATATCTCTGATTCCGAGACTTTGTTAAAATTATTAGTAACAACTAACATATTTAGCTAAAGTAATTTGAATATCCACCTTCATATAAGCTTACATACATAGGATTGGATTAACTTATTATGTAAAGAATGATATGATTTAAGAATTTATGTTAGTCCACGATTAACAGTGAATTTGGACGTCTAACGTCTAGATTCGGCTCATGGCTAAATTAATGGGACTGCACTCAATGAAGTTCAAGGCAAACATGATAGTACCATTAAAATTTATGTGATAAAGCATTTATTAAATTAAAAAAAAAGTTATTTCTTCTAACGTTTCGCCTCGTTTATCCAGACGGACGACAACACGTTCACGCTGAGCTTCAAGTACCGCACGTCCGAGAATCCGAAGGCGACGACCTTCTTCGCGTTCACCTATCCGTACTCCTTCGCTGAGCTGCAGATCGCTCTGAACACGATAGACCTGAAGATGCTTCCGTTGCCGCCGCCGCAGTCCCCCGACGATATCTACTACTGCCGAGAGTGCCTCATTTACTCCCTGGAAGGTGAACATGATTTAGTGACGGTCACGAAGGTGCCGTGGTAGATTAATATCCGTGAGCTTGCTTTTAAGTCGGCATATTATAGTAATCAGTGTTCAAACCCTTAGATCGCCACTGACGCAATTGTCTATTACAATTTTTTAGTGCTGTTGACTATGTCACGTGCTATATTGGAATCTGTTAAAAAGGTTTATATCACTCTTAGAAACTATATCTTCGTTATAAAAAACACTGTTAAAAATTAATATTGGAGTGCTTTATGACTAAAAGTCTAAAAAATCGTATTAGATTTCTTAGTCAAGATGCAGTTTCTTAGTCAATCTTATTATTAATGTCAAATATGAAATACCTATAATGTCAAATCTGAAATACCTTTGTAGGAAGACGAGTGGATCTTTTAACGATATCATCGCATCACGGAATTACAACGGAGAGGGAAGAAAGGTTGAAGAATCTGTTTCCCGACACCCAGGAGAGGCCATTCAAATTCCAAAACAAAAAGGTACAATAAACATTACATCTTCTCCAAACCAATCACAACCAAACCGAATCCTACAAATCGACTTTACAAGTTGACTCCCCCAAACCGGATCCTACAAACCGACTCCCCCAAACTGACTCCCCCTAACTGACTCCCCCAAACTGACTCCTCCAAAAAGACTCCTCCAAAAAGACTCTCCCGAACCGACTCCCCCTAATCGAATCCTCCAAACCGACTCCCCCAAACCGAGTCCTCCAAAAAGACTCCACCGAACCGACTCCCCCAAACCAATTGTATACCTGCCCATTTATCACTATTTCATACGCTCCTTTCAGGTGATCTTCATATCGGCGCGCGTCCACCCAGGCGAGACGCCCTCGAGCTTCGTGTTCAACGGCTTCCTCAACCTGCTGCTGACGAGGGCCGACCCCGTAGCGGTGCAGCTACGCAAGAGCTACGTGTTCAAGATGGTCCCGTTCCTCAACCCGGACGGCGTAGCGCGCGGCCACTACCGGACCGACACGAGGGGCGTCAACTTGAACAGGGTCTATTTGAACCCCTCCCTCGTCCTCCATCCAACAGTGTACGCGTCCAGAGCACTCATCAGGTATGCACGAATGAACGGGTCTGAGTGTAACTTGCGTCGAAGATAGCTCGTACGCTATCATTACATTCCCTATGTGTAACAACAGGTCATAGTCATGTTACCGCAAAATGTTTAATATTTTAAATAAAACCTATTTGTATTAACAAAAGTTGAAATAAACATCATCTTGTTTTAAGTAAATAATATGTATATGTATTAATTATTTTTATACGTCGTATTTGAAACGGACTTGTCCGTCACGGACGATGGACAGGTATAAGCAATGTTTAGACGTGTGTTTGATGAATGAAAATATTTACAATCCTAAATATATGCTCTATTTATCATGTTGACGCGATCTTTCGGTGCTTCGAAATCGACTTGATGGCCCAGCTAATATAGTAGCACCAGATAGAGCAACTATTAGCTGAATCTAATCATATAAAAATGTACGCTTTTGTCGGTACTACGGTACCCGTGGGCCGCAAAGGAGGGTAATGTGTTTATTAGGTTATGAATGCCAGCTTTTTTTTCTTTTATGACGCTCTTGAGATAAAATGCACGAGTCGATTTTACTTACTTGACAGTAATTATCAACTGTCAAGTGTCACTAAAAAGTTTACGAAAATTGAATATGTAGTAGACGTAGTAGAGTATGCGACTTAGGCACCATATTGTGAAAAGTCATAACTGGGAATAGAATAATGTTCCATTCAAAAGACATAGGGACTTTCCAACAATTATAGGTGTTACACAGTAGGGTTCCTTAATTTTGAATACATGATTTTAATGAAATAAATCAGTTTTTCTTACAAAAAAAATATTTTGTACAGGTATGATAATTATTTTTGTATGTACTTGGCAGGTACTACCACTTCGGCTGCGAGAAGGAAGACTTCTACGAAGACACCACCCTTACATCAAGAAGTATGCAGAATATAAGCGAGAACACCGAGGTATAACATGCGTTTGTAAGAAAAACGACGACTGAATTAACTAAGCTTTTGGGTTTGCAAATTCATATTCGAATATATTTATTCAACACAAGAGCTTTACACTCACTTATTGATAGGCAGAACACTCCCAACGGTTAGGAAAAGAAAAGCTACCGACCTGAGAAGAACCGGCGAAAGAAACTCGGCGGCCAATTTTTAATGGACCCTAGCATGTTCGATTATTTCTATTGAGAGAAGTGCACAGTGCATTTTTTTAATTATGCATAGAAAATACATTAAGTCAATAACAACAACAACACGCAACTACAATGCAACTACAATGTGCAATTAATTATGGTCGAATTTGGACAATTCGGCGACCACTAGTAATTATTAATATATTATTACTATACATTATAGTAATAATAATTATTAGTGGTCGCCCTGTCATATTAAAGAACGACTTTCAGGTGGAGAAAGTGAAGAAGAAGAAGGGAGTTTACAAGAGCAGCGAAAACCTGAAGAGGGAGAAGCCGCTGAAGTCGGCGAACAAGGCTTCTGGCACCGCGAAGTGCAGCGCCCCCACGAAGGACGCCAATACGATGAGCGGGGAGGCTTTGGCCGATCAGGTAAGAACCACACGTGATATGGAACAATTCGGTGTTGTATAGGATAAAATGCCGAAGACTACACGGTCACAACAACCGGAAGGAACAATCATAATTATTCCTTTTTATGGTTCCGTACCCAAAGGGTGAAAGCCCAAAAGGACACTATTAATAATACTCGGCTGTCTGTCTGTCTGCCCGTCTGTCACCAGGCTGTATCTCATGAACCATGATAGACAGTTGAAATTTTCACATAATTATGTAATTCTGTTTAAGCGGGTCCTATACACTAGACATGATTTTTTTAGACAAGAGTACGGAACCATTGTGCGATCGACAGGCAAAATATGATACTTCCACTTCGAGCAGGTCTTCTGTGTGGCACCGGCACTTAAAAAGACAAGCCCACACCTTTCTTAAATAGCAGAGTAGAGATGGTGCGTATTTACGTTAGCAGGTATTGATACCAGGTATTTACATGCAAGTATACCAACCAGGTACCGACCCGAAATACTTGCAAGACTTGAAAGTATTTTTCCATTAAAGTATACGAGCACTTCAAAGTAAGTATTACTACGTCGATCGAACTCGAACGTCGAACGAACCGAACGTGCGCCATTTTTTACGTATTTTGAATCTTTTTCAAAATATTTATTTTTTTTAATATTTTGAATCTTATTTGTACTGTAATAAGGTTTAAACTTGCAAGGAAACAAGTATTTGGGTCGTTGCGTTGGACAAAAATTACTTTGAAAGTATTTTGATACCTGGTTTCTGTACCTGTTATGAGAAGGTGGACGTACTTTTAAGACCTGGTACGCGATTTTGGCAAGTATAACCCATCCCCATAGCAGTGGTTTCTCCGTAACAATTTACATGTTCTGTGCTAATGCCGTTCATTCATTCAACAACTTAATGGATTACAAAAAAAATTATCCTGTGTATAAATCGAAATAAAGCGTGATTAAATCAATAATTTATTTAACAAGTAATAGTATTCGTTTAAACGCGAGACACATTTTATTACACAATAAAAAAATCTGTATACAATACAAAGAGCAAGTCATTGTTCGATTAGTAATGCGCTTTTTTAATTAAATCTGCGTAAATGTCAAGTGGGACTTGGCGTAATTAGTAATATGAGTGGTGTTATGGAAATGCCGAAATGAATTATCTTTATCTATAAGGACACTTATCGATAGTCTGTCATTGCGGCTGTATGGAAAATGTTATTTTTAAGTTTTTTTTTTTTAACTGAACGACAATTTGTTAATTAATGTTTAAGTCTAGCGTGTGAGGGCGAAGTGATAAGTCTGGTAAAAATCAAACAAGAAGTAAACTTTAGAAATTTGTAGGAAAATTCACAAAGTTTTTCGTTGCGGGAATCGAACCCAAAAATACTGTTTATATTAAATTTATTTTTCACTGTAGTTCGTATTCTTGTTTTCACGCCGAAACTACTAGACGGATTTAAAGGGTTCTTAAAGGGGATAGATATGTATTTAAGGGCTTCGACGCGAGCGAAAAGCCAGTTTCACTATAAGAAAAATCCTAATGGCTCGTACGTCTCGCCAATCGGCAGGTGTACGACATGAAGCTGCAGGAGGGGGCCGGCCGCAGCGAGCGGGTCGAGAGGGGGGCGGAGGGGGGCGGCGGTCGCGGCGAGAGGGGCGCGGAGGGGGGCGCGTCGCTGCTGAGCGCGGAGGTGCTGCGCTCGTGCCTCGGCTCGTCGGCGCACCTGAGCGCCAGCGGCGAGCTGCGGCTGCAGGGCGGCAACCCGCTGGCGCCCCTGCGCGACGCCCTCAAGGACAGCATCGGCCTGCTCATGGACGGCGCCTCGGTGGCGGGGTCGGTGACCCCTTATGTGTGCATCCCGCTCGATTTCAAGTGGCCATTTTGATGGGCGCGCCGTAAAACCTCCTCACTGTCGCCTAGGGTTGCCACCTGTATAATATAGTGTCGTACTATATTTTGTCCAACAATTGTACTATATAGTATACTAAAATATTAAAGTAAGAAAAGTTCTATATTTACACTGCTAATTAAACTGTCGGACTTTTTTTTATATTAACTGTAAATTGGAACATATTTACAGCGTAGCGTAGGCGATTTCAGAACGCAATTAAAGATGTTGATCTGTTGTTTTTTTCGTTGTAAACGTCAGTTGTCCTAGCAACTAAACATCATTTTTCGCTTAATGCCGCCTGATTTTCGAGTTGTTCGAATATTTAATGTATTGAACAAAGTCTCCATTTATAAAATTGTTAAAGAACGAAATGAAATTACGAAACAATCAAGAAATCACCGTTCGCGTAACATCACACTTTTCGTACGCCGATCACACTTTTCGTAACGCTCCAGTCACGCTTTCACCAGCTTACTCCCAAAGTCAAGCGTGCATAAAGAATTTTTTTTTTTTCAAAGAAAATTTCAACAAATCCGCAGTGTTTCCGTGTGGTGGGCCATCGCCTAAGTCCCTTTGTACAGAGAAAGCCTTTGTCCAGCAGTGGAACATATAGCCATTTACTTTTAGCAACTTATTTCCTTCAGGGACAGCCTGGATGGGTGCACGTGCAACATCAAAGTGGGCTGGTGCGAGGAGTGCCGTCGCGCTGCCAACCGGCTGGAGATCAGCTCTCCGGGCGTGGCAGCCAGCGCGCCAGCCTATGCCACGGTGAGCACAACCACCAACTCCGATTGGCGTAGTGGGTAGGGAACCTACCTCTTGCGCCAGAGGGTGTGGGTTCGATCCCCACTACTGTAAATATTGTGTTATGAACATAGTATTTTTCCAGTGTCTTTGTCTATATATTATGTATAATGTATTATGTATTAATTTACAAAAGAAAACTATTTTTATTAATTATCTAGTATCTATAGTAGTGTTGCATACGACTGGGGAATGTTGTGTAAAAATGTGTCCTACTTTTATTAAATTACTATTGTATACTTAAACCAACACGGGCTATTGCGCCTTCCAGTGCCGATTGTGTAGCGGTTAGCTAGTCTGTACCCAGTGCCCCCGGCACTGTGGGTTCGATCCCCGCCACTGGAAAAATGATGCGTGTTAAACATGACGTTTTTGTTGGTCATCAATTTTGTCTGGATGTTCGAATATCTATAAAGAACGTGGATGTCATGATGTTCGCGCCGTGAGGTCGTCGGCCGCTTAGCTCAGTTGATAGAGCGTGTGGGCGCGAAACCAGAAGACGCGGGTTCGAATCCCGCAGCGCCGAACGTTATTTTTTCCTTTATCTAGAAAAAATGCAATTTAAAATATCTGTCCTATGTTTGTAACAAAATAAAAGTATGCTCATCAAGTACCCAATAACCATAGTATAAGCTTCGATTATTTTGGAACAGAATAATGCTGTTTAGCAATATGTATACACGAGTACATAGCGATTACTATTAAGACTTAGTAGGAAATCACTTAAGCCGTAATTACCTTTGATGGCAGCATGCACATTTTAAGGAATTCAAAAATCATTCCGTTGCTCCCTTCCCATCCTCAAGCTTCCCAAATTACTTGTCCCGTTCAGCACCGTTCCGGGAGTCCTACCTTCAGCACCATCGAGGAGTATAGACAACATCAGATAAAAGAGTTTGACAAGCAAGAACGTAAGGTAACGAACAAATTCCGTCATCACTATCGAGAATATGGTTTATCAACATTAATCGGCAACTTATGTAAAACATATAGAAAGTTCATATGCATTCTCATTCTGAAATAGTATTTTTTTTTTAATATTTCTCCACAGTTGAATAGAAAATTTCGTATTTCATGTAACTATCTGAACTTAAACCATATCAAGAATTTCGAACAAACCTATAATAGTTCATTGAATTAATTATAATCGTATGGTACCGTAGGTAGTGAAATTCATAAACCCAGCACAATTTTCTGTTTCGCCGTTGCCGCCCTAACCTGTGTAAATCCACAAGATGTTTTTAGGTTTCTAAACTGAGGATTTGGCAATACCAAATTTTATAGTCATACAGCGTGTCGTTACCACCGCGACAATAAATGAACACACATATACAGGATAACTTTTTAAAATTGTATTAAACATTAACATTCTTTAGACATCAATATTTACCGAGTTATTAAATTTTCCAAAACAAACAATTTTAGAACACCCTTACGTATAAAACTGTAACGTAAAGTTCATTTGTAAAGGTCACAAAGCATATGAATGGGTTGAATGAATTTAAAAGAGACAAAACATACTGTTAGAAGGAGAGCCTTATATTGTGACGGTGTGGCGCGAGTTGTATAGGTGTTACAAATTTTGTTTCTTTTTTACTTAATTAGTTTGTTTGAAAAATTTTTTTTTTTTTAATTATGGATTTTGTTTAACGTTAATATTTTTTTATGATTATTGGCAAGTAGCGTTAGACGTGTGTTCATTTATTGTCGCGATGGTAACGACACGCTGTATACTATAATTTTAAAACCAGTGTCGAAGTCTTTTCTGTACCTATAGACTGAGTTCTGTACAGTTAATTAGTATAATTTCAAATGAGCATTAAAGTTTTCTCGCGCCCTACGCCTCTGTCATCTATGGAGTGTAGAGGTAAGTAGGACAATCTATAAGGACGTAAGTTGAAAATATATTCAGAGATAAGTGGTAAATAACATTCATAAACCCACGAAATGGCACTAGCTTAGGGGCCGTCTAACCTCACCACGTATCACCAATGGCATATAATATAACCCTTAGCAGAGGTGTATGATTATCTACCCATCCCAGTAGAATTTTAGTAGCGAGTAACCATAGTAACTATTAATTCACCACAAATGCTAGTACCCACCTGCTAACCACCAGCCTGCTGTGAGTGAGGTAGCCGGGGCCCACTTTCAAAGAATGTCAACCCATCTGCAAGCCCCCAACTGTTGTACAACTTGTGAACTGCCTATTGACAACTTCACTATTCACTTCATGGTATAAATCAAAGCCGTCCTGTCTGTCTGACCTTATGTATTCTTAGATCTTTAAAACTACGCAACGGATCTTGATGCGGTTTTCTTTACTAGATAGAGTGATTCATGAGGAAGGTTTATATGTATAATACATTGCACCCGTGCGAAGCTGGGGCGGGGCGCTAGTATTACATAGAAGAGAAAATCCTCCGCGCTGTTACCGACGCCATTTTGTTTTAAAATTTCAACAGCTACAAGACACGGAGCCGTCGCCCGAAGACGGGTCCGTTTACTTCTGCACGAACTGCTTCAAGCGATACATACCATCAGAACAGAGCGAGGAGATTGTAAGTATAAATAAAACATATGCAGGGTGATTTTTAGACGAAATACATACATACGTCTGCTCGCTATGGCAACTTTTCACATAAAAAAAAAACGATATTTTTGATTTTAAATATCGATATTTTAGCCGATATATTTGGATCCGATATATCGATATAAAATATTCAATATCGAAATCATATCAAAAACGATATTTTTTTCAAATTCGAATCTGGCACAAAATCCGGAGATGTCATATATTTATTACTTGTAATACCTTTTTTTTTTTTTGACAACTGGTCCTAAACAGAAAATTCCGGCACCGTATCTGCGTCCCTCTAGTGTTGTCGCCACGGGCGGCGCTAATCACTTAACATCAGGTGAACCGCCTGCTCGTTTGCGGTTTGTACCGCAGGTTGTAGTAACACGGACTGGTTTAACGGTGATTTTGTTTTTTTTTTTTGGTTATTTCCAGCAGCTGATAGGCGCTTGTTCTACGGCCAGTGTTGCCGTGTCGGCAGGCAATGGTGACGGACCTTCGCCGGAGACTCCCATTACGGTTCGTAAATCGTGATTATTTTTAATGTTACCAGAATTAGTAATTCGTATATACATTGCCCTGCGGTTTCAAATAAACCGTACAGCATAATCTAAGCTGTACCGTTTTTAATCACGAAAAGAGCATTATATATTATACTAGCTGTGCCCGCGACTTCGTCCCCGTGGAGTTTAAAAATAAATAAAATTTCTAAAATTATTTGCCCAAGTTACACCTTACATGACCTATTTGCCAGTGAATGTCCGTCAAAATCGGTCCAGCCATTTCAGTGATTAGCCGGAACAAACAGACGGACAGACAAACAAAAATTATAAAAAATGTTATTTTGGTATATGTACCGTGTATACATCCATAAACATTTAGTGAAAGGTTATTTTAATATTACAAACGGAACACTCCAATTTTATTTATCTGTATAGATAATTCAAATATCATTTAAAAAAGAATTCAGTGGTGGTTCACCTGATTTTTAGTGGTGACCGCCACCCATTGACATCTGCCACGCCCGTTGGGTTACAAATGCTACCCCGGACGGACCTGCCCATTCATGCAACAGCGACCTGTTCCGTGGCCCTCATCATATCGTTTGATGGACATAAATCTTTTGGTTATATTCAAACTTTTCAGTAACTCGAAAAATCTAATTTGGCGCGTAACCGCACCGATGCAAAGCGATAACCGCATCTCAGTCTTGTTTAAGCGTGCACTTCATTTTTAACCAGCTTTCAAATAAAAAAGAATCATCAAAATCGCTTCATTCAGCCACAAGTTCTGAGGTAACAACTATAAAAAGAAATACAGTCGAATTGAGAGCTTCCTCCTTTTTTGAAGTCAGTTTAAAAATAGATTATTTTTAAAAGTAATTCGAAACAGTGCACACTTACTTTCGTAAAACGTTCGAAATTCGAATTCAATAAGTATTTTCGTGGCCAGTATTATTTTCGCGACGGAACTTATTTCCCGACTGGGTATCGAACCTCGATCCATGCCTTTTGTTCCACAGCTCGTCGACCTGCAGCCGCCGCCGAAGGAGAAAGCTAAGTCGGCGGGGTGCAAACAGCCGCGCAAGAAGACGAACACGCAAGCGAGCGGCTCCCACGGGAACTCCGCCCACAGGGACCTCGAATCCGGATTATTCCTATACATAGATCTGCACGGACACGCCTCTAAGAAAGGTATACTAGCGACTAATATATACTATAAGAAAGGTTTCGCACGGGTGCGATATACATACTAATGTGGGGGTAGTGTGAAGTGATTAATAATATTAAGGTTATGATTAGTTTATACTCAGGATATATTTATATAAAATATTTACAACTGTTTTTCCATGTGATGTTTATTACTACATCACATTATAGATCTTTCAATTTCTCGGCTTTTACTATATAATATAAATCTTTCTCCAGAATCACTCTACTTCTGAAAACTGCGTTAAAATCCGTTGCCTAGTGTAAAAGATGTAAGCGTACAAACAGCGGGAGCGATTTTGTTTCATACTATGTAAGGTTTATATTATTGCATAATATGTGTATTGTAATTATTATTTGTACACCATTTGGGATCACTTCCGAATCATAGGTCTGCGTTGGCGTAACATTTCCATTGGAGAGAAAACCGCAACCCGCCGCAATATCACACTTTTCTTCCAGTACGCAGCGACAGGCTTAAGTTGAAGGTTTTAAAGAGATGAGATCGTGTATTCTGCGGTTCTCGTTGCAGGCATCTTCATGTACGGCAACCACTTCGAGGACGTGGAGAGCTCGGTGGAGTGCATGCTGCTGCCGCGGATCATGTCCCTGAACAATCTTCACTTCCACTTTTCGTCGTGCAACTTCACCGAGAGGAATATGTATCTGAAGTCAGTTCCCCTTCTCCTGCCTTCATTCCAACTAGGCGGTGCTAGGTGTTCTACGAGCAGTCTGACGGCTGCCTGTCGTCAACCCTCCTAGGGAACACTGAGAACCGGAACAATTATATGTGGGCGCGCAAACAATTGTCTCGCGTGGGAATCGAACCCATGATCTCTAGTGCAGTAAGCCAATGGCATAGCACTGTGCCAACGAGTCGCCATGTTCCGAAAAGGACTGGACATGTATCGAAATCAATTAAAAACTTTACGTGCAGGACCATACACGTAAAATATTAAAACTTCTCAGATAAATCGAATATGCCAAACAATGTATAGCTCTCTTTCTCTCTCTCCCCACCTTATATCTTTCATCTCTCTCATGTAACAAAATGTGCCTAAACGAGGCGCATCTTGTAACTTCTCTTTCAACGCTCGTACAATTCCTCATGGATGGTTCCTCCGTGATGGACCCTGCATCTCAATAAATGGCCCGTGGACAACGATATTATATATTATATATACAAATACGGGGTAGATACGACACTGCCGCACCGAAACTGACACTCAACGCCAATTGGTATAATCAAATTGCAATTCTATAGACCACTATCTCTTTCCATATTTTTTATGTTAGAAAGTCGCATATGAGCTGGCAGTTCACTTGATGTTAAGTGCTAACCGCTGCCCTTGGACATTTGCAACATTCGTAGGGTTGCAAATACGTTGCCACCTTTAAATAAAGTGAGCCCCGGCTACCTCACTCATCAGACGAAACGCAGAAGTGTAACACTACTACTTCACGCCGGTCTCCTGTGAGGTCGTGGTACTAACCCGGATGGACCTGCCCATTCGTGCAACGGCGAATACTGTTGCACTACTACAGTTATATCACAAGTTCTACATCATCTGTCACATTCACTCATACGCGTCACACAATGTAGAGCGGATCAATTTCCGAACGGCGCGCAGTATCGACACGCGTGATCTGTATTATTTTTTTCTATGTGAAAAGTTGCCAAGCGGGTGGTTCACCTGATGTTAAGTGAATACCGCCGCCCATGGGCATCTGCCACACCCAAGGGTTGCAGATGCGTTGACAACCTTTTGAAAATTGGGCTCCGGACTGCGGCCACCTCGCTCACCAGACGAAACGCGGAAGTGTTGTACTTCCACTTTACGCCGGTCTTCTGTGAGGTCGTGGTACTTACCGTTACTCGTGCTGCGGGCTTAGGGACCGTCGCGACGGCATGTCGCGCGAGGGCTCGGGCCGCGTGGCCGTGCTCAAGGCGACCGGCCTCGTGCGCTCCTACACGCTCGAGTGCAACTACAACACGGGCCGCCTCGTCAACGTGCTGCCGCCGCCGCTGCGCGACTGCGCCGCCCCGCCCGCGCCGCAACACCACGCCCCGCACCCGCCCAAGTACACGCCGCACATTTTCGAAGAGGTAAACTTTAGCCTTTCCCTTTTAGCCCCTTCCATTACACCTACACTTCACCCCTTCTCCTGCATCTTACACTTCCCCGTTATCCACTCCCCTTTACCTCTCCCATTCACCTAAAACCGCCCCTTTACCACTCCCCTTCATCTGACACATCCCCTTTACCCACTACCTTTCACCACTTCTCCCCCTCCTCCCATTCACCCAACACCTCCCCTTTAGCCCCTTTCCTCCCACCTACACTTTAACCCCTCCCCTTAATTCTCCACCTTCACCATACACAATCCCTTAAGCCCTTAACACACCTAAACTCGTCTCCTAGTAGTCCTCTAGACGGGAAATTGTTTTCGGTTGTGAGATAACACCAGCACAGGTATCTCTGATGTTTGTGAGCGGTATTTAAATTTTCGTAGTAGTGGGAAAACTTAAGATGTTTAAGGAAGCTGCCCCTGAGTTATCAATACGCGCTCACTCGATAGAGTGACATCGTAAAAACCTACATAATTGCATAAATACTAACTGTTGCATCTGACTCAAAGGACCTTTAAGTTTTAACGGATATTGTGAATTTAAATTTATTACCTGCCATAATTACTGTTTCTTATTGAAAAAAATCATATTGTGTATCAAAGACACTCAATTGCGTGATTATAAATTTTGTATTTCTTAAATCATAGTAATTAAAATAGTAACAGTAAGTTAGTTGTGCTGTTTTAAACTTAGGTCGATTTTAAATGAATTATTTTTTTTTACTCAATATAATTTGAGGTTTCATTTCAATAGATACTATCTGGTATTAAGAGGTTCACAATGTCTTTACTTACATTAATCAATGTAACTTATTCAAACCTGTAAGAAAAAAAAACAGCACTATATTGTCTTTTTTGTACTCTTCATTTACTATAATCTTAAAGAAAGAATACGAATTCATCATGTTTGAATATATGAATAAACGAATTCTCGAGTTCAGGCTTTCTCGTAATGTCTTTCGAAAATATATCTAAAGCATATTTTAGAGGTGATCAACGTTTCAGGTAAGGCACAGCCGCAGTAGGAATCTGGAGATTTTCAAAGAGATAGACCCACTGAAGGTTTGTTCCCATTGACACGTAATTCAACGCCACCTCATATTAAAGTCACGTAGTTTGCTACCACGTATCACCATACGGCCACTTGTATGCTCGAGTTTGGCACAAGTAGAATTGAGTATTTCGGTATATACAGTAGTTTGTATTATTGCAAGATTTGCCTCTTTCAAAACCTCCAGAGACGCCACACTGCGGCTTTAAAGCACTACAAGTTAAACACAAGTTGTGTAAATAATTGAAGAATAGGTACATTAGAAAGATAAGGAATATAAATATAAGGAATTATTATCAATTTAAATATGATTATCAAAAAAAGGCCAAGGATTAAATCATAAATAATAAGTGTTATCTAAGTCCAACACGTACACAGTAAAAGAAAAGTGATCTTTTCATATGAGCTGTTCTTTAATTGAGCCACAACATATCTTGTGTGGTACAATTACCTCTATATTTTAGTCATTTACCAATGAATATTAAGAAAAATTTAAACTTGGCTTTAATTTTTCTACTGTGCTACATATAAAACTCGCAAACCGCACAATAGGCTACTTGATTCATATGAAATTTGACACTCTAAATGAGTATTTCATGCAGTGTTAGATACAAATACCGAAATATATATTAGATATATTATATATTAGATTTCAGTTAATAAAAGTACAAGATGACTGCACAATTTCAATTCAATAATTGCTACTTTTATTTTTTCTTCTAAACGATGAAAACGCTAGCGGCCATGATGTGACGTCACACCGTTGTTAACGATACTCTAAGCGTGTGGTTATTTTCAAAATGTCAATGATTGTTTACAATACGAATGACGTCAAAACACAGATAATGTATAAACTAACATGGCGGACGCCGTTTTCGCCTGTTTAGGAAAACTTCATTTTTAAAATACAGTTGTAGGTCCCAAAAGCATATGGTAATATTTTTTTATCTAATCAAAAGCAGGCTGATTCATCATTTGAGACATACTTTAAAAAAGTCAAGTAGCCTATTGAGAGAGTTGAGACGTGTACATAACTTAGCGTACTAAATAGAAAGAATTAGAATTATTAAGGGTCCATAACATAAGGAAGAATAATTTGTGACCATAGTGAAAGAATACTGTGGACGTGCAGTAACGAGTCTTTTGTGTGTAGGTGGGCCGCTCGTTGGGCGCGTCGATCCTGGACCTGACGGGACAGCATCCCAACTCGCGGATCCCGTGTTCTGAACACCGAACCTTGGCGGCGCTGCGCGAGTGGCTGCGGACGCACACGCGGACTATGCGGCCACAGGTATGTCTCCATCTCACAGGTATCTCTTTACACTCAATCATTTTAACTCTCTCATTCAAGCACACACACACACTCACTCTCTTATTTATAACTCACAAATTAAAGTACGTTTTAATTATTTTAGTAATGATGTCTAATAGCTAAGCTTTCTCTGAACTTGTGTTTGGAGTCTTAATTTATTTTATTTTATTATATATTTGTCTATGATAATTCTTAACACCTTTTATTTAACATAATTATCTTCCTTTCTTTTATAACACGTGTCTTTAATTTTCAGTGTTTACCCCCATAAATAATCAACCAGCATATTAGTAGACGTACAGGGTAAGGGAAAACGTTTTCATTGTGGACCGTGTGCCGTCACCGTTGCGATAACCGCCACACCGCATGCGACGTACTAGACTAGAGGTCAGTGCCGGATTAAGCAAGCACGGGCCCGTAGCAAATTCATTCAAACAGCTCTTGATATGCTATGGGTTCTCAAGAATGAAGTGGTAAAAAACAATTCAATACTCTTACTTTATTTAATGTTTCACTCATATAATAGAGGCTAAGGCAGAGATGAGTGGGTTTGTAATATTAAAGGGGGGCCTTTTGACGCCGCGGGGTCCGTAGCAATCGCTGCCCTTGCTACGCGGTTAATCCGGCACTGCCTGAGGTGTGCCTATAGCGCGCCGGCCGCTACCGACCGGCGCGTACAGCGGGCGGACCGTTTCAGCTCACCACGTGCCGCCTGCGGCCGAAGACGGCGTCCCCCTCGCGGGTGCCTTTGTACGCGCGCGCCAGGCCGAAGGGCGCCGACGAGCGCAAGGAGAACGCGTACGCCGGCGCCAGGAGCGACACGGAGCGCAGGCGCAGCCCGCCCCTCGTCGCGCAGCGCTCCGGCCACGAGCTAGCCACTTCGGTAGCCAAGTACGCGCGGCGGCCCGAGCCCGCCAAGGCGACGCGCGCGCGCCACCTGGCGGACAGCGAGCCCAAGCCGCGCACGCTCTCCACCAAGCGCAGCATACTCGCGATACGCAAGCCCAACTCGGCCAAGTCGGGCGCGCTGAAGGCGAAGGCGAGCCGCCGCTCGGACGACTCGGACGCCCCCCGGCCGGGGCTGGCGAGGCTCTCGAAGAGGTGCTTCGCGCGGGGCGCCCGCTGCCGCCGCGCCGCCGCCTCCTCCTCGTCGGAGGACGTCGCCGCCTGGGAGGAGGTGGCCGGCGGCACGGCGCTCGCCGCACACTCCTCGGGCGCCGCGCACTCGCACTCGCACTCGCACGCGCACGCGGACCCGTCCGCGCCCGCCAAGCGCCGGTCCTACCCCAACCCGCCGCCCTCTCACTTGAAGAAGATCCGCCTCAAGACCGCCTTGTAGCGCAGGCACCCCTGCCCCCTCCCACTCGGCTCTCCCACCTCGCCCGCACGTTTCGCACGTTCACCAACCGTCAGGCTAATATTACGCGAGCGATGACGATGCTTTATATGTACTCTCGTTTATTATAATACAGTCTCGACGTTTTCGATTATTGATAAAATCGGTTCCACTGTGTTATGCAGTTTGGATATGAGCAGTAGTATCACTATGTATATAAGTGTTCACAAAATGTAATGCACTTAGCTGGCGCCACTGTACCGTAAGTTACATTTCAAAGAAAAATAAACAGACAGGTAACCGCTCTACAGAGGCTTACAAGCTTGATGTTTGAACTAAATCTAGTTTTAAAGATAATAAACCTAGGTATTTTTACGATGCGTTTCAATTTTGGATGATGAACATTTTTTGAACATACTTCACTCTATTACCGTTCACTTCAGGTCTTTTTCTTATATTATACAGTAGTAAGAACATTATACAGTATTTTGGTCACTTTCATTTAATAACACAATCCCATAAAATATTTTGAAATAGGGTGAGGGTGCGGCGGTGCCACGAAATTGCAGCTAGGTTTGTTTGCAATGTCTATTCGATATTTTAGTTGTATATATATGTATATATATATATATATATATATATATATATATATATATATACATAATTATAAATATAATGTAGCCCTAATACATTTAAATATAAAAATAGTTTAAATTTGTTTAAAAGTAAAAATTATGACTTAAGACTTGTTATGTATGATTTACCATTATCTTTTCATGGCGTATGAAGTGTTTTTTATTATAAATTGTGTTAAGTTCTCTAAAAAATTAAATTGTTTAATTAATATTGTCTCGATGTTCCGGTCAACAAGTTGTATCGAAACCGACTAACTTGCCATAATAACGAAATCCTAAAAGTATTTTAGTGTTTCCTGTTTGTGCTTTAATTTTAACATTTTAAAAATTGTTTCCATCGACTTGCTATATGAAATAAATAACTTAATATTGTGTACAATTATACCGTTATATAACCACAAACCTTTTACAACTATATATATTAATAAGATATTTTGTAACTTTTTTTACAACGATATGGCGATTTGGAGATATTTTAACAATCAGAAATTAAATTTAATCCACATTTATGGGCGCAAACAGAGACTTCAATTAGTGCTTAGCTTGATTTAATTTGTGTTAGGAGTAGTTTTATTGTTATTTAAGTCTGAGGCGTAATTTCCCAAATGATAGTTGATTGCTAATTGACATTTCTGCTTGCGGCCATTACTCACGCGGCGTTGTAAGGCTAAATCTAATTAGTTAATTAAATGGCGTTGTAAATTGTAAAGTGTAATCAGCGTAGATTAGTTTATGCTCAAGGAGCAATTTTTGATATACATATTGATCTCATTGAAAATTATCCACGCGCTGTTAAATTTTTGGTCACAAATGCTATACACAAATCTCAGATTGTATGGTATCAATTCATAAAATGCGGTAAGTAATATGAATAAAGCGCTCAAATCAAATCTCTTCCGTTTGTATCTATTGATTGGTGTATGAAAAGTATCATTTCATATTGTATTTTATTATATATATGAATTTTAAAACTGAACGGCAACGTTTAATTGTGCAATAATATAGATGATGTAGCTAAAGCATTTTTACATAGTTTTCAAAAAAAATGATAAATATAAGCCATCCCGTTTACCTGGTGGAATAAGTGGATAGTAAGGTTTGTAACAATTAGTTAAAAAATAAATACTTAAAATTATATAGATCAGGTTCGTCATATAGCAACCTAGTAGATATGTACCATACGAAAAAGTTAACTCTATTTATTTATCGGAAATATTAATATATGATTAATTAACATGCAATGTTTCACAGAACAGTCGTTTTATTCGCCTGCATTTACCTATCCCTTCCTTACATTTTAATTATCTTCATTGTATTTATTGAGGCGCTGTATATAGTCAAAATACAGCATGTCTTTACAATCGCGACAACAAATGAACACGCTTCTAACGCTACTTGCCAATAATCATAAAAACATATTAACGATAAAAAAATCCATAATTAAAAGAAATTTTTTTTCAAACAAAGTAATTAAGTGAAAAGAAACAAAATTTGTAACACCTATACAACTATAACTGACTGATTCATACATTTAGAGACTTTCATTCGTTGCCACAGCGTCGCATTACAAGCCTTTCCTTCTAACAGTATGTTTTGTCTCAATGTTGATCAATCAATCAATCAATGTTTTGTCTCTTTCAAATTCATTCAACCCATTCCTAAGCTTAGTGACCTTTATAAATGAACTTTACGTTACAGTTTTATACATAAGGCTGTTCTAAAATTCGTTGTTTTGGAAAATTTAATCACTCTATAAATATTGATGTTTAAAGAGTGTAAATGTTTAATACAATTTTAAAAATTTATCCTCTATATGTGTGTTCATTTATTGTCGCGATTTTAAAGACACGCTGTATACTTAGCCAAACTTTATTCATATTTATCTGCAAGGATATGTGTTAACATTCTTTGGAATAATGAAAATAACCTTTAGACTTTGAAAATAAACAAAAACATGTCTGTCTACATACACGAACAGACCTGCTATCCATTTGTATAACAGCAAAGATGTTGAATGCCCTACCATAATTACGTATGAATTCATTTAGACTTACATTACATTTTTTTATGTATTTAGTTTGCTTTTTTCTTAATTTCCCTTGCGACAATCATTCGTTTTAGTTTTTAAATATGTACATCTTTTCAAGTATTAAACTCTAATCAACCTATGTTGAGGAAACGACGAAATATTTAAAAGGAAAGAATTATAAATACAAAATCTTTAATAAGTACGGGGAATAATAACCAATATGACAATCCCAATTTCTATTGCTACATCGAGTCAGTACCGATCCATGCAAAGCTTAGAAACATATTACTTTATATTGCATGAAATATCAAGGAACTTTCAATATTTCATGGTTGGTGTGTGCCATAATAAAGCTAAAAATTTTTTTGATAAATAAAAAACCAAATAACTGTAACCACATTTATTGCAGTCCACAGCTTGCTTAAACTAAGAAATTACAGCCTGCGCCCTCTGCGTCCACCCTTCCTGCGCGTAGAGTCGGATGGCACTGGAGTCACATCCTCAATGCGGCCAATCTTCATGCTGGAACGTGCAAGGGCACGGAGAGCCGACTGGGCACCTGGTCCTGGTGTTTTCGTCTTGTTACCACCGGTGGCTCTCAGTTTTATGTGCAGAGCAGTGATTCCAAGAGTCTTGCATTTTTCAGCCACATCCTGAAGAAACAGAAATGAAAGAGTTAACATGGATTTTGTTCACAAAACACAAATATACACCCTTGAGTTCAATTTACATTGGTCAGGTACAGAGTAACTAGTGGCAGTAACCAGACAAATGGCTGTTTATACTACATTAAGTACAGTGGCATTGTACCAATATGGCCACTGTACTAATTTAACTCTTTACACTATTCCTAATGTCCAGCAAGAGCCTCGAGGGGGATTAAGCGGGCCCGCAAGGGACTTGCAACAAAAAATAGAAAGCGATCCTATTTGAATCTAGTTGGAAGGTAGCTTACAAGCCAAGTTGACTCGCTAGTATCCCAAGGTTTACACTAGACACCTGATCAGTGTAAGTAAATCAGGCTACCCTAAAGGTAGTCAAAGTCAAGTTATTTAAATTTACATAGACCAATCCATAGAAACAACTAGAAACTCTTTAGTGACAGCTTATATTAGCTCCTCTTATACGGAAAATATAACTGAATAATACTATTGTGTCAGAATAAAATCCAATCAAACCTATTGATTACTTCTAGATATCTTGAGAACTTGCTACTAAGTTTTGGATTCGGAAATTAACATTGTAATATTACAGACATATGTTTTTCACTTTAATCAATAGAGAAATCAATATATCAAAAGGGATAATCTTTTATTTTACACTAAGAAGACAATAACATTCACTTTATATATGCAAAAATCTAGAGACTTGCTTTTTTCATGATACAGGTTACTTGAGGAACAAATCACAAGTATACAACTTACTACTTGAGCATGCATCAATTATTTCTAATGTTTAGACCAAAACTTTTAAAATTAGTGTAAAGGTAAAACAATTTACCAAGAACTATATATACAACGTACAGCGTGTTGTTGCTACCGCGACCATAAATCAACACACATATAAAAGATAATTTTCTAAAATCATATTAAACATTTACTTTCTTTAAACATCAATGTTTACAGTTATTAAATTTTCGAAAACAAATAATTTTAGAACCCCCGTACATTTAAATCTGTAATGTAAAGGTCACAAAGCCTATGAATTAGTTCAATAAATTTAAAAGAGATAAAACATGCTGTTATGAGAGACTTGTAATGCGGGTGTTGTGGCAACAAATGAAAAAGTCTGAGTGTATGAATCAGTCAGTTGTAGTTGTGTAGGATATTGCAAATTTTGTTTAATTTAATTAATTTGTTTGAAAATATATTTTTTAGGGTTTTTTTAATGTTTTTTATGATCATCGGCAAGCAGCATTAAGTGTGTTCATTTATGGTTACGGTTGTAATGCCATGCTGTATAGCATAATGAAAGCATTGCTTCAAATGCTAAGAAAACAATGTAGAACAATGCGTTAAGATTTTCGTCGGTGTGGTCATCAGCCGTTTAGCTGTGGCTAGAGCGTCAGGCCGCGAATGCCGAAGACGTGGGTTCGATTCCCACAGCGGCAACAATCTTTTCGCACTTTTTCTACATATTTGAATAATGAAATACTGCCAACAATCCATATTATTTTTTAATTTAATATTTATCTACCAAATTGACAAATTTCTTCACAACTTCTTAAATTTTTAAAAATAATAAAAACAAATGTCAGGATTGAGATTTGTTGTTGTTCTAAACTAAAATTAGGTTCAACATTTTTTTAAATTTCAAACTATGGTTAAGTTCATTAATAATTATTCCTTTATTATATACTTAGACCCTTTGTATTTTCATTTATTTGAGCATAACTAGGTTGGCCAGTATTATATATTTCAATAGTTTCTAAAAAGTTAGTTCAATTACTCTAAGACAAGTTAATGATCACTTTCAAAATTAAGATTGCTTTTCACTATTTCCTGGGTACTGACATTCTTAGATGTCTCACAGCTCCACACAGAGCTTTGATATGTTAAATTGTGCAACCAACAAATCCAACTAATCAAAACATATTTAATCATTAAAAATATAATTTTAAAACCTCTATGGTAGCATAGGGTGAGAGGAGGGGCGGGGGTATGTGGCGAAGACCCCTGTAAGGGGTGGGGGGGGGGGATTGCGGATGTAGTTTCTGAATTATATTAAAAACACTACCCTAACCTATGCAATGTTTCCATGGTGGTATTTATTTAGAATAAGGTTGTGGTAGGTGGAGACTCCGCTCCCGCCTTAACCTAATCTAATCTAACCTAATCTGTCCGACGTTCAACCATTATGATGATATCAAAAAACTTAAACAACTTGAAAGACTATTAAAGTATAATTTACCTCTTTTATATTTTCTATTTCTCTTTGTTTTTAAGGCAAAGATGTAGCAAAAATAATGTTGCTGTCTGAAGTAACATGAGTTAAAAGATGATATAATAATTAAGTTGTCTCTTTGTAATGTTTTAGAATGTAATTATGTAAATTTTTTGGGTCGAAATACGAAACAATACTGTTCCTAAGTAGTTAATCTATAAAACTTAAAAATAAATTTCTCGAAACTTTAAATTTCGCAAAAATTCTTCTAGTATTTACTTCAAAGACTTATTACCTACCTATTAATACTAAAATTATCACGAAAATAGTGCTACCGTAAACTAAAGCAAATCCTAAAAATGTTTCATGGATTTCTTTTTTTTTTGTATTCATTTTTAATTTACAGAAATCAGTAGGGCTTGAAAAAAATATAGGTTAAGAAGCAAGCATTAATATTTTCAGATATATTTAACTTAACACCTAAACATACCTGTGCAGCCAACATAGCAGCGTAAGGTGAAGCTTCGTCACGATCAGCTTTTACTTTCATGCCGCCTGTGACTCTCGCGATGGTTTCCCGACCGGACAAGTCAGTAACATGCACGAATGTGTCGTTGAAGGATGCGAAAATGTGAGCTACGCCAAAAACAGTCTCGCCGACCAAGTGCTGCGGGCCCAGAGTCACCTGGACCTCTTCTTTAGCAACTTTGTTTTTTCTTGGAGCCATGGCTTATCCTGCAAATGACAACACTCTAGCAGCACCAATTTATAACCTTAAAAAATCCGAGTAATCCGAGCACTAATTGCTGTAATACTTGGCAAATACATGGATAAGATAAGGATCTAGTAAATGGATTTATTATTCTGGTTATAATTATTTAATAAATAAACATTTTTAATTAAAACTCCGGAATACCTTAAGCTTTGAAAGCTGTCAAACACTAGAAAGACTTCCGGATGGCAATGTTTCCAACATGAGGACCGCCATGCCGTTTACGTTTAATATTATTTGATTTGGAATGTCATGAATTTGATATTTTTTTATCAATAATAATATAATTTAATCTACTTTATTTATAAAATTGCTTTTGTTAGATTTTTTTTTTATTTATTAATACTTAATACATTTTACGAATTATTTCATAATTAAGCATATTATGTTTGAAATATAGAGCACAGCTAGCGCACAGTGTCCGGGCGCTCGACATTAATTCAATTTAGTTGAGCAACCTGAGTTCGATCCCCGGTGCCGGCACCAAAGAAATTGTTAATTTTTAAGTGCTGACTTATCACGTGCTCAGCGGTGAAGAAAACGTCATGAAGAAACCTGCATATTTTCGTAATAATAACAAAAAAAAATATTTCGAAGATATGTGAAGTCCACCAAGCCGCAGTGGGGCCCCATGGTGGACTATGCCCTGATACACTCTATACAGAAGAGGCCTTTGCCCAGCAGTGGGACATATACAGGCTGTTAATTTCCTTTTTTATTTTATGATCAAACATATTTTCAAAATATATACATTCATTCATATTTCATCTGCAGCTACGTATATTATGAAACTAATAAAGATATTTTAATACAAGGTAAATCTATTAGTCTTTAACATATTTCTTATATAAAGTATAAAAAGTTATTTGATGTAAACTCTTTTTATTCAGGAAACTCAATATAGCTCATGAAATACAGCTTTTCATAATATTTATATTTGAGAATCATTTCCATAAATCATCAAATATAAAACAATATAAAATAAATGTTATTATGAAATTCTTCTTCTGGCAAATGATTACAAGAAGAAAAAGAAAAACACATTTTAAAAAGAAATATTTAAAAAAAAAATATTATGTAATCAAAAGTATCTACTGCCAATTTCGTAAATTTATATTCATCATTGCAAAGGTCGCATTGGGATCGCAAACAATGCAACACAATCTTCTGTGTGAACTGTGACTGTGTGTGACAACTTCCGGAAGTAGTGTACGTCATTGCCAACAGATTGATATTTCATTGCATATTCTTCTGATTGTACAAAACGTCGATTTTTAACGACGAACCGCATTAGAAAGAAGAAGAAAATATTGTGATAAACTTCTTTTAGTGTTAATATATCTAGTTGTATTTTAATAAGTGAGTATTTCATTCGTGTTTCTATGTAACACTTACTTAAAATTCGGCAACGCAAATGACGTCCTGTCATTCATATTTCACAAAAGAATATTTCCATAGTACCTTGAGGATGTTTGAACTTTTGTGCCTTGTAAGATGAATCAGTACTGTGCAATCTGCTGCCAAATAAAACTACGCAATAGATAATCTAGATAATTGCAAGTCATTACTTTTGATTCATTCTTTGTGAAAGAGTTGCAGATATGCTGATATAATACTCTCCTACATTCCAGATTCACAATGTTTATCTTTGACTGGTTCACTGGAGTCCTTGGATTCTTGGGTAAGTGGCGCTTTAAAAATAATATGTATGTTAAAATAGTTTAATTATGGTAATTATATTTTAATTTTTTATTTAAAGTATTCAATAACAAAGTTTTATTAATTTGCTGATTAATAACTAAATTATACACGAAATCTTAAAATGTATACTAACTAATTTATCATTACTGTAAAAAAGTGACTTCCATATTGTAAATAAACGACACTAGAGAAGAAAAAAATTATATAATTGACAGAAAATGTAAATTTTAGTTATCTCTGCATAAGCTAAAAACAAGCTTGTAATCAATTTGTTAAGGTGGTTACATAAAAAATAATCTGAATTGAATATATTTATCTGTATAAATTACTTAATAAAAACTAATTTATATGTAATCTTATCAAAAAAAAAAAAGTTAGATTTACCTAGAAACTATAAACAAACAATGAAAATAAACACTTGTAAATAACTAGCTGAGTGGTGAACCACTAAGATATTAACTGCAAAAGGTTTGTGATTTCTGAAATATGTAAATTATTTATACCATGGTGAAATTGAATGAAGCATCATAGAATGTTCGCATTTTAATAATATAACTTTATATATTATGGCATTGTTGATGACCATTGCCATTTTATCAAGTCTATATACAAATATATATATACAGCGTGTTGTTGCAACCACGACAATAAATGAACACACATATAGAGGATAACTTTTTAAAGTTGTATTAAGCATTTACATTCTTTAAACATCAATATTTACCGAGTTATAAAATTTTACAAAACTAACATTTTTAGAGCACCCTCACATATAAAATTGTAACTTTAAACTTTTTTATCATGGATTTTTTTTATGATTATTGGCAAGTAGTGTTAGACATGTTTATTTATTGTCGCGATTGTAACAACACGCTTTATATTGATAGGCATACTAGTCATGAGTTATATGTGAAACCAACTTAAATTATTAAACCAACACCCAGTTTCTGAAACACTGATCATCGTAGAAGTTAAGTAATTAGCTGTCAAATGACTTCGCTATCCTTTTGGCAACTTAAATACCATTTTAAAAGCCATTTCACAGCTGATTACTTAACTCTTACGATGATCAGTCTTTCAGAAACCGGGCATTAGTGAAATATATTAAGTAATGTCTTTGCAGTCTACATTTCTTTGAATATGTAAGCAATTGTATCAATTATCTCACATTCAATTAAAAACATCTCAAGTTATTGTAGTTTAAGCTGTTTCAATGTTTTATTTAGTTTAATATATCCTTTACATGTATTTTGTTATCTGTTAAACAGGATTGTGGAAGAAATCTGGCAAGCTACTATTCCTGGGGCTAGACAATGCTGGCAAAACAACACTCTTACATATGCTGAAGGATGACAGATTGGCACAGCATGTACCCACCCTTCATCCTAGTAAGTTTTGGTTAATATATCACCATCTCAATACTATTAATCACTACATCAATATACAGATCAGATGCGAGAGTATATAATAATATATAATAACTTAAACTGTTACTACTTAAATTTTCAAAAACAAAGAATTTTAGAACAGCCTTATGTATAAAACTGTAAGGTAAAGTTCATTTGTAAAGGTCTCAAAGCATATGAATGGGTTGAATGAATTTAAAAGAGACAAAACATACTGTAATAATATGAATGAAAAAGTCTCTGAATGTATGAATCAGTCAGTTGTAGTTGTATAGGATGTTACAAATGTTGTAAATAAGGAAGAAAGAGATTTACATAATGATTTCTAGTTTTTACATGAGTTTATCAAGTGGAGGAGAGACATTATCACACTATGTTTACATCTCATATACATAAATATTACTACAAAAAATAAAATGTCTACAAAAACATATTTATTGAAAAATCATGGCTTAATGCCTACTTCTACACTGTGAAATATTTCACTTTACATTTTTCTTTTGAATATATTTATCAGTTCTCAAACACGCTGGCTTTCCTACCCCCTGGGCACCAACAATGTTAAACACTAAACAAAAACATAGTATAAAAATGACCTGAAAGTAAACCAAATCCCAACAAGTGACTTGAACAGCATAGTGGATAGTCCCTTGTGCCGGAGACTATGGGTTTCGTTCCCTACATGTGTGGGGATATACCCCCATATCCATAATATTTATTTATTTAGAAAAGAAAAGTGTGTTCAAATATCAGTTGTAGAACAAGCTCAGCTTTATTTGGACGAGATCTTATTTTCCTCCAACCCAAAAAGAACACCGTACGAAGAAGGTTTTATATGCATCACGAATTGAAATCGACAGAGTCTGAGGAGCTGTCGATAGGCAACATGCGCTTCACGAAGTTCCATCAAGCAATTGACAGTTTTTATTTTTCCTACGACATGAAAAGGGACGCCTGTATGAAGAAGGTTTTATATGCACCACGAATTGACTATATTCATGACGAATCGAAATCCACAGCGTCCGAGGAGCTGTCGATAGGCAACATGCGCTTCACGACGTTCGACCTGGGCGGGCATCAGCAAGCGCGGCGCGTGTGGCGCGACTACTTCCCGGCGGTGGACGCGATCGTGTTCCTAGTGGACGCGTGCGACCGCGCCCGCCTGCCCGAGTCGAAGGACGAGCTCGACTCGCTGCTCACCGACGAGACGCTGAGCAACTGCCCCGTCCTCATCCTCGGCAACAAGATCGACAAGCCGGGCGCCGCCAGCGAGGACGAGCTGCGCCAGTTCTTCAACCTCTACCAGCAGACCACCGGCAAGGTGATGGATAATGTATATTATCTATGGTATATCGAAATGACGAATAAGACGATGTGTTACAATTAACAAATACAGACGCAGAGGAGTTTCCTTTTGAAATAATAATTGCATGTGTAAAGTCATTTTCCTTTTAATTAAGACTGATAAAGTTATTTGTTATCTGACAACCACATACCATATAAAGCCTGGCCTGGCCCGAGTACTTCACTCCAAACTGTGTTGTCTATTTGAACCATCAACTAATCATAATATGCAGGGAGGCTTTTCTAAGTGTATCCATTTTTTTTAATTGAAATCTTGACATAAATGATCATATATAAAAAATGATAAACATTTTAAATCACTTATAACTAATTGATTACATTAATTTGAACTTATCTCAAAAAGTGCGTGATTTATACGCAATAAGAAAAAAAAGTTTATTTATATTTCAATAAACAATTATATTACCGAGCCTGAACCACCTGTGTAAATTTGGACACCTTTAAAAAAAGCCTCCTTGTATTTTACTTAATAAAATTTTATATCCACTTAATAGTGAATTAACATAATTATTGCATCCATTATTTCAAAATTAATACTCCATGAAAGAATTTCCTTTCCTCAATGCTCAAGAACATAAAATGCATTTGATTTTCCATACCACAAAATGCGGAATATTAATAGTAAATATAAATAATAACGCCACATTAACTTTTTAAGCAAATAATGAGATAATTATAATTTTTAAGCAAATAATAATTTTAAATAAAAAAACAAGCCTAGTTACACAAGAACAATTTATAATGTTGATATAGTTTTTTTTACAATTTCTTCACTAGTCAAATATTAAAACGGCTGAACTCACGTCCAATCGATGTAACCTCCGCGACCGAGTTCACGGTGACCCACTCACCCTGACGAAGGACCAGCGATAGATCCGAAGCTAGGCGGTACATACATACATATCGAAAATTTTAATAATTTTATGCTTTACTATTTCCCGTAATGTCCAACACTTGCAGCAATTTTAGCACATATTATCTGATATTTAAGTTTGTATTGATAGAGATGAGATGTGAAAATACATTTATTATTCCAGGGCAAAGTATCTCGGTCTGAGCTTCCCGGCAGGCCATTGGAGCTGTTCATGTGCTCAGTGCTGAAGCGCCAGGGCTATGGCGAGGGATTCCGCTGGCTGGCCCAGTACATTGACTGAATTGGTCACCACTAAGCATGTGGCTCGCTTATAATCGTATGCTTTTCATGATTCAAGTCCGGACGTAGCCGTTTCTTTTTAATGATTTTCAATATGACGTCGGTTCTATCTGCATAAATAGTGATCTCCATTAGACATGGGGCATTACTTACAACAATGGCTCTTAGTAATATATCTGAAGGGGCATATTTCAATCGTATATTTTGTATTATTTTTTTTATTTTCTAGTATGTTTTGATTTAGGCTACGTTAAATCGAAATCTTATAGAAATGCGCCCGTTTGTAAGCAGCCCAATACTCGCTCACTAGTAATGCGTAGTCATTACGGCTCCTGTAACATTTTCTTATCAGGCACTAGATTTATATCTAAATTGCACACAATCTTTTGTACAAAGTTCACGAGTCACAACCCTATCTTAACAAAGCCTGACTATTGGTTGTTTTTTCTAAGGCGTTTCAATACAACTGATAAGGTGTAAATTGTATAAATTTAAAAACAATGAGTAGATAAGACATTTACAATAATTAACTTCCGTCTCGAATATATTGTAAAAAGTTTTTGTTAATAGACTATTGCAGACATAGTTTCTGCTAAACAAATACAAGGCTTCCTTACAGTTAAATGAACGTAAATTTTTTGATATAAGCGATTAGATTTGAGTATGAATAGTACAAAATGTTATCAAACACCAAGTTTTGAGCCAAGCATTACTAGATAGCGAAGTACCATATTTTATGCAGTCCTATAACATCTTGCTGCAAATAGCTTAAGGTTATGTTCAGTTGTTTGAGGTTCCGCGACACAGAAAAATTTAAATTGTGTATATAGTTACTTAACATAGCAAGATATTATAACAGTGGTGACAGTATTTACCTCAACTTTAAACTTTTGGTACCCTTATAAATTGGAATTTCAAAATGATTGGAACCTCAAATAACTCATTTATTAGGAACTTGTAATAAAATCCTTTGGATTAAAGTTTATCCATTAATATTGGAATGTTATACCTTCTTCGTCAACAGTTTTGGTGATTTTAATTATTGTTTGTAATCCAAGGTAATGGGTGCAATTGTATGGCCACTAATAAAAAGTATTTTTACTCCAAAGCTGATGAATTTGATTACTCAGGTCTGTCTTAGTTTTCTCTATTTCCTGTGTTTATTTCGTGTCGTTGTTTAGAATCAGCATGGCCAGAGAAGAACGTCATACAAAAATGCATATAAAAATAAAATTTATGTTAATGCTTATTTACTTCATTCCAACAAGTTTGTGTGGATATTTTGACGAACACAGACGAATAGTGCTCATCATTATGTTGTATATTTTAAAAACGCCAATTGTTATATTTTTAAAAATTATTTCAGTCACTTGGTTCCTCATCGGCAGATGCGCTACAGCAGTTTAAGTATTTATTGGAATTGCTTGTCTGCTAAGCAGTGATTTATTAATTCTTTATCAGGGCTACCCTGTTTTTTCTCAATCGCCATCGACGGAAAGACCATGTTCGAACTTCAATATTTTAGAACTAATGTACTTTACATTACACTTTAAGTAATTAAATATTTAGTAAGAATGAAATGTGTGAGGCGGTCAGATGGATAGGCAAAATAAAGGCGCAGATTGCTACGAGTCGTTTCAACTGGTTTGTTACGACTACAAAACGTCGGCCCTTCAGCTTTACTTAGAATGTTCTTCAATTATATTGTTTGCAATTAAGTAAAAAAAAAAAAAAAAAACAAGTTTGTAATAAAATTTCTACAAAACAGCAATATATGTTTTATTATTCGAAAAATTAATTTAAGTTAAGATAAATAGTGTTTTTGCTGGCACGGGAATCGAACGCGGTGAGAGGTTATTAATACGAACAACTGAGAACTCCCCATGATAGATTCGATAAAAAGAACGCGTTACCAGTAATGTCATCCGCGTAGCAATGAATGTTGCTCAAATGCAACAAATCATTGATAGCTACACAGAAGAAACAGAGTAAGGGGAAACGGATTAGTCCTACACCGTCAACATAATTTCTGAGGAAGCCGATATTAGGTGATCTTAGAAAGAAGTGCTCCGTGCCGTCGCCGGCCAGGGGTAGAGTAAAAGCGGTCACTAGGCGCAAGGGGCGCTAAAAATCTTTTTTCTTTCACGAAGTACAATTTTACTATGAAACAGATTTTATTAATTAGCGACTGTTGGAAACATCGACAAAAGTTCAATTTAATTACGTAGCAGTAGGAACTTAATCATTGTTTTGGAATAACGACAATTACTTGTTTTAATTTAAATTCAATAAGTGTTGATGTTTGAAATAAAAAGGTTTGAAAAATGGTTATTATTTATTTAATACAGCCAAAGTTATAATTTATGCAACTTGAAAGCACACACCAAAGGGCGTTAAAGATAATCTCGATTTACCCTGATCAAAGGCTAGGGCAAGCACTGCGCCGTGCCAAACTCGGTCGAAGGCCTTTGCTGTTCGAAATAATCGCCATTGACTCCCCTTTAGCCATCTGCGTCCGCCCATCGATAGTATAGGTAGACCAGATCACCAGCTGAGAGACTCCGACGGAAACCTTACTGACGACAACTCTCCTCAATTTAATGGACTCCATTATCTTGTAGAACAAAGGGGTCATGGCAATAGGCCTGTAGTTAGAAAGATCCCGGGTTCACCTTTTTAGGGATCGGGTCCACTTAGGCCATCTAAGAATTTGGGATATTACCTAGGGAATAGGAGTACCGGAAAAGACTGAATAAAACGGTGCCAAAGCCGGAGCAGACGTCTTCAGCTTAAGAGGGAGATTCCGTCCGACCCACTTGACTTCTGGATGTCAAGGGAGAAAAGTGCTTGACGCACTTAACTCGGATATCTGATGTCTGGCATGGCTCACACCGCGGGATGTTCGGTGGTGCATTCCCCATATCATCCAGTGTTGAGTTTACCTCATGCGGTGTGGAAGGCATACTGAAATTCCCTTAAACAGCTTTGTCGAGAGACCGGAATGGACGAGTCCCCGAAGGAAGGCGAATTACTCTGTCGCCAAAACTGCCAAACCTTGCTAATGCGACGCCTCTTGAAGGACCTAGCGGCAAAGTTCTACTTCTTTTTAAAGTGACTGGTATTTACATCCAGCTCCGCCGCCGCAATGGAGCAGGCCCATTAACGATTTAATAAATAAAATTAAAATATTATTGTGACCTTCAATTAACTTACAAAAAAAATCAAACATCATATTATTCAAAATTTTAATGAAAAGAAAATAATGTGATAAAAATATTTAGTATAAAGATATTTCTAAAGAAATAATTTTACAAATACACAATTTCCTCGAGTGAAATAAACGTCAGTTAATGTTTACAAATGGGAATGCTTTAAATAAATAATTTGATGGAAAAGCGATGCCATATCACTGCAACTAAAACAATGCATTATATTGTTATAAAACAAATACATGATTTATTCAAACATCTCTTACATCTGCCGGCTTCGTTATTTACAATCTGAATCCGAGATATTGTATTGCACATTTAACACTTAAAATTACATTGCATGAAATAACGCGCATTGATGGCGCCCTCTTGCAAACAAACCGCTATGGTAAGGTATACCGTAACATGACGACATTAAGATACATAAAACAGTAGAGAACACAAAAAATATACTTCTGATATGAGACGATCGCAGAGCTGTAGTGTAGCTTGACGTACCACTTGGTCAACATTGCAAACCAAACAAATTTACCATTGTCTATCTAATATTACTTGTTGATCACAATTGTTGTAACTATTTGTAGTAACGTGTTCAAAATATGAAGATTTATTTTCAAATCGGCAAACTACCTACTGTTCCATTACTATGCCAAATTAAACCAAGATTTACTGAAAAAATAAAACAAACACCAACGCAGCAAGCGTGCGTACTTATTTTATTATGTGTTTGAGGAAACTGCGTCTATCGGACTACTTTTAAACATGAACCTTCACAATTGTACATAAATATTAAATTCGTGTCGTTACATAAAATTGACTTTGAGGAGTGTTTTCGTTACGCCCGCTTGCCGCGCAGGTCGGATGTCATTCGCGGAAATCCGATTATAAACGACCACAAAAAAACTTCCTTATTACTCCCTCTACCGCTCACTAAGTCCATGGCCTCCGAAGCACAAACGACTACGCGACGCGAACAACACGCCCTAACCGCCCCCTACCGGCATCCAACGCACTAATTACGAGCCCCACAGCGCTATAACCTACATTACTATGAAAAATTACACTATCTACTGTAAACGCACGAACATAAAACGTCGCGTCCAGAACTCTTGGAGCGTTGTGACAACACACGGCTCTGCAAGACTGCAGATTATATTACGACTTTTATGAACCCTAAAACGTTTGAAATCATCGCACGCCTCACGCTCACCGGCTGTTCTAAGTGCCTAGGAACTCATAGACGGGTGGTTTCCGAAAACATAACTTCAGCGCTCTAAAACGTCTTTCTTATATATTATTATTCGTATCTAAGTGATCGGAGATCGCAAATCAACATGATCTTCACCAATAAACCCTGTTCGTACGTATATCTCCCACTTCGCTCGTCAGGGCGGAAACCCGGACGCGCCCTAAAGCTGTACAGACGTCCTCTCTACCGAAGGCAATGTGTTGTGTTCCGCGGTATTAACCTACTACTTTATATAGACATACAAAACGGATCAGGCACAATGTGGCATTACGTTACGTCACTAAAAAACGTGCTACGCGTACTAAATGCAGACTCGTGTACATATTTGGTAACTTAACCTAAGTAATTATACACCACTGAGATTATCGAAACAACACTAGCAACAACAATCATTGGGTAAGAGTGCGCCAAAAACACACCCCACTACAACTAATCATTATGTTATATAGTGCTCCTTGACGATACGAATATCACTCGTACAAATAGTAAATAAATATCTCCATAATGAATTCTTAAAATGTCAATAGAAATTAGACGCCTATTTAGAATATCCATAGAATACATGAAAAATTATATTTAAAAACAATACACGCACATTCGCGAAATATTCTCACATCTAAATCGTCAAAATATAACAAGGATTTATATCACTTTACGCTATATACAAAGTGTCTGATTATTATCATTATTTTTTTCCTCACATTCCATTTCTAAATTGAGTTACAAAATTACAGTTAAAACGAAAAATATGTGTAAAACTCTGTAGATATTGTCTCGTTGATAAAGTTAGATCACACGTCAGATTATAAAAGTGAGTACATTGCATATTACTTTAAAAATACTCGCCTACGTTACGCGGTGTAAAAATCACTTTGGTACATAGAAACTAACTTCATAGCCTTTACAAAGAGCTTAGTAGTGTAAAATGTGGAGATTGCGGGAAAAGTGGTCGGCGTTGAAGCCAACGTAGCCAGAGACCAGGGTTCGATGCCGCTCAGTTCATCCACTTGCGGCAGTTGGGGGCGCCGCACATGCACATTATCTTGTGGGCGTCGTCTTCAATGTCGAACTTGTAGTCGTACGCCAACTGTTGGGCAAAAAGCACGTTTCATTACATCGTCATAGATATTTCCGTTCAATACAACGAGCCTCTTTCTCCGTACTCAGATGTCCACTTCATGTTTCGTGCCTATCTCGATTGAGCATTGATTTACCATGCGCCTATCCAAGGCTTGTAAATATTCATCAAGTCCCACTTTTAATATGTTGTACTAACTAAAGCAACTATTGACAAATACGCATATTATGGCTCCATAAAAAGGGACCTATTTATTTAGATTTTTTTTTTATTTTATGATAATTCGTAGTAATTTTTTAAATTTCTCATGTAATAACTTAAAAAATTTAAAAAAAGAACTATTTCTGATCTAACCACACCAAGGATTCATCCGTTCCTCGATGTTGTCAACTTATATCTAAATATTTTTACATTATTTTTAACGTATATATTTATATATGGTGTTTGCATGTGTATTTATGTATAATTTATTAATATGTATTTATATTTTGACTAATTAGTTTCTGTTATCAATTCAGTGTACACTGTTACCCAATACTACTGTTTTTACTATCTCCTTTTAATATGTTGCCTGGAAGAAATCGCTTTTTAGCGATAAAGCCGCCTATTGTACAGTTCTGTATTATTTTTTGTTGATTATTCAATATCCGTTGTTTGTGTACAATAAAGTATATTTCATTCATTCATTCAAGGAGGCGTGAAATTAGATAAATATCTTCCGGGTATGTCACTTCTTATTTTAGCATATTACAACTAAACATATACCAATTTCATAATTATTGTTATTAAACTTAGAAAAAAATCTCCTTTCGTAATATGCAAGAGACCCGGTGTCACGGGATCGCAAATGACTGAAATCAGGGAAGCAAAGTACTTCTGGGCTCGGAACAAAAACTTTTGAGCCATGCAGAAATGACACCCAGAAGAGACCAATAAATGTAAAAAGGTGGTCATACATAGGTGCTATAACCTACTCGCAGGCTATAGACCTGGAAGATCGAGTCAGGTGCAATGCGTGTCTTTCTAGTGGGTACCCGTTTCTGACCCAACAGGTACAACGCGGGTCTTTCTAGTGAGTACCACTCATTTACCCCGGCCGACACGATGGCGGGGGAAGCATTAAAGGTTTTTTCTGAAATAAAAGAGTAAGGCACCTCCTCGCCGCGCGCGATGCGCCGCTTGGCGAAGATGATGATGCGCAGGTGGCGGTCCACCTCGACGGTCTCTGCGACGCAGTTGGGCTGGCACGAGTGGTTGATGTAGCGCGCCAGGCCGCCGCTCAGCGTCGCGTCCACCACGCGCCGCTCGTCCAGCCGGAACATGTAGATGCCGCGGTTCTGCGCGCGCACGATACAAATCGGTGAGGACTTTATATTGCTTTCTTTATAGGAACAGAAGGATGCAACCGAGGATTTTTCTAGAAACTTGTACGTTTGCAAATGTAAAGGTTCATTACATTTCGCCCTGAACAATTTTTTAGAGCACATGACCTTTTTAAATTACCTTGGCTTCGTATTTTTTCTCGCGAATCTCCGATAACTCAGAGCGAATTATTTCGCCTATGTATTCAATGACCATGGTGTGTTTCTCCAAATCTCGGGCTGCGTACAATCCCAAGCCTTGAATTTTTGACCTGAAAATAACAGTATTAAGTAGATATAGTAATTATGTAGTAATATTAACATTAAATTAAATTAATGTTATAATGATACAAGTGGTATTGACAACTGATAAACGCCGCGACAAATTTTATAGCGATTGTGAAGTGAACAGAAATGCAAGACTGCACTTGCGTGTGCTTTTAATGAATTATCAACCAAATTCCATTCAAAAGAAAAAGAAATCCATAGTTATGAAAATAAATATAAGCAGAGAAATTAAAAAAAAGCTTTTTCCTTGAAACATAGTTATAGACTATGCATTTGTATATCACTTATCGGCATTATATTTGGCGGGGCCTGTATTCGCATGCAGTAAGTTTTTTTATAAGGAAATTAGCTTTTAAAGTACAACCTAATATTCATGCATGAGCTAGAAAGGACTAACATCATTTGCAATTCTCCGAATCATGGATTATTGCGACCCGTACGCCGACCCGTTGGTCGGTACCCCGAGCTGCAGGCAAGTAAGTGTCTGCTGTTCAATACGGGACTCGCAAGTGAAATATGACGGTGCAACGTGGGCCTTACGCTTCGCCGATCCGGCGGCGCGGGACGCGAAGAAGAAGAGAGATTACAAAGTGACCTGGCGAGGTAGACGTTGTTGCGCCACTCGAGCTTCATCTTCTTGTACTGCGAGCTCTTGGTGTGCACGAACTGCTTGGAGTAGGGGCAGGAGGGGCTGTCGGGCGGCGGCGCGGCGGGCGGCGGCGCGGCGGCGTGGTGCGCGCGCGCCGCCCGGCCGCCGCCGCGCCGCCACAGGCGCCCGCGCGCCTCGCCGCGCGCGCAGCCCGACGGGTTCACCGCCAGCCCGCCCTCCAGCAGCGCCGACCGCCCGAACTTGAACCGGTAGTCCGTCAGCGTCTCCACGCCTGCGCACACCACACGCACGCGCCGCCCGCTACACACACTGCGCGCCGCTCCACGGCCGGGGCGCGCGCTCGATGCCGAATATCGACCTCCGCGTCCATATTCGACGTCGAGACCTACCTTCGATAGTAGCTAGGCTAGGCTGAAGGCGTAACATTCATAAAAATATGTGTATAAATTACAGCCTGTATGTTATTCTGATGTGTAAGCTATATCATTGTAAAGTTTCATTAGATTTCATTCAGTAGTATTTGCGTAAGAGAGTAACAAACATCCATCCATACATACAAACTTTCGCTTTTACAATATTAGTAAGGATATGAATGTTTTCTCTTCGATATATCGACGCCGATATTGATATTTTTATAAATATATTTCTTCACTTTGGACATCCCTACAGCGCGCGCGGCGTTCGGTCGACGAATGGGTTAATTGTCTAACGACTGACACGTCGCGTTTTAGACATCTTTGCACACGTAAAGCGTATTGCTAATAGTAGTAGTGACGCAATTAGGACCTACGTGTAACCGAGTTCAAAATTTAGTCTAGCTGCTTAAAACGTATGGTCCATACTCCAGAAGAACTGGATAGGAATTTTCTCGAAGGACGACGATTTCAGTCTACTGACCGGGCAAACTCTCCAGCACGCGGACTACTGCCGGCTCGGTGAGCCCGAACAGGTCTTCGCCAGTTACGTAGTTAGGCCACAGCTTGAGCACGCCCTCCTCATCGCGGTTTTCGCGCAACGCCGCAACTGCGTCTAGCACCTGCCGCAAAGTATGTATCAAATTGTATACATTGTGATAGTGTATTTCTATCTTAATTCTATTAGATATACAGGGAGGCTTTTTTTAAGTATATTAATTTTTTATTAAATTCTAAACATAAATAATGTTATATAAAAATTATAAACAAGTTATAAAGATGTTCGTTTCACAAGTATACGAATTTATGAATGACTACCGCATTGTCAAGTTCTGATTTTAGGGAATGGAATAGCTATTTTTTTTGAAAAAAAAAGTCTTAATTTATTTCAATAAACGATTATACTACCGAGTCTGAACCTCCTGTGTGAATTTGGGTACCTTTAGAAAGGCCACCTTGTACAGTAATCGATTCGGATAATAACGGTCGCGTTCAATACAGCGCGTCGTAGAGGAGATCTATCTGGGGGTCCTTGAATCATACGGAGCACAGGTATCAAGGGGTCAGTGACTGCCGCCCAGAACATTCACAGTATAGTAGGTGGACGTGATAAGTAGAAGGGTTGCTACTGTCGTTTGTCCAATATGGCGCGTGGGAGCAGCCGGGGCTCGGTCCCTAAGTCACACGGAGCAGAAGTATCGAGGGGTCAATGACCAGCGCCCAGAACATTTGGAGTGGTAAGTTGACGTGATAGGTAGAAGGGGTGTGTTTATCCAATACAGCGCGTGGGAGCAGCCGGGTCACGGTCCCAAGGTCAAACGGAGCTGAGGTCAAGGGGTCAATGGGCCAAGAGGTCACTGACCGCCGCCCATGCCGCCCGCGGCGTGGCCGCGCACAGCTCTCGGCGCGACTCGTCCTGCGCGCGCACGTGGAAGCGCGGCCGCCCCTCCTCCTCCGAGATCCAGCACACGTAGCGGCAGCGGCTGTTCGCGCGCGACATCGACCAGTAGAAGCGCACCTGCGTAGTGGGAATGGCCACGTGAGCTTATCGCTGCGTCAACATGATTGAAGACAATATTTTTGTTTTTTTTCTTTAAAAAAGAAAATTATAAACAGTATTTGACTGCAGCCTTGAGTAGGTTTTTATTAGATTATAGACCGGTTTTGGAGTTAAGAACACAGATTGAACGTTTCGCCTAGAGCCAAGTGCGAAAACGAAAAACTAGAACGAGGGCTTTATTTACAATGGCATAATTTTTTTTATAATCGGCACATTTCATCATATTACATATAAATCAGTTAATGCCTATTGCTCGAATATTTTTCAGCTTATACTTTACTTCTTTCCACCATTGTATGGACACAGAGTAGTAAATGTGCAAACATGTGTTGCATAATCGTAGATGGACTCACGATCTTGTAGCCGATGGGGTATATGTAGTTGGGCGTGTGGAAAGCGGGCAGCTGGTGAGGCAGCAGGTGGCCGGGGCTGAGGAAGATGAGGCCGCCGACGCGGATGAGGTGGTTCGCGTCAGAGTGCAGCATCACCGACGCCACCTGGCGCTGCTCGTCCCGCGACACGAACACGCGCCGCTGCACGCTCAGCGTCGTCAGCTCGTTGTCCTTTTCATTCTGCAAGTAGGGTTTTTGACTCATTATACGTTAACCAAGATAGAAGGTAATAAACAATACTTTTATATTAAATTATGAGTGTAGTACATTCAACGCAGCAGATACTAACTACTGTTGCAGTAATGTCTGTATAAGGCACTTAACAACAGGTGAACCGCAAGTTTGTTTGACAATTTTTCGATCGTACGATTTATAAACAGGTCAAATTATTTTTATGTAAGGCAAGCTTTATTAATTTATAAACGACATCTTTCTTACCTTGGGGGCGTGCGAAGCGCAGAACGCGGTTTTGTTCTTATAGAACACGCAGTTGTCCTTGACGGCACAGCCGAGATGGTAGACGCTGCCGCATCGCACCTTGAAGCACCTGACGGTAGCGCCGAGTCTGCGGCAGACCGCGCACGTGGCACTCATGCCGGCTGCCAAAGCGCTGTCCACGTTCATTAACGCCCCACTGACAGTTTCGTACACTCCCTCCGACCAGAGCGCGCAATTGAGATGCACCCATCTGTCGACGTCGCAATTCAGCAGCCTCGAAACGCCGTCGCCGACACCGTCACCCTGGATACCGCACAGCTCGCACTTACGCGTGTCCTCGTTCGTAACGGGCATGATGGCCACCCCAGTTCGGAAAACCAGTTCCGTGAGCTCCCTGTCCGTGGGACGTTTGTATTTGACCGGCGGGCCGATGCAACCGGGCGACCACGCCTTGTAGCGGATGCCGCGATATTTCTCCCTCTCGACGCTTTGGTTGCTCTTGTCATCCTGTTCAACGCTCTTCAGATCTTCATCTAGAGCGCTCACGTCGTCGCCAACTTCTTTCATCAGTTCGTCGTTGTCGAGCGAATCGATAAACGACAAGTCCATCTTTTCGTCCTTGATGTCGGGTTTAATGTCTAAATCGTCAGTTTCCATGCTCTCTGTTGATGCTGTGTCGAAATCGTCTCTGTCTTTAGACAAATTGGTCTCGACATCAGATTTATTATCTTCCTTTATTGCAGACTTCGACTTCCCGTCAAGGATGATATTCGTTGGCCTCCAAGCGAATCGCTCATAGCATTGTGTGCTGCAAAAGTAGAGGTCGGAATCGCTGTCACATAGAATTTCTTCAGCGTTACCCTTGTTAGCTGATAGTAAAGGAAACTCTGAGGCTTTTGCTCTTACCACTGAATCTAAAATTACTACATCGCAATGCCGACAGAATTTTGCTGCTCCGTTTAGAATACTTTGGATATCAATAGGAGTACCTTCTTTGCCATCTTTTCCTTTTGATCGGTACAATCCCAATTTATGAGAAGGTGGAGTAGCTGTTCTTTCGATTATTTGATACGAAGTCGGAGGCGGTATGTGGAGTATTCCGGCTAACTCTTTAAGAACACCCAGAATATCTTCAGCAGCTCCTGAAGTTAGCGTTAGTGTCACCGTAACATTCTCATTACTCTCTGTACTTCCTGGGGAGTCTTCCATTTTAGATTTTAGAGGAGAGTCGGTGTCAAGGCTCTTTATCGATTTATGGCTATCATCTTCATCCTTGAGTTGGTATAAGGACAATGGTTTTACTCTTATAGGTATTGGTGCAATAATGGGTATAATGGGAGACACTCGACCAGAGGGTGTATCACTGTCTTCCTCTTCATCATCGTCATCAATAAATCTCAAGCCAGGGAATCTATTTGCTGGCTCTATTTCGAATCCTTCGGGGCTCGAACAACTAACGATACTGTCTGGAGTATCTGTATCTCTTTCTTTACAGATAAAGTCCAATTTCTTATCTTCTGGATCCTCATCGAAGATGATAGGTTGAAATTCTTGATCATAGAAACCTCTTTGCGTGGACGCCGGTGGTTTCTCGGGTAGAGGTTCTTCATCGCCAAATGGTTTAGTGTTATAATAGTCAGCCACATTTGGTATTTTAGCATTCCCAAATTCCCCAATTAAATCACCTTTCAAAATATCATAATCTTTGCTTTTTAACTTAGTTAAATCTCCAGAACCAAACAGCGGACAAACTGCAAAATTTGTCGTGAGCGTAGGCTCCTGAATTTGCATTGGTGGCAAAAGTCGTAGTTGAGTCATCAAATTGTCAATGAACGTATCATAGTCTTCTTCATATCTAGACCCTTTTCGAGGTCGTTTTTTAGCATTTGTTGTATTCAAGTTGTTTTCAGCAGCGGCTTTCATATTCATTTGCATTTGTTTACGTTTCTTTTGCTGATACTCTCGCCTTTTTCGTTTCTTTGCTTCGGAAGGGGTTTCAGGCGCGTTTGTTTCTGATGTGGAATCCATTGTAACGCTCTCAGGATATTCTTCCTTCATAGGTTGATCTAATTTTCCTTGATCGGAAGCTGTGGAGACACCTGAAGTTGCGGATTGCTGTGAACTTTCATCGAGCAACTCCTTTTTAACGTCCATAGGGGTGAATGGTCTATGTACGGGGCTTTGTTGGGGAGGAACCACCTCTTTCTTTATCATTTGGTGCATTGGTTGATTTTCTACATTCATCGAGTACATTTGCGTCTGAGATTTCATCGTCGGCGAGCTTTCCGGTAATGGTGTTGTTTCTTCCTTGTTCAAAATTTTAACAGGTTGTTTTCTAACATCCATCAAAGATTGCGTCGAAGTATGGATCAATGGCGAAATGGATGACGTCGGAATAGATGTTTGTACAGGGCGATTGCCAAAGTTAGAATTGACCGTGGTCATATGGCGCGGAGAATTGTTCGGAATTTCAACTTCTTGAGTTAGGGATAGAGTTGGAGGTGGTATTGAAGGCCTCGCTAGCTGGGCCTCTAAAGACGGTATAGTGCCTAAAGCAGGTGCTGTTCTTTGAATTGTCATGGTGCGTTGTGGTACTACATTCGCAGCAGTAGTTGTCGTCTGTAAAAGTTGTTTTAGCAAAACATTTTGGGATTCATCATTTCTCTGATTTCCAGTGCCTTGTTGAGAATTTTTATTTGTCGAGTTATCATTGGATGCTCCAGTGGCATTAGGATCATCTGTCTCCATAGGTTCAGACTTTACTATCACTGACTCTACACTGTGTCTCTTCGTGGGTTGTATGTGACCAACGATAACCTCACTTTTCGGCTCATCCGTAGATTTGGACCTCTTCAATGGCGATGTTAATTGTGTATGTAACAGTTTGGATGACGTTATGAAATTTATCGGGCCGGACGGTTGACTTGATTTTATTTGCATTTGCGTCATACCGGAACTGACTATTCCATGTGTTCGCACTGTGACATTTGGCGCTGGCTCTTTATTACTCATTATTGACCGTGACGTCATAACCAATGCTGGCGGTTGGCTTGAGCTGATGTTCTGAGTATTAAAAGTGAGATTGCTAGTATTAATTTGTCTGCTTGGCTGCAGTAAAGTATGACCTAATATACTTGTCGGTAGCGGTTGGCCTTTTTGGAAATTGCTTACACTTGTTGTAATTGTGTTATTGGAATGGATCATAGACACCGGCGTCGAAGAATTACTATGAATTTTAGACAAAGCCGGCATTTGTATAACTTGTGACGCCACCGTAGCTATATTGGAATCATCGTTAGAAGTGAAAGATTGATTAGTCAAAAGAGGCGATTGCGCCGGCGATTTCATTAACGAATTCTGCATACCAACGGGTGAGTTAATTGGAGATACCGTGGGAGATTTTCTCATCTGACCCATAGACGACAACGTATTAACACGGGATCCCATCATCTGCGCAGCGCTAATGGGCATGCTTTCTGAACTCTGAATTGACGTTGGAGGCTTCTCAATCCTCTGGACTGGTGACGGTCGAGATGTGGCCACTTCTACTTTGGATGATGGCAGCAAATTCTCGAAATTAACTTGCGTGGGCGTTGTAGCGTCACTGTTCTTCCGCATAGCCGAAAGATTTTGGGATTCCATCTTCGATGCGTTTGTGTTCAACGAAGACATTATAGTTCGCAACTGTTGCGACACGTTTGCCATGTTTGAGGTCAGCTCGGCCGGCTGTGACAATGGGGACAATTGAGGCACGGTAGGAGCCTGCAACTGTAACTTTTCCTGTTCCCGTTTCAAAAAAGTTGTTTGTTGCTCTTGAATTTCTTTATTTTCCTGTTTCGGTGTCTGCAGGCTTTGACTTGGTGCACTAACACCTGGTTTTTGATTCGCGTGCTTAACACTGTATGTTTTGGTATCATCTGTTATATTTTCAAAAATACTTAACATGTCTTCATAAGTTTCAACATGTTTTGAATTTCCCTCGACTGCTTCAGAGTGTTCCCGCATTGTGATGTCATTGAGATACCTCTCTTGCGATGGTGTGGGCGAAGGGATAGAGATTTGGACTGATTCTTGTGTCATATCAGATGTTATTTGCATATTCGAGTCGATAACCATTTCTTTGGTTTGGTTCGCTATTGCTTTGATGGTCTTAACAACACTTTCATCTTGTTTGTTTTCTCTTTCCGATAATGAGTTCTGCATTGATGTGTTATTATACGATAGCAATAAATTTCCTTGTAAATTATCGTCAGGCTTATCTTCATCGTCCCCTTCCATGATGTTATCAGGGATTTTTTCCGGTATTGGATCCGGACTTTTTATGTCAGCTTTCCCCAAAAGAAGTGGTGTTCTGTCGGTAATACAAAGCGTGTGTGGTAGTTCAGTTTGTTGGCTGATTTCTGTTTCTATATCAATATCTTTGTTAGATTCTTTCATAAGTGTTAAATGTTTATGTTCTTTCTGTGTAGGTCCATGAGATAAAGTAAGCAAAGATACCGTTGAATTCTGATTCTGGATCTCTGAATTATTTTCAGCACAAACTGTACTATCTGGTGAAGCGACATCGTCTTGAAAAATTTTCGCCGGCAAAGTCACATCGTGAGTCACAGATAAGCTAGAGAGTTTTGTATTCGTCAGTGATAAAGCTATTGGCTTCTCGATTGTTTTGACTATCTTCTGTTTTACTTGATGTTGAGTTAAAATTGAAACTGGAAGCCTGGAAGGGCCAGAATTCGAAGTTGCAAGTGCAATCACAGGATTTAAGTTTGCTACTTTAGGGACGTTTGAAGAAATTACACTTATGACCGAGCTTATAGGTTGCGAAGACATATTAACTGTCAAAGGCGGATTAGTGAGATTAAGTGGTACTTTTTTCATTTGCGGTTTCGGACCACCAGCGTGTCCGGTAACACTTGCAATGGGGACCGCGAGATTCTTCAAGACAGGCACGGAAATAGTTTGATTGGCTATAGATACGGAAGCAACAGTCGCTTGTGTCGCATCATTGAGAATTTTTGTATTACTATGCGAGGATAAGACTGTTGCGCTCAAGACTGGGAGCCGAGAGAGAGCAGAGGTTTGAGAGGGATTAACAATTTTATACTGTTGGACACCAGCCGAGGGCTGTTTGGCTGTAGCTAGACTTATCACTGCAACAGTTTTTGTTGTTGTCTCTGTCCTGGTGGGGCACTTTTCCTGATGAGCCGTTTCTTCCTCTACCTCATCTTCGGGCTTTCCGCTGTCAATCAATTCCTCGAAATCTTCCTCGGTAGCGATGCGTTCCTCTGGAGATATTGCGCCCGGTTCCACGACGACTATGTCATCGTCGTCCAAATGTTCGACGAACTCTTCGATGTCGTCGTCGTTGTCGTCCTTGGAGAAACTCATTCGGGCCGAATCATCTGCAGCCGTGGTGTACTCCACTCCATCAGTAGAATACAGAACGTATTTCCTTCCGTCGCTCGTCTCGCCGATCTCTTCTGATCTGTCGGTGCTAGGCGCGGCCGTCTTTCCCGTGAATCGCGGTCTCGGGGGTGTGCGCCTTTTCAGAATGGACACTTTGTTAAGGTGCGTGGGATGCCGTCGGTCTTCCTCTTTGGGCCAAATCGGGGCCCCACCGAAAAGGCCAACTTTGAAATATCTATAGCCGGGTGGTACCGGCGCCACGCGATGTGGTCGACCACCGCCGTGTTCATCACAACTTGGTGCCATGTAGTGTTGGTGACCACCACCATGGCCGTGGCCGTCATTAGGTGCCATGTGGTGATGGTGACCCCCACCATGGTCCTGGTGATTTGGAGCGGGCGAGGCGGCGGGCGAAGCCGATGGGGTTGGAGTTCGTGCCACGTGTGGGGAACGTGATAGGGACGGCGAGGCAGGCGCGCCGCCCATCGGACTGTACTGTTGCCGTTGAAGTATCTGTTGACGCTGCAAGGGACAAAAATTATGATACAAGGGTTTTATATTTGTGCTAAATTTTAAATTAAAATTAAATACAAATAAGACATTCAAATTTTAACATGTACTCACAGTCATTTCGTTTGCAGTGTTGCCGGGCGACGGTAAAGGCTGGGGACTGCCGTGCGGTGATGTTTGTTGACGACTTCCGAAAGGAACACCGACTCTCATGCCTTTAAAACAAATAGATTATACAGTATTTATTTCATAGCATACACGTCCATTTTAAAAGTCAAAATTCACTTACCCTGCTGATGGTGAGGTGGTCTCGCAAAACGTGTCGGTAGTGGAGAGCATCCCGGTGCAGGTCTTGAAAACCTCCCCGTAGCATAATCATTCTAGATGAGTAAATAATAATAAATCTTTACTGCATATACATATAACAAAAACTAACGTGAACTGTAACTAATAAGTGACAAAAACTTACATTTTGAAGCTGTGGCGAGTGAGAAGCCACAGGACTTTGTATTTGTGACTGCTGATAAATCTGAAAATTAGTATTTCTTTCTCAAAAATATTCGTACGGATTCTATTAACAACATATACTTTTATCTAAGTTAAGAAAAGATAACACGAAAATTGAAAATAGCGAACCTGTGGACTGCGACTGGGAGTCGGCAGCTGCGGACTGGTTCTCTGTGCCTGCAATTGTTGCAAGAAGTGCTGCGGGGACATCGAAGATTGCATGGGCGACTGCTGTGTGTGCATCGGTGACTGCTGTATGTGCATCGGACTTTGCTGAGAATGCATCGGGCTTTGTTGCGGATGCATCGGGCTCTGTTGCGGATGCATCGGACTTTGCTGCGGATGCATCGGGCTCTGCTGCGGATGCATCGGGCTCTGCTGCGGATGCATCGGCGAGTGCTGAGCGGACATTTGCTGCTGCGCATGAAGCGGCGACTGGTGTATCGGGGACTGCTGCGGCATGCTCTGCGCTTGCTGCACATGCATCGGCGACTGCTGCGAGTGGAGCGGCGACTGCTGCGCGTGGAGCGGCGACTGCGTGGACGGATGTAGCGGCGACTGCGACGTGTGGTGCAGCGGGGACTGCTGCGAGTGGAGCGGCGACTGCATCGGCGACGTGAGGTGGTGGAGGGGGGACTGCGGCGCCAGCGAGTGCAGTGGCGACTGCGAGTGGGGCGACTGCACGTGGAGCGGCGACATCGCCGGCCTGGAGCCCGGCTGCCGCGGCGTTTGACCGCCCGCCGGCATCGCCCCCCTCACCCCCGACAGCTGCTGCTGCCCGAACTGAATCATCCCGCCCACGGACTGCGGCCGTTCCTGGATGCCGGACAGCTGCCTCACTAGCTGCTGCTGCTGCGCCCCGGCCTGCTCGATCACTAGTGTCCGCCCGCCTTGCAGAATCCTGCCTTGCGCGCTAAGCGGTGATGTCACCAAGCCGATACGTTGCTGCGACATTGGCTGCCCGTCAGAGTTGAGGACGGTCTGTTGGGTGCGTATGAGTGTCTGTTGCTGCTGCGCGGGAGATCCCTGCAGGCCTATTTGCATGGGACGATTGATAGTATTCTGCTGCATCTGAGGGGACTGTCCCACGTTCTGGTTCTGCGTGAACACACCCTGATTGGACGTGATTTGTTGTGAATTTACAATCGTCTGCTGAGCCAACTGAGGATTTTGTTGGCGATGTTTAGTTTGATATTCCTAAAAGAAAATATCAATATTAATTACATAAAAAAAATTGTTTATGCAAGTATGTTATTAGAACAAATTATATAAGTCTGTATGAAAATTATACCTGAATTAGCATGCTATGCTGCCTGGCTTGCTTTCTAGCAGCTTCGAGATGCTTCTGTAAGGCTTGCTGTTGCGTCGACACCTGTTGCAGGGCGGCTGCGTCGTTCGGCATTAGCTCGTTGCCGGACTTGCGCAACTGACGTTGCTTGCTGTTCAGCGACTGCAAGATCGAGATCATCAATGTAGGGACAGTGTTCGGCTCGCAGCAACAGCGCTCAGCGCACGGAATGTCCCGAGTTAGTCACAGTGCGAAACTAATCAACGACCCGCGAAAGAGACGCGACCTGCGGGGGAGATCTAGGAGACACGGTACAGGAGGAGTGTAACACGCTACTACTGTAAGCACACGAACACGGAAGCAGCTACGGGGCTCACCTTGCGGGTCTTGCGCAGCTTCTGCACCTCGGTCTCGTAGTAGCGCAGCTGGTCGACGGCGAAGGCGTTGTATTGGTCGAGCCACTGCTCGTAGAGTAGGCGCGCGTGGTGGTCGGCCTCGGTGAGGGGGCGCTCGGGCGGTGCGGGGGGCGCGGGGGGCGGCGCGGCCGCGAAGAGCACCACGCTGGGCGGGGGCGCGGGCGCGGCCGGCACCGCGCCGCCCGCCGGCGCCCCGCTCCCGCCCCCGCCGCCGCCCGCGCCGCCCCCCCCGCTCGGCCCCCCCCACTCGCCGCCTTCGCGCTCTTGCTCGCGCTTTTCCTGCTCCAGTAGCTCCTCCAGAAGCAACGGTTGCTCCTGGTTTACGTTCTGACGGTTAAATTTTGCTCTCGTGACGTCGCTCCTCGAGTGACGTCACCCGCCACCGCAGACTTTATCTCCGGTCGCGTTCGTTAGGAATTAGTTGACGCGTGCGTATTCTATTGTTCTAGTGTGCACACGTTCGTGAGTAAATATAGCAATTTAGTTAAATACTTTTAGTTTTAATTTTAAGACATTTTATCTTTCTGACAATATACCCATCTCATCTTCTGAGACTTGCATAAAAACTATTTCCTACTCACAACAGTACAGAGCAAATAAACAAACGATAACATTTAAACCCTACAACAGATTAAGAAGAAAATACGATATACTGGACAGACAAAAATGCTTATTATAAACAAGAATAACATGTACCAGAAAATTTTCAAATACAAACTATTTTTAAATACTGACATGACAACATGGAATTACAATTTTGCTCTAACAACAAACATAATCATTGCCATAAAGGAAACAAAGGTGTAGCAGTGCATGAAAGAAACAATTTTATTGTGCTAAATAATACATTTAGAATTGATACAATCTATCTAAAACATATCCATTGTGTATTTGTGTATTCTTCTACACTCCGTATTATATGTTGATGTATTATGTGTACTTCTATTAATACTAGTAATTTAGCCATGTAAACATATGTTTATTTAAATATAAGATGTTATTCATTACAGAATAGTCAATACACATAATACGGAAAACGGTAATACACATTACATTTTCAGCTTTCAGAAGTATTCATTCTAGAAAATTTGTCAAAAATTTTTAATATTGAAAAGTATACATACATTGAATTTATAACACTTAAATTGGACGAAACATATGATTCACCACCACCGAGTGAGACCAGCAAAACGAAGATGAGATAGGCAATTGACCATAACAGCAGATAAATAGATGAAATAGCAACATTAATCTCGAGTATGTTAATATTCTAGTGCTGACAGTACTGGTCTGTTTTTATTAGTTGTTGAATAGTATTAGGGAAGACACTGAAAAGGTATTAAAAGGTTAGTTCAGTACGCATGCGTGCGGCTTACAAGCAGAGTCAAAAGCACATAAGGTGATCAGCTGTGACAAGGGTACTAATTGGGTGCTAGTGAGGCGTTTCTAGTGCTGTAAGGATTTCGATGGTGGGTAAAAAGTATGTTGAAGAATAGTAGAATAGATAATTGACAATTAGACGTAATAGTTTTACTGAGAAATAAGTTGGATTTATTTTAAAATTAAAACAATACATTTGCCATATATTGCTATATACATTTAGAACATATTTTATTTGTATTTGTTTGTTCATGGTATGGATGATACAAGATGTATATATAGGGAAGATCTAATGGAATCATAAACGGGCAGGACGTTACACCGGTCACGAATATACCATTTGGAGGCATTTGATGCTTTAATGTGCAAAAAGAGTGAAAAATAAAAGAAACCAGTTTGATTCGATTCAAAGAGGTAGAGTCAGAAAGAGCATTGAATTCCGAACGCCTATACTATACAATATTGATTGGGTGGTGGGTGGTGGTGGGTGGTGGTGGGGGGAGGGGGCGGGGTCTGACCTGCAGCAGCAGCGGGCGGCGGTGCAGCCACTCGCCCCACGCGTCCGCCGCGTCATAGGGCGCCTGTCCGCCAACAACCAATCACCGACATGCAAACAACACGCCTGTACGTACTCGCCTGCGCTCGCTCCTCCACAAACCGACGCGTCGACTGGCTCGCGTTCGTAAAAGCCTTTCTCTCGTTAGTAACTTTACGATTTGATGGTATCCAATGTCCAATCCATTTCTTGTTACGCATTATTGTGAGTGATGCAGAGAGAAAAACGCTTATGAACACGCGGAAATGCTTCCTAATACCCATGCAATATTAGTCCTTAGTCTTTTTATAGAGACAAGCGAATTTGATTCATATTTACATAATTAATGAAAGCCTCCACCGATGCCAATGTTTGAACGAAATAATATTGCTGTGGATATTTTTTACGCCTAGTACAGATCACTGTTTTTACTGCGATGCGATCAAACTTAAGCAGCCTATGAACATCATCGATGTCCGATTCACATTTATAATTCGAATAACGTAAACTTTACTAAGATTTATTTTATCCGCCCATGGCATTTAATTATAAGAGGCTCAATATTCTAATTTAAAAAGTATATGTAGAAATACTTTATGTCTATATTAGGATCAGTATTCTTTGTAGATACTATTTAACTATGAGTTTTTCAGTTTAGTTTATTTGTTTAAATTGTACAAGCATTTAAAATTCCATAATAATAATATACTAGCACTACATGAACTTCTTCCATTAGGGTTTATAGTATAAATATGTAATAGACAAAGTAAAACGTTATTTAAAGAAAATTTATCAATATTGTCTTGTTATAAATGTGAATCCCTGCGTCAACAACATACATTTAAAGCGAACGAACATGTTTTGAAGTTAAAATAAACTGCAAAACAGGTTCCAAAATACACAGATATAAAAAAATACTACATGCACATTTTATCAAACAATACTCCATAGTATTCAATAATTGAACTAAAACAGCACGATAATACAAACGATATACGCTTTGGTGTATTTGTCATAGGATTTGTGTGAAACAATATTTAGTATTTTTTATAACGATTGAGTCATTGATCAAAGTCTATTCTTACTACAAGACTATTTATTAAAATTGGTACGATTGATATTTTACAAGAAACATTAATTCTTGCTTCCTTCTAATCCGGAATTAATAGATCACGAACACCGTGCGGGTCGGCGTAACGATATGTGTGAGACGGCAGTAGTGCGAGTGTAACTGTCCGTGGGGCGCGCGCGTGTGAGTGTGGGTGTCGGTGTGCGCGTGTGCGTGCGCGTACCTGCGGGTAGGGCGGCGGCGGGGGCTGCGGCGGCTGCGGGGGCGGCGGCGGCTGCGGCGCGTGGTGCGGCGGGGGGGCGCGCAGCGTGCCCGGGTACGGCGGTGGCGGCGGCGCGCGGCCCACGCCGCCCGCTGCGCCCGCTGGAACCGTGCGTTTATTTGTTATCGCTTTATATAGCGCGGCTAAAATTTGGACGGATCTAAAGTTCATCCGAGCTATTGTGTAGTACGCTGTTTATGCATCTATGTATAATATGAACTTGTTTACAAAAGTATGTACAAGTATGTTTATTTGCTTAGTTTGGAAGAAGATAAGTGTACCTGGGTGGGGCAGCGGGGGCGGGTGGGGCAGCGCGGCCAGCGCCACGGAGCGGTCGTGGCGCACGACGCCCACGGCGCCGTCCGCGCCCAGCAGCCGCGTGCCGGGCGCGATGGCGCGCCCCGCCGCCAGCGCCGCCTGCACCTGCGCCGTCATCGCGCTCACGATCTGCGCCGTGTGCGCGCTCTGCCCGCCCTGCTACCATGCATACATAGCCGCTCTTATTGCCGTCTCGATACGATTATAGTTAGCTACGATAGATCTTCTTGGTCACAGTGCTCGTTGGGACTAACTACCCCATACACACAAAATACAATACAAACTAGACCTAACAAATCATTATAACGACTTATTAATACTTTTGAATACATACATACAAAAATTGGCCCTATAGCAAAGAACACATAAATAATATTATATTTTATGCTGTTGGTGTACCTAACAATAAATAAATACATTCAACCAACTACAATAAACTCCCACAAGCCTATTTTCAACAAAATCAAATTTAATTTTTTTTATTAAATAATAACACAATGTTTACCTGGGCGAAGTGCATATTATGTTGCCCACTAAGCTGAAGTTGAGCCCGCTGAACCAGCTGTTGACTGATTACTTGCTGTCCCGGTTGACCAAACTGTTGCGTTGGGCGTTGTGCTGCGTTTTGTTGCTAGAAGAGAAACAATTAATTACATGCAACAATCATATCAGTCATCACATGTACGAAAAAGCTTACTTGGTTAAATTTCTATAAGTATATGAATAGTACATTTATCAGTATCACAACTAAATAAGTTTGGTCTAAGTTCAATAGTAATTTTATTCCAGTCATAGTTTCCACTGTACTTCTGTATATTGATGGAGATAGCAGTAACTGTGGGATGTAAGTGTTTAAAAAAGCAATTACTTGTATGGGCACTTGGAGCCTCTGCACGCCGCCAGCGAATATCTGCGAGAAGACGGGCCTCTGCGGCGATTGAACGGCTCGCCATTCGCCTTCCGACTTTATTTCCTCACCTTCTAGCTTAATTTCAGACTTGATTTCTTGCATTGCCGCCTGTTATACATTTGTTACAATTATATTCCAATAGTTGAAATATTTAAAAGTAGAAGAATAATAATATCGGATAACACTTTTATTTGTTTTCCCTAAAGTAATACAAAAAAAAAATTACGATAAGTCTTAAATCTTTAAAGTTATTACATATGATTGAATTTTATATAATGCGCAAACCATTATTAAAAACATACCTGTATAGCTATTTGTTGATTCTGTGTGATGACCCTGTGAACTCCTTCGGGGAACATTTGCCCAACATTGGGAGTTGAGGAGCGAATTTCAGATTTAACATCTTGATTTTCAGTTTTGATGGCCTCCATTTCAGGCTTCACTTCAGCCTTATGCCCTTCTATATTCTTGACGGCGGCTTGGAGCTCACTGTCCACTTTACTCTCAGACTTATTATCATTATCATCACTGTAACAAATATGGACATAATTCTAATTTGCGCGTGTTAACTATATAATATTAAAGAAAAAAAAAATTATTCAAGTATCCGGGCATACTTTTGAGTAGACTATGTTTCCTCTAAAGTAATACAAAGTGTTTGGAGACCACTCATACCACAGTAACTTATTGGATTCAAATTTGTTTCGATTTAAAAATAACCCTGTACAAATGCATAAGATATGTTTTATCTAATAAACGCTTTCGTCAACTGAACTGTCCCATATGATGGAATTTCCTATAAACATCATATCAAATGTTTGTAATCTAGACGCTACCATATAATATTTTTTATGGTTTTGTTGGATGATCACCGGCATAGATTAAGTGATGAGTCCGTGATGCAGATGTTCGCAGGGTTCAATTCCCACACGAGACAATTATTTGTGTGACACACAGATAATTGTTTCGGATCTGGGTGTTTGTACACGTGAAATTTATATCAGTAAAACATTCTTACAACACAGTAAAGAGCAAAATTTTCGAAGGGACAACTACAATGATCTCTTGTCTAGGTTGTGGTGGTTGTTCCTCACAAATCATAATCACAATCATGAAGGACAGAGTGTGGAAGAGTAGCAGACATATCTATGTCTGTCTATCTAGCCTCATCTAGATTGCGGAGAATAAATAAATCTTTTATGGGACAATGTATACGATTTTACAAGAAAGTATCAGAAAACTTTCAACATGAATCAGTTGCTAAATTAAAAAAACTTTTAAAGAATTGTTTGTTGTGTTAAAGGCTATCATAACATTAGTGATTGTTTAAATGATAACTCACTTCCGAAATGAATTGATCGTTCCTGGCTATTTCAAGGTGAATTTAATATGTTGTAAAAAATATGTTTTAATTTAATTTTATTTTTTCAAACTACGTTAAAAAAAAAAGAAAACTGTCAAATTATCCCGCCGCCGAGTTTCTTTCGCCGGTTCCTCTCGGTTCAGTGGCTTGGTTCAGAAGCGGCAGTAGTGTGTTTTGACCGTGAATGATTAAGTCGTGATGTGGCATACTCGGGGTTCCGCTTGGCGTGGCGCTGGTCGGCGTGGCGGTCGCCGTCGTCGGCCAGCTCGAGCCCGTCCAGCAGGTGCGCGTCGTTGAGCGCCGCCAGCTCGGGGTCCGCGTACTCCAGGATGTTGAACTGCTCGCCCATCTCGGCCGTCAGCGACTCCAGCAGCGCCTCGTCGTCCTCGCCGCCCAGCCCCGTCAGGATGTCCACCTAAAGAGAGTCGTTTTATTTTATTTATACATTGAAATGAGACAGCCCCTCATTATTGATTCCGACAAGTGCATTCAGAGTTGTATGGGCTTAATGAGCAGTAAATGTGAGTTTATAGCAGTAATGTATCAAGTAGAGGCTCATTCAAAAATCTTTCATGACTCTTTAATAAAAATACAATGCTAATAAAATGGTAATTTAGGTTGAAAAACAAATAACAGTTTCAACACTAAAACATTAGTGTTTATTTTAAATCTTTATAATTGTTCAAAGTTCACAGAGGTCTTAACAACACAACAGAGATATCATATAAAAAGCATATAATAAAAATATTTTAAATATTACAGTACACTGTAACTTTGTCCAATTATCCACCATACCTCTCCAATATTTCCGGCATCTTGCTCCAGTTTGTCCATGTCTCCCATGTCCATTTCATCAGTCCCTTGATCTTGCCCAGAATCTTGCTTGCTATCTCCCACAGCATTTGAAACTGTTAAAACAACGTACATTCCAACAATAAATTTCATCAATGGGTGTTGCCAGGGAAGTCTGTATGGATAGGGCTAAGATTAAGCTCTTTGCCACACCATTAACCCTACATTATTCATTGTGAGGATAGTCCTGCATGTTAATTTATATAGTAACAGCCTATACATATCCCACTGCTGAGCAAAGGCCTCCTCTTTTACAGAGGGTATCACCTATGTTAAATTATATAAGATTTGTAAAATGTCGTCTTTGCAGCATCACAGATCTGGTAGAAAATGAGACAATAGAATCATTGGCCAGATATGAGCTGTATAAACCACACAGACAGTTTATATCCTCCACTCTAAAAACAAGCCAATGATATCTTCAATTGACTTGTAGAACGACTGTGGAGTTAAAGTTGCACATATTTTTTAATTATTTTAGTCTCAACAATTAGACCTATCATATTATAGTCATATTCATTTTGGATTGACCTTCATCAAATCAATAAAAACAAATTCAATTAGGAATTAATTTTAGTTCATTTGATTACATTATGTTTTGTTTGCTTATGTATACAATATATATTATATTAGATATTAACCATTTGTTTGCGAGGCATTGGACTGTTTTTGTTCCATCAAATGTTGAGTGACTGGATGAGGAATATTCTGTTGCATTTGAATGTTGTCCGTGGCCACGATGCGTTGCTGCATTATCACTATGAAACATATAAAAAATTAATTTTTGTTTGGACAACAGGGTTGTAAATCAAATAATTGACAAATTTAGAACAAAGTGGAAAATCCACTAGTTAACATCTTTTTACTCTCCCCTTTCCTTAAGCATATTTTAGGGGGGTTATCAATTTATTATATTAATCATTTTATAGAGATTCATCAAGAGAGGAGGTAGAACTTACATTGGTGGTCAGGTCTCTGTCCGGGCTGCAATGGAGTCCTAGGTCGTAAACCAACTGGTAGTGGCTGCCTAAATGGTTGACCTTCTAGATTGACGCCTTGGACTGCACCTTCTTCATTGCCAGCCTCTGATTACAATATACGATCAGATTATTCTCTCGTTACAAATGTTCATTGTTGAATGTCCTTTGTAAGGTGTTGTATGCTGTAAAAGATGCACACTTGTTTACACTAATATTTTAATAGATTCTTCATAAAAAATCATATAATCCTTTTTTCAGTGGATTGCATTACTTCAAGACGCAGTTAGCATTGGCTACGAGGATTGGATTTAAACTAAGCAAACTGGTAAACAATGACATCCAAACATGAAATCTTAATATGATGATAAGAGGAAATGATAATGGTGATACGAAAATATGCTTACGTGGCGGCCACATCTTGTCCGGATGACGCTGCAGCAAATCTCGCAGCTGCCTGTTGATGTCGTCGTTGGTCGCGTAATGCAGCGGAAAGCGCTGCGCGGGGAACGCGCTCCGCGGCGCTTCGGCGGTAGGCGTGGGCGCGGCCGGCGAGGGCGCTGTGGGCGTAGTCGGCGCAGCGCTGGCCGCTGGATTGCCCGGCGGGGGGCTGCCGTCTGGTGCGCGCATTCGCTGCATCGCTGCTACATTTGGAAGACTCGTTGTTGCTTTGACCGTTGTTGTTCAGTAAAGGTTAGTTCCCGTAGTCGCCGATACATCGAATATCTTGTTCTTGATCTCTTGTTAATGTAATTACTGTGGTACGCAACAGCTCCACCTGTTGCACGAATGGGCAGGTCCCTACGGGTAAGTACCACGACCTCACAGAAGATCAGCATGTAGTGGAAGTGTTATACTTCTGCGCTTCGTTTAGTGAATGAGGTAGCCAGGGTCCATTCTATTATAAGGTGTGACCGCATGTGTGTTGGTGATGGCTACGGGTTTTTCAAATGTCCGTGTGCGGCGGTTATCAATTAATATTAAGTGAACCGCAAGATCGCTTGCTACCTTCTCACATTAAAAAATAATTTAAAGATCCTCCGACCACCAGCGTGGGGACCCTGATTTTCCGCAGAAGTCCAATCTAGCACGGGCGTTAGGCACACCCCAGCAATCTTCTTAGGCTCAATGCAGAGCGACACTACAATTGGTCCTGGTGTCTTTACAAAATACACATTCAAATAATAGACATTGAATAAAAAAAATTCTTTGAAATGCCCCTCGTTAAAATTTGTCCTTCTGGGTATGTGTCTAGTTCCAACTAATTATACAGGGTGGTTTTCTAAATGTTCCCAAATTTACACAGGTTGTTCAGCCTCGGTAGTATAATCGTTTATTGAAATAAGAAAAAACTTTTTTTTTTTTCAAAAAATTGGCATTCTATTCAATAGAAACCAGAGCTTGTTGACAATGCGGTAGTCACTCATAAATGCGTCGTATACTTTTGAAACGAACTTGTGTAAATGCGTCGTATACTTTTGAAACGAACTTTTGTGCGTGTAAGTTAGGAATGATCGCGCATAAAATAAATGAGTTGCCCATAAATCACGCACCCTTTGAGATGAGTTCAAATGAATGTATTTAATTAATTACGAGTGATTTTAAATATTTATAATTTTTCATATAACATTATTTATGTCTAGAATTTAATTAAAAAAAAATGGATACACTTAGAAAAGTCTCCCTGTATACAGCGTGTCGTTACCAACGCGACGTTTTTTACTTAGGTTTGTTTCGAAAAAAAAAAAATTATTACGAAGAACGAAGGTAGTACCTTGTATCCGCTGGTCGTGTATGATCTGCTGCTGCTGCTGCGTCTGCTGCTGCCGCATCTGCTGCAGCTGCTTCCACTGGCGCTCCTGCTCGGCCTCGCGCGCGCTGCGCTGCTGCCCGCACGCGCGCTCCTGCTCCTGCGCACGCGCACACCGCCCGTCAGCCGGGCCGCACCGCCCCGCCCCGCCCCCCCACCGCCCGCCGAACGAAACCCCTCCCCCGTCAAGTTTTTTTGAACGTTTGCGAACGTCCCGACCATGCAGTTACACTAGCGAAGTTGAACGTTACACGAAATTAATCTTCAACCGTCCGTTGGCGCAACTTTTGATAATGCCTGGCATCGGTGAATGCGGACCCTCCCCAGTAGGTTTTGTTATTCATCGAGTTTCTGGCAAGTTATTAAATAAATCCACTGGATTTATATAGTGCGGTCCGCGGCAGGCTTTGATATTGACGACGCGGTAAGGACGGCAACACGAAGGGGTATCGTGTTTCCACAAAACAGTAAAATAGTAAAAGATAGTGATCAGTGTTAGGGAAGACCTAATCTTCCCAGTTCTTCAGTGCTTGAAAGGAAGCTTCTAGTGCTCTCTATTGATCTCGAAACTGTGACCTCTGATCATCAAGAATCAATTCCTAGTGGAATAACTTGTGGTATATTTTGTATCCTAAAGACAAGCTCAATGCAATTAGAAATAATATTAAATTTAATTTCTATATAAATTTAAACATAGTTTGAAAGGAAGATTAATTTTGTATAATAGTTAAACTTGTATGGAAGATTCGCAAACGATGCATCTTTTAAATATTCACAATTAAAAAATTGAAAACTAATTAAAACAAATTGATACACGAGTTTCGTTCGGATACAAGGCAGTTGAGTGGGTATTAGCAGAGTTATGTCTTAAATATAATCATCAGTTGTCAATAACTACTTAATGTGTAAGATGGAGTTATTCAATATGTGTTCTTTATACTTTTTGTCCACATATAGTAATGTGGAATTTTTTTCCTTTTCTTCTGTAACAATATACTGCCCAACAAATTGTGTGTCCACCGGTTATCAACTAATGTTTAAAATGAACAAAATATTTTCGAGATTTTAATTAATATTATGATAATTAATTTAAATTCATAATGATTGCGAAAGAGGTAAAGTCCAATTGAAAAAAAGTAAAGATTTATATTATTAAAAGTGACGAGTTATTTAACAAATGACGAAATATTTAAGCACCATAATCTGCAATTAATCATTATTTACAAGAAAAAAAAATTGTCAGTGTGATGAAAAATATTTACAAGTGTGATTTGCTGCTGTTAATTTATACTAATCATTTAATACAGGTTCGAAATACTACTTGTTTAACTTTACATGCTGTGTTATTGAAAATTATAAGTTCCTAAAGAAAATTAATTTTATCTGTTTTCATAATAAAAAAATTAAAAAATTAACTTAGTGGAAACATCTGTAAAATATTAAATTGAACATCATTAAAGTGGAAAATCATCACATTTGCTAAACTAATACATTAGAATATTAATAAATACATAATTACAAACTTATTTTTCTTAAGGAGGCAATTAATAAACAAAATCAATTAGTGTTTATTAAAAAGTTCCTGTAAACTTACATCTAATTAACAACAATCCAACTGAACTCAACAGTGCAACTGAACAATCAACTAAAGTAAATCTAATGTTAGAACTGTTAGCACACCACAACCAGCCACCTACGACCAATGTTAAAGCCGACACTACCAATGCAAAGCGTGAAATAAAATTGAAAACAACATTACGGAGACAGGGACACGAGTCCGGGAGGCGATCTGGGGATAGGACACGGTTCCCTCATTTGAAAACAAGCTAAAAGAAAATTATAAAACGAAATGAAAAAAAAATTAAAGTAAATAATCACACAGCTTTACAACGCCATCGAATTGCCAAAAATCGCTTGTTGGGTGACGACAAATTTTGAATAGAGAGGCAATGAGACGGAAAGAGGGCCGCGGAGTGCAACGCGCTATCACCCAACAACGTACGGAATATGTCTCGCATACGCATATCTGCCGGTGTTAAGTGTAAAAATTAACTTTGATGGTGAAGTTGATGGTGATATTTTCGTGTTCAGTGACATTATGCATGATATATGTATATAACTTCTGTATAAATAGTAATTTAACGTAATGATAATAAATATATTGGTGAACTTTTAAGTGGTGAAGTGTGGCGAAAAGTTTGATGTAAATATGCGTTGTGTGTGTGACGTGTGTTGAGTGCGTGTGCGACAGAGGTGCGTGTGCGAGCGGGACGGCAGCAGCAGCAGCAGCGGGAGGGGGGAGCGCGGTTGCCGCGGTACCGTGGTTGCGCGCGGGGTCGGGGGCGGGGGCGCGTGCGCGAGCCGCGGCAGCGTGCGCATGATCTCGGACGGCGTGAGCACGCGGATGTGCGCGTCGGCCTCCAGGAGCCCGTCCGCCGTCACCGTGACGTTGGGCGCGCGCACCGCCGGGCCCGCGCCGGTCGCGCCGCTCGCCGCGCTCTGTGCGCCGACGCCGACGCCTGTCGCGCCGACACTGGTGACGCCGACACCGGTCACACCGACACTGGTGACGCCGACACCGGTGACGCCGACGCCGGTGACGGCGACGCCGCCGGCAGCCGGGACGCCCGCGCCGCCGGTGCTAGCGGCCGCGACGCTCCCGGCCTCCGACTCGCCGCCCGTGCTCTGTCGTCGCGCACGCAACTCTTAAAATGTCGCCGCGCACGTCGCGCTCGCATCGTATCGTTGTTGTGTTCCAACAAACGCGACGGAAACACGCGCAACGTATTCGCCGGTACAATTTCGTTCCAAAATCCATTGAAACCATTTATTTATACACGTATTGTAGGTGAAGTATATTAATAGCTATAATTATTCACGCGTTATAACAAAAGAAGTAATAACATTTTGTATTTGAAATTAAATTGACAAGTATCTTCAAAGTTTTATAAATTGACTATGTTGTTGAGAATACAGTCACTGTCTTGTTATCTAACATTTTACACATAGTATTTTGATTAAATACAAAATATTGCAATTGAAAAATATGAAATGTAAAATCGTATTTTATTTATTCAGTAGCAAAAATACTATTATTTATCTAATATAATACATAAATATTCTCATTCCATTTCATGATCTTTCGATATGTATTCTATTTCCCTCCCACATAACACAAAAATGTAATATCACACTAACATACAATGAATAAAAAAAACAAATCCTTTAGTTATATACTAAAACAACAAAAATGACTATCTCTAGTTAATGTACAAAAATAAAAATTTATGTTTATTTTATTAAACTACAATTTTAAATTATACAATTCAAACTTAGTAAAATATTTTAATAATTAGTTTAATATGAATATAATGACACATATACAATAATACTGTAGATCCTTTCACTTTTATTAACTTAAAATTGTTATTCTATTATTATAGCTTTTATAATTTAAGTTATTCATATAATTATGTGATTTTCACACATTTAAGTGTGCTGAATATAGATAATTACATACTATAAAATATTTCAAAAATATAACAGTTCAACTTTTGATTTTTTTGTAATAGCCAAAAGTTATTATAAAAAAAAAAAAGATATATACAAGTGCAATTTAAACAAGCGATAGAATCTACAGCCTCAATTGTGAAATATCAATTAGCAGGAATTGACATTGTCTTCATCTTATACAGATTTCATTGCATACACCTTCAATTTCAATAAATTCCAATACAAGCATTAGCAATTCTCGCCTAATTGATTCCAAAATAAAACGACAAACTTACTGAAAGAAAAATAGTGTATGCAATAAATGACAACTCACCAAAATATTTGAATGCAAAAGTTTCAACATTGACTGCCTCATAACAACAATATTGATCATTCTATTCTGTATTACACAAACGGGAATGGCCGAAGCAACCGGGTCAAAGACAGATGCGTACGTTTGCTAACAAATATTTCGTGGTGTGAACAAGCGTCCGCTGAGGTGAGGTGGGGCACACATTGTGAACACAGTGGTGAGTGAGTTTGGTTAGCACACACTTGGTAGGGGAGACGGAAGGGGGCTCACCTGCTGTGCCTTCTTCATGCGGATGGCGCTGCGGTTGTCACGCGCCCTCTGCAGGTAGGGCGCCTTCTGCTCGGAGGGCAGCGCGCGCCACTTCTTCAGGATCTGCTTGCACCGGTCCACCCAGTTGGGGAACTCGGCCTTCCACTCGGGGTGGTTGGTGTTCGCGTACAGCACCGCCGATATCGTGGCGGCCGAACCCAAGCCTGCACGCAAAGTTGTAAACTTTCACCTCGCGCGAATTGATAGAAACTGTTATGCATCGTTTCAAAAATTTCATTACTCGAGTAAAAAGTTGATGAGGATGATCCAAAGATCCATGGAAAGTAAAAATTGCTTTGACAGTCGGCCAAGAGGTTCCGTGAAAGAGTTCGCATGTCACAAGTCATATACAAAAGTCGCTGTAGAGGGGGTAACGGCCTGTTTTAATATTCTATCTACAGATAGATTTGATTCCTGGAGATAGAATTTTGCCTTAAGTATTATGGCGCTAATGTCAAATACCTTTCGCTAGTAACCAAATCTATCTGTAGATAGAATATTGAAACCGACCGTTAGTGACGTTGGGCGGGAACTCACTCTCATCGGCTCTCATCTTATCGGCACTGCGCTGGTTGTAGGAGGGGGGCGGCGCGGCCGGCTGCTCGCCCCACGTGCCGGAGCCGCACTCCGAGAACAGCGGGCTCAGCGCGCTGTTACTGCTGCAACATCGACTGGCTCGTTATAGACATCGTTCTGTATGAATCTTTCTTTGTCGAGTGGAGTTCTATTGAGTTGTTTGAATGAGTGTAATGTTAATTAGTTCTTAAAGTCTCTAGTTGCAGGCAATTTTTGAGAAACAAAAACAAACAGGCAATTTTTAAGAAACAAATCATTGCTCAAACTTTCACAACTCTTACATCTCGCTCCCCTTCTCCCCATCTTCACAAACATGTCATTTATGTCGCCTTTTAGAAAATTTCAATGTCAGTAGGTAGAAAAATTAAAGTACCACAGCTCTCGTACCAGGGCATTCCTTCATCAACTTCATTTTATCCTAATTTTAAAATTTGATAACCTGTCATTTAATTACATTAGTATGGATACTAGAGATTTTATTTGAATATAAAATTTCATTCATAGCAAGATAACACAATAAAGACGCATATACTATATTGATTTCTTGTTAAGTTTTAATACCTTATATTTACATGTAGGCTGATGACAACCAGTGTTCAACCATTCTTTATCATGTGTAATTTCATATCATTTATTGCATCAGTTATTCTAATAAATCACTACATAGTATACAACAAAGTCATCCCGCTGTCTGTCTGTCGCTATATATAGTAAGATCTTTAAAACTACGCAACGGATTTTGATGCGAGTATTTTTAATTAGAGCGATTCAAAAGGAAGGTTTATATGTATAATTTTAGGAACACTGATGATTTTAGAGGTTTGTAATGTGATGTCGAGTACAAACATTCAGCGTTGCACCCATGCAAAGCCGGGGCGGGTCGCTAGTATACTAAATTATGTTATAATGTACCTGCTGCCGAACTCAGTGTGGTACGGCGACGCGTAATCCATGGGACTCTGCAACTGTTGCCTTTGCTGTGAGTAGGGCGTGCTTGCCATTGAGTTAACATAAGAAACAGACGACTCCTGCGACTCCTAAAACAATTAGGTGACTAGGTAAACATTGGCCTAGGTAAAAACAGTAGCAGCAGCAGTAGATACCAATTTAGAGCTTTTTGTTAGTTATTGTGTTAAGTTAGTAGAATTTGACAGCGATACACTCCATATCGCTATCAAATTCGCGCCGCAGTCCAAGTCGCTGTGTGCTTAGCTCTTACGGAGTTGGTGCAGTTTAGATCAGCATTGTTATTTGTTTTTATTAATATAGTTTTTTTGTAAGATCTCAACTAGCTCTGTTAAGCGGTGATTCGCTTTAATTTCACACAAACGCTTTTAAAATTTGGAATATATTCAGAGAGTGTACAATAAACGTTATATAACCATGCTCATTGTATTTGTGACAGTCTACATACACCTCCGAGGTGTATGTAGGCTGTCACGTCACACCCGCTGGTGATAAATGCTTTCCATACATCTTAAAATACTTATTTAGGTATCATCCAAAATGACTGCATCCATCAACTAATAATAATTATACAGCGTGTCGTTACCATCGCGACAATAAATGAACACACGCCTAACGCTATTTGCCAATAATCATAAAAAATATTAACGTCAAATAAAATCCATAATTTAAAAAAAATATTTTTCAAACAAACTAATTAAGTAAAACAGAAACAAAATTTGTAACATCCTATACTACTACAACTGACTGATTCATACTTTCAGAGACTTTTTCATTCGTTGCCACAGCGTCGCATTACAAGCCTCTCCTTCTAACAGTATGTTTTGTCTCTTTTAAATTCATTCAACCCATTCAAATGCTTTGTGACCTTTACAAATGAACTTTACGTTACAGTTTTATACGTAAGGGTGTTGTACAATTCTTTGTTTTGGAAAATTTGATAACTCTGTAAATGTTGATGTTTGAAGAAAGTAAATGTTTAGTACAATTTTAAAAAGTTATCCTCTATATGTGTGTTCATTTATTGTCGCCATGGAAAAGACACGCTGTATAAATAGACAACAAAATTTAAAAAAAGAATGGTATAATTAGAACCTTAATTAAGAAATAAGAATCTTATTTAAGAAAGCATTAACCTGAGAGTCATCAGTGAGAACTCCTTTGAATATTTCATCGACATCGGTGCCATCCATGTCCGGGAGGGTGTCCCTCACCATTGCGTCCAAGTTCACCCCCAACAGCGATAAGTCGTCTTTAGGCGAGATTGTCGATCCTTGAGAAGATCCGCCCGTATCTAAATTCCAACACACAATTTAAAATAATTATATTCTTTTGTAAGTTTGTAGATCCAAAGATTATGATTTTGATGCTTTATTTAAATCAGTTGCAGTTCTAACCTATACAAATAAATTAAACCTTGATAACTAAGTGTCACATACTCAGCGGTGAAGGAAAACATTGTAAGGAAACCTACATACCTTCGAAATAGTAATAAAAAATACATTTTGAATACATATGAAGAAGTCTTCTAATTTGCTGTGGCGACTATACTCTTAAATCCTAGAAGTAGTAGTAGAAGGCCTTTGCCCAGAAGTGGGACAAATATAAGTTGTTCCTTTATTTTACTGTCTTATAAATTAACTTCAAATGTATCTTTCATCTATCTGTATAAGTACTGCATAGTAATGATTAAGTAAATTAGAGTCACTACGACAAAACTATAGTGATGTAATGGACGCCCCTGGCGTCAGATGGCGTGGGTTTGATCCCCACTACAAGAAATCATTGTGCATGTTAATCATAATGTTTCACTTTACTTATTCCGTGATTGTATAGTGTTGATATTATTCAAAACCAAATGGCACACTAACCGGAAGCGGCGGCGTCGAACTTGGCGTGCACGGCGGGTATGTCTGCGGCGGGCGGTGCGGGCGCGGGCCCGTTGGCGGCGGAGGGCGCGGCGGGCGGCGGCTGCTCGGGCTCGCTGGGCTGCGGCCCCAGGATCGCGTTCTTCAGCGCCGTCGAGTCCTCCGTGTGCCTCAGCTGCCCCTCCTCCGAGCTCTCCACCTTCACCTTCGCCGTACCGTCCGCGTTCAGGCAGTCCGCCGGCTCCTCTTTCTCCTCTTTGGGCTTCAGCGAGTTCAACAGGTCTATCTCCTCCTGTAATGCGCACTCCCTTTACTAAATACTCGAACGACAGTGGTAAGAATCGATCCTTACTAATATTATATACGCGAAAGTTTGTATGTATGGATGGATGTTTGTTACTCTTTCAAGCAAATACTACTGAATGCATTCTAATGAAACTTATAATACAGCTTATAAATCAGAATAACACATAGGCTATAATTTATACACATATTTTATGTCTTTGCGTCTGAATGTTACGCCTTCAGCCTATTCTACGCTGACGTAGTCGCGGGCAGCATCTAGTAATTAATACTCCATTTTTAGTTATTTTAGAGATTGTGAAGTTCTTACCGTATTCAGTGAAATAACGAACGATGTATCGTTGTCGTTGAAAGTTGTCAAAGCGGCGAGCACGTCTTCCCCGTCGCTGTCGGAGTTTTCGAGGTCGAGTTTGAAGTCGCGCAATTCGCGGTATCCCTCCGGTGTGCCAGCACGCACTGACCCACCGGGGCTTTCCAGTTGATTGCCTGAAATATATCAATCGTTAATTTCGCCAAACTCTCTACAATCTATCAGTATGAAAACTAAACATAGTGTTTCCAGGTGAAATTAAATATACATTAACCTGTTGAACTAACGGCCGGCTTAACGGGCTCGAGTAACTCCTTGCCAAAAAATGCTTCCTGCATATAAGACGGAAACTGCTCCATAAGTTTAGAACGTGGCTTACGGCGAGGTTTTCTCTTGTTGCTTGGTGATTCTTGAAAAAAAAGAATATTTTTAAATCGCAAAGATTAAAAAAAAATATGAAAATACCATTACGTAATATATTTTGATACTCACCACCAGATGCCTGGGTGCCGTCACCTTCTTTATCGTCGTCGGCCTGCGCTTTAGCAGTCGTCTGTCTCTGTCGCACAACAAATCCGCCGATACCGAGTTTGTTGAGGTTTCTCTGACGCTTTCTACGTAAGACCGTGAGGCCAGATTCTATGGTGTAGACGGTGAAACCCTCTGGCGGTGGGCCATCGTTGGCCACGTTCCACAACGTGCCTTCTTTCAGATTTGTATTGGATGGAAGTCCTGTGGCAAATCATATTTCGATTGGTTTCCAAATTGTTTGAAAATTATTCAATGTAAGGATGACAAATGATGGAATTTGGCACATACCAGGTTCCTCTTTAACTTCGGCAGTGCTGTCTGGTTTTGAATCCTCGGCCATCTCGTTGTCTGCATTCTGAACCACTGTTTCAATAGATGCCATTATTTCTAGTCCATAAAGCCAGCGACCAACACAGAAAAATTCAAGTTAGACTCTGTATATATCGTAACTATAGGGGTTTTTGGTAATATGCTTACAATATTTTTAATTATTTTGAAGGAGTAACCCTTACAAAATAATTTGTAAAGTACTTTTTAAATTATGAACTACCATTATCCTACAAATAATGTTAGCATATTACCAAAAACCTGGTACAAATATGTATATGAAAATAAAAAAATAAAACCTAATTACTGAGATTTTAATGACAGTAAAAGATTAATTGACTTTTGATCTATTTATAAAAAAAAGGAGTTATAACAAAACCATATTATAACAAAGTTATATCTTATAGTATAGAAAATGCTTCGTCGAGCGCGTCTCACCGGCGTCCTTCTCTGCGTTGTCGTTCTTGAAGCGCCTCTTGCGGCGGGTGTGCGTGATGCCCATGTCCGCCTCCAGCTGCTTCATGTGGTGGGCGCCGCGCTGCGAGAGGCACACGTCGTCCACATAGTACTCGCCGGCGAGGCCGAGCGACTGCGCGGTGAGGCGCGCCCCTCCCCCCGCCGCGCCCCCCGCCCCCTCCGCGGGGCCACCCCCCGACCCCGCACTCGCCGCCCCCACGCCCCCCGCCCCCGCCACGGCGCCGTGGGCCGAGCGCGACACGTGCGGAGGGGGTACGTCGCGGCCGCGGCACACCACGCACTTGTACCTGCGAACGATGGCACGGGACAGTTGCACTTGAGAAACAACAACAAAGGCTCATACAACAACACTCAATTTCACAACAACAAATTTGTAATAAATATGTTTTCGTCGTTAACCTCTCTCAGTCTAACTACAGACTTCGTGTATTTTTCATGTAATATGAATATAATCATCGAAATGACATTTTCAATTTCACTTCACCTATTACTTGAACGTCGTATTTGAAATAAAATTGACAAAATATTTTATTTCAATATTTAGATATTTCAATATTTATTAACTATGCTTAAAAGTTACAATAATAAATGAACACAAACAAAAAAAACTCACCCTGCCCGGCAGCATATCTCCGCGTCGTTCTCATTGCGTATGGAGTCGCAGGAGGCGTGCAGCCAGCGGCGGCACGTCTCGCACTGTATTATCAGCTCGCCGTCCGAGTAGGGCTCGGAACACACGCAGCACATCACCAGCGACGCGCACGGGGCGCACTCTGTCGGAAAGGCAATACTGAAGCGTCCCGATGGCTGGCACGGGCGCGGATTGTCCCACAAAAGTTTTAATAATTTGAAATAAGTACTCGTTCAGTAGCATAAGTAGAAAAAATCTGCTCTTCACATGCTCCACTGTTAGCCGGCCTATAATTAGGATTGATAGATTATTTTGGCAGAAGCCACTTTCTCAAAAAGCACAAAGGAAGCCAGCCATAGGTGTGTCAAGAATGTAAGTGACAGATTTGAATTTGATATATTATCGTTTTTAGGGTTCCGAACCCAAAGGGTAAAACGGGACCCTATTACTTTGCCATCGCTGTCTGTCTGTCTGGCCATCGGTCACCAGGCTCATCATCATAATATGTAATGAACCGTGATAGTCAGACAGTTGAAATTTTCACAGATGATGCATTTCTGTTGCCGCTATAACAACAAATACTAAACCCTTCCTGCGCAAGTCCGACTCGTACTTCCCTGGTTTCGATATTTGTATCGATGTATCGGATCAAAATATCGATATATACATGTAGTACCACAACCTCACAGAAGGCCTGTGCGAAGTGCAAGTGTCACACTCGTTCGTTTCTCGTCGGATGGCGACGCATTCGTGATCCTAGTTAGGGGCACAGCGGCAAATAAAAAGCGCAGACCCGTGTAGTTGTCGCGCCAGGCGAGCGTGTCGCGCGTGCCGCAGACGCGGCAGCGGCGGCATCGCTCGCAGCGCCAGGCGCCGCGCGGCACGTCGGCCAGCTGCGGCCGCGCGCAGTACGTGTGCCACGCGGTGTCGCAGTCGTCGCAGAGCACGAGCAGCGCCTCGTCGCCGCGCGTGCCGCACCCCTCGCACACGGTGCAGTCCAGGCAGCGCCAGCCCAGCCGCACGATCACCTGCGACACCTGCAACTGACGCTTTATCAACATCTGCTTAACTAATCGCTCCTACGTGCCTGATAAACGCCTTGTTACGTTTTGCAATATACATAGATTTTTACTTCACGAATGTCTTATTTATAGGTCACTGTCAGTGATCCGGCTCAAAAGACCATGTTTACTAGGGGATAAGGTTCACATTCGTGTGCAGGTGATTGTTTACAAAAACGCGGCTTGTTACTCTGAGGAATTTATTCAGATTAACTTAGGTCAAAAAGGTTGACATTTTAAAATATATAAAGGTTGGTATCGACAACAGTATTCTGTGAAACATATTATAAAACTAACTATCTACAGAACATTCTGCACTGTGCATTTTACATTAGCATTAAAAAGACATGCTAATTTCTTAACTGATTAGTGTCAACTCAGTTGACTTCACAACAATAGAACTTTAGATAAAAATATGTATAGAATATTAAATATAATTATCCCGCACATAGTTTATACATTAATGAAAAATCCGTACCTTAATATTGACGCAATAAGGATGATATGTCTGGCCACATTGTGCACAAGATATAAGACAGCCCTCAGAATCCGTTCCTATAGCGCCGCACATTACACACAAATCTTGCGTCAGCACAAACTTATCTTTACTTGAACACAGAACAAGCTTGTTTTCTACTCCTGTAAAAATCAAAATGTTAAGTAGCATAAATCTTAAAAATATAACTAAATATTTATTTAAGGATTTATAAAAAATTTAAATATATGTTAATGAGAAGCTTAAACAAAACAAAATTTTTGATTTTTCATTTATTCACCTGGATCTTCCTCCTGAGTTTTATTGTCAGGTGCTTGGGGTCTTTGCAAGCCCAAACCCGGTACACCGAATACACCTCTCATCTTCGGTTTGGAGCCTCTTTTACGTCCAAAGTCCATCAATGATCTTTGTCTCTTCTGGAAGCCTAGCTTGCCGGCCGGCGGGAACCCGCCCTTCAATTTGTATCCGCCAATCTTTTTCTTCGCCACTTTTGACGACACTGAGAACGGTTTCCCCTTTCCAAGGCCAACATCTGCCTATTGTGAAATAGAAAGAAAATTAATAACTATACAAAAGGTTTATAAAAAAAATCAGATAATTTTACTTACTTTGGGTTCAATGGCAAGAGGATCCTGCTCTTGCTGTGAATTTTCGTCACCATATGACGAATCTTGGCCACTCTGAGTCAAACTGTCTTCTTCAAATGCTGTTGAGAGAGATGCTGAATATAACAATTTTATAACTTGTAATTGAATGTTTACATACAAATTATTATAAGGCGGTTTTAATAAATGCATTAATCAATGAGTTTTCTCATGCCATGTGTGATGATCAGCAAAAATTCACTAGTGTCAATTTTTGAGACTTAATGAGCTCTTTTAACATATATAATAGTAACTACCCATCCATGACAGTCCCATATGCGAGAAATTGTAACACATTTTCACATAAAAACGTTAATATCTTATGCTTTCTTTACATAATAATACAGTGATTTATAATAGTAAATAATATTTAACCTACAGCCAGACTTGGAGCCAGTCATCTGCATGTGCGCTTTGCAAATGGGACAGTTGTATTCGTAGGTAGGGTTCTGATCTTTCTTCTGCCTGTACTGCTGCGGCTCGGCGTCGGGATCGCATGCCCCGTGTACGTACCTAAGAGGTCATTTAATATGAAATAAATAATTATTAATACATAAAACATTATTATGTCAAACTGTTGAATTTTAACCTCATATTGTTTAATGAAATTGCATGAAAAAAAATTATTCCCTTTAACAATTTCGAGCTTGTTTACAATATCTGCTTGATATAATCAAAACTATTATTGCTAACTATGACATCAGTATGAGATGTTTGTTTGTGCTGCAAACTTAAATTGTACTACATAAGAAGCAAAACAATAAAAATATGTTACAAACTATAACTGCACTACATGAACAGTAAACACATCAGTACTTAACCATTACAATTATGAAGTTGGTTGAGGTTAGTAATAGTAGTAAAAAAGGTATAAACATATACATATGTCGCACTGATGAGCAAAAACCTCGTCTGTACAGGAGGTATTAGGGAATAGTCCACCACGCGGACCCACTTCCGATTGGCGGACAGCACATATCTTTCAAATATTTTTATAATTTCGATATGCAGGTTTCCTCACGATATTTTCCTTTACCAATGAGCAAGTCAGCACTTAAAATAGCAAAATAAAAAACCATTTCATTGGTGCCAACACCTAAATTTGAACTCAAATACATAATATATTGAAGCACATGAATTTGAACTCGGGTGGCTCCGAAATACCCTACGAAGAGGCCTTTGTTCAGTGTGGCGGTAGTAAGTTTATTTAAAGTCCACAAAATGTTCTTAATGTTAAAATGTTATATGTTAATGTTAGCTTAAGTAATTTTTTGGTCGGTAATTTTAGGTGCACCCGGCCGACACGCGAGTTAGTGGTACACTGTCATTGTCGTATAGGTACACACGTACATGTACATATAGTGTTCGGTTACTCAGCCCGAACACTCGGCATCGGCGGACATCTGACATATTGCGAGTTTGCAACGAATTACCTCCTGCAGCCGGTGCAGCGTATCATGTCGCGGTAGGCGGCGGCGCGGTATGCGCGCCTGCAGAGCGGGCAGAAGGAGCCCTTGTTCCGCTGCTGGTAGCACGAGTCGCACACCGTGTAGTGCGCGTGCCATCGCGACGACGGCCCGGCGCCCGGCGAGCGCGCGCCGCAGTCCGAGCACACGCGGCAGCACTGAGCCGATCGACATCATTAGAAGAAGAACAAGAAACGATTATTCACGGTCTAAGCACATTACACATTCATTCATCATTCCCACTGTGGTAGGGCTACGCACGCAACAGTGTTCGCTGTAGCACGAATGGGCAGGTACGTCCGGGTAAGTACCACGACCTCGCGGGAGAGCGGCGTGAAGTGGAAGTGTCATACTTCTGCGTTTCGTCTGGTGAGTGAGGTACCATTTGCAACCCTACGGGTGTTGCAAAATGTCAATGGGCGGCGGTTATCATTTAACATCAGGTGAAACGCCAACTCGCTAAAATAAAAAAAATCGTATTGAACATTCTCTGACTTCACGTGGCTTCTGGTCATATACAGACTAAGCAGGTAGAACCTTTAATATTATTTTGATTAGATTTTACTTTTATAAAATTCTAATTCTTTAGACAATAACATTTTATCTTTACCATTAGTGAATGTTGTGCTTAGTTGTAAGGGGGTTCCGCATTTGTATATTATGTGTTCTCTAAACTACTTCTCCGTGTAAGAATTGGTTTGTGACTGCTTTTGTACAAATCAACTTTTCCATTTGGCGGCAGTTTCACCAGCACCCGAGCTTCCGCTCGTCCAGGTATAATGACTTTCTTTACACATACGACTTTCCCGCAGGCGCCTCCAAGAATGAAGATTTCTTCTTCACCACACTTGAAAACTCCGTCAGCGACATTAACTCTGCAGTTGTGTTTCCTCATGAAATCCAAACCCAAGATGCAATCATCCATTATCTCAGCCACGATGACGTTATGAGAGTATGAGGACCCCCCCTACATACATCGTGACTGACATTTCTCCCAGGACGGGTATTGGCTGACCGGAAGCAGTAAGAAGCCGGCAGTTAATTCTCCTTTTGAGTCCCCTTGCGGCTTTTACCAGATTAGGGTTCACTATTGTTCTAGAGGCTCCTGTGTCTAGAGTCATTTTGCAATCCGTCCCACTAATAGTACCCTGAATCACAAGGCTATTCCCGCTGCATGCCTGGGAGATAACAATTATCGGGGCCTCCTCCGCGTCAGCCAGTACTCGCCCCATAGAACTGGCTTTTATTAGTTTCCCTTAGTTGGGCAGGGGACGAAGTCTCTCGCTTCTTCAGCTCCGCTATTTGTTCCTCGATCCATTTCATCCTTGCCATCTGGGTCTCCTTCTGCGGGCAGTTGAGCTGCAGATGGCCCTTCTCGCCGCACTTGTAACACATAGCTCCAAAACTTTTCTTTGTAGGAGCCTTAACCTCCTTGACTTCCTCAGAGACCTCGCGGATCTTATGAGTCTGCCGTATGTCATGGCGAACAGCCTCGACCTCTAAAGCATGCGCCAGTGCTTCCTTTAGCGAGGTATGGTGACGAAGCCTCACTGCAGCTCTGACCTCCAGGTCTTTCATTCCGTCCACAAATGCTTGAACAATATTCGTGTCTACCATCTTGGTGTCGGCTCCTGGTTGTGCCTTCCTGAAGAGTTTTTCAATTTCCAACGCCCATTGTTGTAGTCCTTCTCCTGAGCCTTGGACTCGGTCACGCAGTTGGGCACGGAACACGTGCTCCAGGTGTCGCTCCCCGTATCTGGATTCAAGTGCCTCCATCAGGTCTTGGAACCCATTTCCTGTACGTAGCAGTGCTTCCAGGACCGACAAAGCTTGCCCTCTGAGCGCAACAGTGAGAGCGGTCAGGCATTGCTCTTCCGTCCATCCGTTGGCAGTAGCAACAGTCTGGAATTGCCGACGATAAGCGTGCCAAGAAGTAGTGCCGTCGTATGGCGGCACTTTCACTTTTGGTCCTTGTGCCACTCCAGTAGTGCCACTAGACATCGCGATTCCCGTGGTTTCAAGGCGCACTACTTTCTTCTGTAGTTCGGTGAGGCCGGTTTTCACATTTTCAACATCCAATCCTAACCCGGTAACTCGTTCTTCCACTACGTCGACATCTTGTCATCTTCGAAGTTTAATCACCGTGTTACTAACATCATTTATAGCCCAAAGCGCCTTTTCTTGGAGGTCTTTTTGTTGCTCTTGTGATTCTCGAAACTCTTGAATCGTAGTCAGCTTGCGTTCTTGTGACTCTTGCAAAGCGCCGAGCTTGCGTTCTTATGACTCTTGCAAAGCGCCGAACTTGCGTTCTTGTGACTCTTGCAAAGCGCCGAACTTGCGTTCTTGTGACTCTTGCAAAGCGCCGAGCTTGCGTCCTTGTGACTCTTGCAAAGCGCTAATTAGTTCAATTAAACTTCCTAATTGAAGAGCCATTTCAGGGGCTGCAGAAGTTACGGTGCCGCTGGTGGGCGTGGCAAGGTGGGCAGGGCCAGTGGGCGTGGCCCGGTGGGTGGAGTCAGTGGGTGGTGCTTGCACCAAAGGGGACGGGGTCTGCGTCCGAGTGGGCGGAGCTTGAGCCCGAGTGGGCGGGGCTTGTGCCTGAATGGGCGGAGTCTGAGGGGCGTGGTCAGTGGGCGGGGCCTGGTCGGTGGGGGCCAATGGGCGGGGCGTGACCCGCAGTGGGCGGGGCTTGATCCCCAGTGGGTGTGGCCTCCGCAGCTCGTGCCCTTGTCCTGACACCCTCCTTGAAGTCCTCTCTCGGAGTCAATGGCATCTCCAAATCCCACTTCTGACACCAGTTGTTACGTGTTAGGGGTTCGAAGGATTTGGAGAGAAAAACCTGCTGACTCTTTAGAAGACTTTATTCAAGCAGTAGGTCCAACACAAAGCACTAACGATGTCCTATTTTGTAGCCAAGTCGTAGGTTTCACTGGTATCGCTCTTGATCACTAGTTTTCGCTCCGAAGTCGCCTCGAAGGTAGCTCAAACTGAACTGTCCTCGCTCGCCTCCCTGCGGCTTTTTATATGGGCCGAGACCGGTTCCGGACTAATCCAGAAAGATCATTCCTGGAACGTACCCGACACGCACGAACATGTTCGTGATTCCGGAAAGTTCGCGAATGAACCCGGTTTTCGAGACTATAGTTCCACAGCAGTTCCTCTAACATGGCGTTAGTGTTGAATAGGGGGCTTTATGTCGTCTTTGTTCTTTAGTGGTTTTAATAGTTGACGCTAGATGGCGTTAGTTCCTTTGTGTGTTCATAACAATATTTTTTAATTTATATCTTATGCCAACATTTCAACACACAAAAATCTACATTGGGGTGAATTGACCTGTGGCTCACACAAATATCTTGCCCTTGTGGGAATCGAATCCACAAACCAAGTCATCAAAATGGATCAAACTATTTTTCAAATAGAGTTTTGCTGAATGAATTGTTTTGGATCTGGGTGTTTGTCCACATGAAATTTAGGTATGTGAAACATCCAAAGGATAATACACACATATATACAAACAACAAAGTAATACATAATACTATCCTACAGTAAAGGAAGACAACATTCTTCTAGATCAGATGTTGGGATGGGTAGATGCTGGGACTGACAACCCAACCCTTCCGCACAAAATATAAATACTGTATAATAGATAAGTAAACTTAAAGTAACATATCACTTAGAAATACCTTAAACGTATCGGTAATCTATATCAACCTAAAATGTCTTTATAACTAAACAAAACACAAAACGTCTAGTGTGGGGGATCAGAGAGAGATGAAATTTAAAAATTTATATTATTGTGAAAATCCCGCATCACCTTATTTATAGAGGACTGTCACAGAAATAGTTTTTGGTTACAATTGTAATAATGAATCATTATCATCATCATCATCATTTCAGCCTGTTTGAGGCCACTACTGAACATAGACCTCCCCCATAAAGTGCCACGAAGTACGATCCTGAGCCACCTGCATCCATCGCCTCCTGCACATTTGCGCAGGTCGTCACTCCATCTAGTGGGGGGTCGTCGTACACTGCGAGACTGCCACGCGAGAACCTTTCTCCCCCAACGGTTAACGGTTCTACAAGCTATGTAATAATGAATGCATAAAGCAATAGAATGCTTTTAGGGAAGTCGATGGACGCAGGGGCCTTGGGACCGTGCTTCGTGTTCTGTTGGTATGCATTCAAGGCCTATGTTCAGCAGTGGACTCCCAAGAGGCCTAAACTCACCTTGCACTTCCAGCCGTACTTGGGCACGGTGGCCATGACGGGGCGCAGGCAGGCGGCGTGGTAGAGCTTGTCGCAGTGCTCGCAGGCGACGGAGCGCGCGTCGCCCGGCGCCTCGCCGCGGCACACCTGGCACACGCGGCACGAGCGGCACGACCAGCCGGCGCGAACGCCTGCGACGGCCGATCCTTGAGACCTCATAAACTCCGCAAGCGAGCGACGTGGCTCATGCCCGGTTCCACAGCTTCGTTACTTTCGTAACGACTTGTTGACAAAAGGAACGCTAGTTGCTCACTTTCCGTTGGCAACGCAACGGCTCGTGATGAAGACGCCTCGTTTTGTTAATACAGGAACCGGGCGTACACGCCTTTTATCAACGAGTCGTTATGAAAGTTCGCGAAGCTATGTAACTAAGGGCCGTTCGTTGAATATGGGAACCGGGCTTCAGTGTGCAGGCGCTCGCCTTTAATTCATTATACTCGAGCGACCTGAGTTCGATCCCCGGTGACGGCACCAATTAAATTGTTAACACGCCGAATTATCACGTGCTCAGCGGTGAAGGAAAACATCGCAAGGAAACCTGCATATTTTCGAAATAATAATGGAAAAAAATTATTTCGAAGATATATGAAGTCCGCCAATCCGCAGTGGGGCCGCGTGGTGGACTATTCCCTGATACCCTCTGTACAGAGGAGACATTTGCCCAGCAGTGCGACATGTATAGGCTGATAATTTTACTTCTTTTTTTTTGTCGGAACGCGATAACCTCCATAACTGGTGATTCTGTGACGCAGTTGCCAAGGTATTGGTTCGGGCTCGGCGCCTGGGGTCGTCGGTTCGATTGCCCACTCGTGACAACTGACATAGATTGTTTCGAATCTGAGTGTTTGTGCACATGAAATTTATGTATGTTGCATGTCCTAACACAGAAACAGGATATTGATATCCTACAGTAAGTGGAAATGTTTTTGACGGTAAGACTACAATAGATCTTCTAGGTTGCAGTGGTTGTTGCAATTGTACCCAACCAAATTCATACAAAACAATACAAAGCTTATGTTGGCCACGTTAATTTTTTCATAAAAAAGCATCCATTTAAAAATTTCTTATATATAATGTTCTTCTCAGGTCAGTGGCTTTTTTTCTGAACAGGTCGTATTTTTCAACAGTCAAAGAAAATTTCGCACAGGTCAAATGATATTAATGAATTGTGAAACATCCGCTTAACAGCTGGAAATGTTGTCCAATTAATTGTTCTTGACAATTAATTGGACAACATTTCCAGCTGTTTACGTTTTAAAATCGACCGAATCACAAAACTAATTAAGAAAATATAATTTACCTAGCAATTCGTCATTTGACGTTTACCACTGTTTAATAAGTCTAAAGTTCTTCCTTTGTTTATAATTTAATCATGTTTAATATACCCTTTACCCTAGTTTTGCTGAAAGTCTCCACATTGGCTTGGTATATAAATCATTCACATTGTGTTAAAAAAAACTTACCTGGCAATTGAGCCAAGCCAACGCAGGTGCCGTGATAGTGAGCTCCGCAGGTCACGCAGGTCATCAAGTTGGCGATGTCGCCGATAGTCCTGCACGTCCTGCAGTCAATATCGGCTGTGCCTGCACCAATGAACATGTTCATGTCATTTTGCTGCTAACATTTAAAACGTTTTACAGTAATCTACAATTTTAATTTAGGTTAGTTTGTTTCTTTATCACATAGCAAGAGTATGAAAATGAAACAAATCTGTGAATGAATGAAAAAAAATTTAACCATTATACTTGGTTACATTTGTGCAAGAAGAAATAAAATCAAGTTCTTTGAATCAATTTATTTTATGAAAAGTGGAATTTCACTTTTCATAAAATAAATTCATTGAATATTAACCAAAACGGCCGGGGATCCCCATCAGGAACTAAGTTCTTTACACAAACTAAGGTTTTTTATTTATATTTTATTTTTAAATAAATTTTTCAATGCAAATAATGCAAATTAAGGAATCAAAGCAAAAAATTTCATACAGTATTATTAGAAAAAATATTAATTTAATGCAAGTTTAAAAAGTGCGAAATAAAAAAAAAAGGACAACTCGGACCCGCATTGCTCAATTAAGCAGTCAAAGAGAAGCCAACTTAAACCACATAGAGAAACTTTGTTCCAATATATTTGACAGTTAATATGATAATAATTCACAAAAAAATGCTACGTACAAACAAGAGGAACTTGGTATAAATGGTCTTTGCAGAATGCTGATTTGGTGTGAAAGTCCATAAAACCACCTGATGCGAGGATACATGGCAAATGGTAGTATTTACTGCAGCTCATCTGAAAATTGATCCAAAAAATAGATAAAATTATAATAATATACAATTATATATAATTTTTCTATTTCTCATATTATATCACACATCTTAATAATACCATACGAACTAAACTATTTTTGTTAAAATTGTAATAAGTTCAGCTTAATGGCTTACCTTGCAAGGAATACTGGCACCATATCTTTGACAAAAAGAGCACTTTCTTGATAATGCATTAGTCACAATTCCCTTAACTCTGGCCTCCTCTAGCTGTCCTTTTTCCTCATCGGAATTGGAAATGGCAGCAAGCTGTTAGGGTTAAATTAAAGTAATGTTGGATAATCCACAGGGCATAACATTTACAAATTACTAATCCCATTTAAAGGATATCCAACAAAAATTATAAGTGAAAATACGTATACAATATAGTGTAGGGTCCGGGTGCTCACTCTTAATTCATTATACTCGAGAAAATCCTGGTGATGGCATTAATGAAATAATTGAATGCAATTTTAAGTTACCATATTGTAAGTGTTGTTAGATTGTCAGATTTTGCTCCAACATTGGATTAAAATTTTAGGTAACAAGTTACAGAAGCATTATTCAGGAAGACGTAATAACGAAAATACAGAACAAACTCTTAAGATTTGTAGAAAAGGGATCATCAAATAGTGTACATTTTCTTAAACTATTTTTTAAAATGTAAAAATTTGTGGATTTTTTTATTTTGATGATAACTATTATGACTTAGTTTATTTCAACCTTGACATCAACATCTGTGATATAATAATAATAATACAATAGATATATAATAAATAATATAATTTGAACATTAAATAAACATTTTCAATTACCTGTTCCTGAAAAGGTGGACTAAATTCTAGGCAACAACGATGAATGTATATAGCTCCAGATGAGACAACTGCAGGTAACTCGAGAATATCTGTATAGCCTATGATAGATAGTTCATCCGTGTGCTCCATGTTGTACAGGGGTGTTCTAAAAAGAAAATAACAAACTTAAACAAATACATGTACATACAATGAAATCCATTACAAATCGCATTTATTTTTAATTTTCCGTAAGAGTAGTTTATATATTTCCATAATAATAGTAATTAAGGGCAATACTTGGTTTTTCTGTATACAGATTGTGATACTTATTCAGTTGAAGAAAAATCGAAAAAATTTAAATTCTTTACTTACTTGCATTTATTAAAAGCTTTCTGGCGCCTACTTAATGGTAGTGCCAAATGTTGATGAATGCTGTCAACAGACTCAGGTGGTGGTGATGACAGGCCAGGAATCATAGGCAATGTAGGTGTGCTAGGTGTTGACACACTTGTGGGGGTAGCACCTCCCGAATTAATTATAGCTGGTGTAGAACTTCCATCGCCCTCTTCAATATTGCAAGGGATTTGCCGCATCTCACCCTGTCCAAGCTGACTTTTCTCACTAAGATTGCACAGTGCACAAACTTTTCCAGGCCTAAAAATTGAGTTCTTTATAGACATAATAACATCATTATTGTGCAGTGCATAGGCTGCGCAAAATTTTATTAGCTTTTTAACATTTGCAGCTCCCATCAAGTATAGGTGCCATCTTGGCAAGTATAGATGCATATGATATGAAACTTATATTTTAAATATATTTTAATGGTAATTTACCAAAAAAGTACTGTGTAAGTAAATATAACAAATGGTATAGAATATATGATATGAGAAGAAACAGCAATCTATAGAATTGCAGTCTAATTACACCAATTGGTGTAATTTCAGTGCACTTTTGTCATATCTATCGCATATTTGTACATAATATTGTTGAAATTACAGTAGGTAAATGTAACATTATTATTAGATTTTAGTAATATTTACACTTTAAAAAGAATATGATGTTAGTAATTAATTTAAAAAAAATATTCCTAAACAAAACTAGAAGAGAAGATTTAGCAAATAAATAATAATCAGCCACAACGACTGGAGCAAAGGACTTAAGAAGAGGTGCTTGTAAGTGTGCAGTATACAAATATAGAGATATTGAATGTGACTTAAAAGTTAGCAAGAATCCCATGCACATTTAATATTCACTACTGCACAGCACCTTGCCAGTTTTCTTCACAGCCACTAATAAATTTTGCATGACCAATACAAAGGGTGTATGGGTATCATTTCAGTTTAAAGTTCATTTGACTTATTTTATAACAATAATTTGGTTTCACTATAAAATATTAATAGCCACATAATTTACTAATTATTTAGTCATAATTTTTATAATTACTTTGTAATGAATAAATAAATTGTTTACATATGAACCTGTGGCATTAGGATTTATAACGGACACATAAAACTAAATATACTTTGAAGAATGATTTCTGACAAATCATGTTCCTTGTGGATATAAACTTTCCACAATATTTTTAGATTTTATTTGGAAAAACAAAGCATACTTTAACAAAGTATACTTTTTTGTTACACTGCAAATTTTAGATGTCAGTGCTGCATATGTAAAGCATATTAAAAAATCATGGATTTATATAAAAAGGCATATTTTACAAAATATACATATTATATGTATATTCATATATGGAGTGTACAGTTCTTAAACAGAGAAAATCAGTAGCTATCATTTCTAACCCTGAAATATTCTACACAAATGATAACTGATCAATGCTACAAATTTTAGTCCAGAATAAATTTTATGAACAGTGTGTTATAATGTTAAAATTTAGTTCATCTTTCCAATTTCAATTCACACTTTACTTATACAAATTTACCAGCTTTTTTATCAAAAAATAATGCATACCATTTTTCTGGCATATAAGGGGGTTCTTCTGGAGCTCTCATTGTAAAGTCATCCTCATCGAGAATTTCATCAATAGCATCATCCCGACTACTCCGATGCCGTTTTGCACCTCTAACAGATCCGGGGTTTGCTCTATACCTAGATAAATAATAAAGCAAACACTATTAAACATAATCCTTATAATATTAGTAGTACCATGCAACATCTAATCTGGTAATGACAGTAGTTCCAGTGCTGTAAAAACCAATAAAAATATATTTAATAAAAAAAAAAAAATATTTAATTTTAATTATAACAATGTCTATTGTTATTATTGTTGTTATGTTCTAACAATGGTTCTTATCAGATCTGATATTTAATTTCTATAAATATGTAAATGAACATAGAATTATGAAGAATATATAATTATAATCCATTCAGCCATTCATCCATTATAGTCCATTGCATTTTTCTATTGTATATACCATATTCAAGTGATTAATTGATGCAAAAATGATTAATAAAAAATAACAACCTTCTAACTATCTTTCCTTCACGGGCTAACTTAGCCCCTTCTTTCCTGGGTCTGCCTGGGCCCCTTCGCCCAGAGGAAAAAAACGGTCTGCTATATGGTTGATGGTGAAAAAATGTTGGTTGTGCAACCGCACCATGTGGAGATGCTGGCTCTTCCCCACGTGGTGATGATGCACATGATGTTGGTGTTGACCCCGGACCAGCATAAAAATCTGAAATAAGGAAAGTGTTATCACTTGTTACTACACTATGTTATTATAACATAAACAATCTAACTTTTAACATGAATAGTATTTTACCTTATAATTAAATTCTTCATTATGAGATAATAATAATATAAACTTTGTTTCACTTTCTTTTTTAATTACACAATATAATAACAAAAAACAAGAAATAAATGTATTTTAAAGCTCCATATTCTTATCAATATCGTTATAGAAGTCATTGTACAAATGTAGTTATTTACGGCGTACGTGACTTGCGGCGAAAATTAAGAAACATTATAATCAATAAAATTTTACTTTTTATTCAGTACCTTCTCTATCAATGAAAATCAAATTGGTGGATTTTATAAGGAAAAAGGTATATCATACCCGAAGACGGTGGCGCTTCACCTTCATCGTCTGATCCATCTTCAGGGAGTAAATCTACATCCAAAACACCTTCGTCTGGTACGTCCATCTAAAACATAGGTATTAAAAAACTTTAAAGAGCCGCGCAAAACTGGAATTTATTAATAAGGAAAATTATGAAGAACATGTCATCAAACATATAAAGTAATGTAATCAGACCGCCATAATGAACGACAAGTGGATCCTACCAAGAAAAGTTAGCAATCTTACCGCAAAAAGGTGCGATGGACTTGAAATGTATCAAACTTAGGAAAAAATTGTGAAAAATATTGAATAACTCATTTTTCTAAATGTTATTTAAGCATACAAATAATTACAAAGTCAAAAGAAATAACAAACTACATTCGCTTGCGACTGCGAATCCGAACCTTACACAGACTAAAAATAGGCGACAAGCTATCAGAATTAGACTAGTTGCTATATAGATTAAACGCAATTTAATTTTTTTTAAAAGGCTAATAAAGCTCTTGAATAGCTTACATTAGGATGTCTCGTCATTAGTGCACGTTCGCATATCCTTCACTGGTTTACCATTAATTACATGGTATTAAGTTAAAAAAAAAGTATTCTTTTTACCCTTCCCAGTAAAAGAAGGCAAAGTTTAGAAATACAACAGACTCAACTGAATTAAGTTTTCCCTTAATCCAATCTTATCTCCGGAACGTACCACACTTCTTGTAGAGCAATCGTATTCGTGTTCGACTTAATGATGATGGATCCTTTTCCTTTAGCACATATGGTGTTTCCATCAGCAGTAGTTACTTGATGGGTCACATCAAAAGTACATCATGTTTGTGATATGGCTGGTCGCTCCGTTATCAATAAACCAGTTTTCTTTGTCACACTCAATCGCAAATGTTTGTGTATTAATTGACATCAATAACATGTTTGCTCCTTGATTTGTAGTATGAGAGAATTTTGCAATGGTATTCTTGGGTGGATTTCCGTCTTGGATCCATTTTGCACAATCTCTTACAGTGTCCTACCTCATGACAATAATTGCACTTCAATTTCTTATCCTTCAACTTCTTATGCTTATTAGTGCTTGCTGATAAAATTTCCTGATCAGGTAACTTTTTATTTGACAAAGCTTTCTCATAAGCAGTTTTCGACATTAAAAGCCAACTGCTGCGGAATGCAAAATATTCTTCACTCAGAGTATCTAAGATTTTGCACACAAGAAACAATTCCGGTAACTCGATAGATTTATCTTTAACCATTTCGATGTTTAAATCGTTCCAGATATTCTTCAGTTTCAAAATGTGACTTGCTGACTTGACTTCTGATGGATCTCGTTTATCTCCAAAGAATTTCATACATAAATCATAGGACTTATCTTCACAACTGCCGTCAAACAGTTTGTGTAGTTCCTGCCAAACTTCTCGAGGTGTGTTGAATCTCATCACTTTCTTTAAGGTGTCGTTCATATTGGTGGCAAGGATCAACAGAGCGTTGTTTTTTGACTTCATGAATTTCGCTAAGGCCGAATCATATGCAGAAATTTGTGCATCACCTGCGCTTTCTACGACTCCTGTTACGGCAGATATACTTACACAAAAAAATCTATTCCTCACCTTTTCTTTTGTATTATCTATATCTATATTTTTTTTGTCCGTTTGCTTTTGACAGAAACTGAATTATCAGTATTTCTATTTTCAGTAATTGTGTAGGTGTAACTGTAAATGAGTCTGGTTTATTAAATCAAAGACGTGTCAAAATTGTGCATAACTATGAATTCTATGATTTTTTCAATTGTACTTATTATATGTGTAATAAAACAATGTAATTCATCAATATTTGAAAGCGATTCCTGTTATTCTTTTGGAAGCGGTAATGTTTTTCCGGGTGGTGCCAGAAAAATAGATCACAAACTGCAATTTACAAAAGCTATGAGTGGGTATTAATAATTTTGTTATTATTAACATCAATTAGTTAAAATAAAAACATGACATTTAAATTTTCCCCAGTCTCGAAACCGGCTCCAGAGTGGGAGGCAACTGCTGTTGTTAATGGTGAATTCGAGCAGCTTTCATTGTCAAGCTTTAAAGGAAAATATTTAGTATTTTTCTTTTATCCTTTAGACTTGTAAGATTTATTCTTTTTCTTAAATACTTTATAGTTTCTTATTATAACACTCATGCTTATCTCTTGGCTTTCAGTACATTTGTTTGTCCTACGGAAATTTTGGCGTTTTCTGAAAGAATTGAAGAGTTTAAAAAGATTAATACAGAAGTAGTTGCTTGTTCTGTTGACTCTCATTTTACACATCTTGCATGGATAAATACACCTCGAAAAGAAGGTGGTCTTGGAAAGATAAGTATTCCCCTTCTAAGTGATTTAACCCATTCTATTGCTAAAGATTATGGTGTGTATTTGGAAGACTTGGGTCATACACTTAGAGGTTTATTTATAATAGATGATAAAGGTATTTTGAGGCAAATTACAATGAATGATTTGCCAGTTGGCCGATCAGTGGATGAAACTTTAAGATTAGTGCAAGCATTCCAATATACAGATAATCATGGAGAAGTGTGTCCAGCAGGCTGGAAACCTGGCCAAGACACTGTAAGTATTCTATAAGATTTTTTATCTCACTAATATTTTAAAACAAGTCATAAATATTCAAATATTGTTTCAAAATTACTTTCAGATAATACCGAATCCTGCAGAGAAAAAGAAGTACTTTGAAAAGGTAGCAAAAAATTAAATTGCAATCAACGCAGTGCATTGCTAGTTAATAATCACATTACTATATCATATCATTTCAAGGTTTTTGATAACTCAATCACATACATGTGTCATAGAATAAATTTAGATAAATAAGTTAAAATGGAGAGAAGAGAATTTAAATTATTTAAAAATATTGTTAAATTGTTTCTTTCATTCCTTTTTACAAAAGTTTGTTTTTGTAATAAATCTCATCAATTGACAGAGATACATCTTTCCAATCACTTAACATAGATATGTATTCATATGTTCTATAAAATGAATATCATACTGTTTATTGATGATATTTATTTTCCAAGAATGAAAGCTGCAAAATGCTCATTCTGTTTTAAAGCTATATTTTTTTGTATGTATTCCACCATCACCAATTTCTTATCTATTATAAAGACTGATGCATAATAGAATATATTTTTGTATTCATTTATATATTTTTTAATAAAAGTTTTTATAATTACTTAGTTTTTAATTTTCACTTTGTATTTAACAAAGAAAGTAGATGTAAAAAGACGTTATGTTCAATTTTGTACACCATTGTGTGTTCAGTGTATGTATTTTTTTTCATGTTAAAATCAGTTTGTAAAAGTATCACCCAGTAGTCAACTACTTTTGTTAGTTTTGCTTGTTGTACAACCGCGACAATAAATGAACACACGTCTAATGCTACTTGCCAATAATCATAAATAAATATAAAACTTTTAAAAAATCCATAATTAATAAAAAAATTTTTTTCAAACAAACCAATTAAATACAGGGAGAATTTACAAGAAGTGCCAAAATTTACACAGAAAGTTGAGACTCGGTAGTATTATCATTTATTTTTTCAAGATTTAGTGATGTGCATGATATAAATACTAGGAACAAATTCTTTTCAGGCTTATGGTGTTCGTCATAATTCCGTTTCACAGTATCTGTTCGATGCAGCAGGCTAAGCACTTTGAAGCATTTGTTTTTCCTGCACCGGTATGGAGGTGGAACCACTGCCTGCCAAATTCGGTAGAAGCTTACCCTTTTTACTAAACATGAGTTCATATTTATTGTAACCTATACTTTCATTTTGCTTATTATTTATACCCCTTACAAGATCAAGTATACAGGGTGAATATAGCGTCAAGTAGAATCCTGTTGTAGGGCTCCACTTGACCGTAAGCTAGTGGACAAGCTATTGAATTCAAGCTAGGGTGGAACTGATACTGTGAGCAAAAATCTTCAAAAATCCTATTCATAAAAGCTAAGTTTATGTCAGATATTAAACATTGGGTCAGTTGTTGTCGGCTTTGGTATAGAATATAGATGTCCAGGAGGTTTTACATTTTGGTATAGGATATAGCTGTACTTACTACAGCCACAATTTAGACAGGACTGGATATATTTCTTTATGAATTCGAATTTAGAAAACCAATGGTCCGCTTTAATCAGTTTATCACACCATTTTACACCGACATGCCCTATTTTATATGGAATTTTTGTACCATGTTTGGTGCATGCAGGCAGGTACTACTAATCTATCATCGCTGATTTTTTTCCAATATAACCCAACTTTAAAAAGTTAATAATAAATTATTTTGTAGTTATTAGTAACGTCGCTAGGTGCAGTTCCCTTAATAATTTGATTTATAATATTAGATAATTTTTCATCCTGTAGTTGCACCCTTAGGTACTAGGCCTAATCCTCACTAGAAATTTTAAGTAACTTATGACAATCTACTGTATCGGGTACAGAAGTAGTATTATAATTATTCGGCTTTATATTGAGCGCGTCTACATGATTCATTCGGTCAACAGGCCTATATTCGATCAGCCCTGTAGTCCCGGGTTCATAGAATAGGACTAAGGTATCTCCTGCCTATCGTAAAAGGCGACTAAAAGGGGACACAGATTGGCAGCAGCTCGAAGTTACCTCGAGCTGCTGCAAGATAGCGTGGGAATTGGGGATGTTTTACCCTTCTCCGAGGCGTGCTGACGCCAAGTACCGAGGGACACCGTTGCGTTCCATAGGAGATCTCGGGGTCCCTCCAAACATAAGGAAGGTGGCCACCGAAAGGCTTCTAGTGGGTAAGAACCCCACATAACCCTGTTAGTTAAGATGACAGGGTACTTTTTGAAGATTTCGCCCCCGATAACAAAAAAAAGGCCTATATTCGTCGTACTGAAATAAAACAACGCTTTAAATTATTTAGCATCATTTTGTTTTTGTAGCAATACTTACAGCTTACAGGCGTCTGTAATTCTGTATGAATTTCGCAAGGTAAGTTTTCATCGAATAAATCAAGTACACCACGCGGACACAAATTGTTTTCTAATGAAAAGTTAAACCTTAACTTGACGAACCTCTCCCCCAAGACATCTCCCATTTACAAATATTATAAAGTACTCTGTGACATCTCCTTTTGCATCGGATTCCTTAGCTAAAATGGCTTATTAAAAGAAAAAAAATCCTAAAATAACTGCATAGACTTTTAAATTGTTCTAGTTCAAGGTGTTAGTCCCGTCCATCTACCGTAAAGATACTTAAAAAAGATACTTTGGATTTTAAAAATTTTGTTAACAGAATCTGGGTGAAGGTGGTTGATAAGAGTTACTATGGAATGGTTACGCGGTTATTACGCTGTCTACTGTTGCACGAATCGGCAGGATCGTTCGGGGAAGTACCATGGCCTCGCGTTCCATTAAGCGTACAGCCATGTTCCCACGCCAGCGATCTTCGGGTGGATGTCACCACTACGCCAGGTCTTGAAACGACATTTGCGCTCGCAGTCAATATTATTGTAGTCTTTCTTTGTTAATTTGCCCTTGATCAAGATGTCATACTCAGTCTTGAATCGACGGCCAATTCTTGCTGCAGTCGAACATTACCAAGTCGCATTCCTCTTCATGAACAACTAGATGATGACATGTAGTCTCTACTCTCTATCTTACGAGTAGCGATTTTTTGATATTTATATCATAACCATAGTTATAATTTTACTGTAAACAATCATGTTCATCTTGAGGATAATTATTGTAATTGATTTCTTGGAGTTATTTCAATTGCAGTATGAATCAATTGCATGGCATCTCAATCAAGCATGATTTGTTCATAATATTGTGTGGAAAATTATCTGCTTATAACAAAAAAGCCATATATTTATTATTAATTTCCTTGATAAATTCACTACAAAAATTTGAACGCTCTAAACAGTGCAAAAAACGTGTTGGATCACGAAATTTTCCACGGTTTTTAACCGATAACAATAATAATACAGTTACTGAAAATACTTAGTTAGTGAAACAATAACAAATACATTTGTAGTTGAAAATACTAAATGCTTGTATTAGTTTTGTGAGTTTGGCGACCGCGGGTCTTGTACTAGGGACTGTGAGAACCACTTTCACTGTTTGCTCTATTCCAACAATTTTTTATAAAATTTAATTTCCTACAATTTTTGTTTAAACACGCTGCAATATCCTTCACTGTATTATTCCATTCATGTGGAAATTAAGGCAAAAATCTTTGCGCTATTTATTATTTCCTTAATAATATTATTTTATTAGGGCGTTTTAGGGGTTTTCGACTTAAGTTTTACGGGACAAATATTTTCGAGAGTTGGTAACACCGTATTTCGCTACTATGGGCTCTGTATCCGATTTGAATTTATCGGTTTTGATGATAATTTCGATATTGAATAATTTGAATCGATATATTGGATCCAAATGTATCGGCTGATAATCGACTATTTTAGACATCCCTATAGTGTCATTAATTCAAAATAGGGATGCCGAAAGTGAAGAAATATACCGATATTTATTAAAATATCGGCCTCGATAGATCGGAAAAGAAATGTCAATATTTCGATCAAATTTTCGGTTTTATAAAAATAATGTATTTAGTTCAGTCAGATTCAGTAATAAGGAATAGTAATTTTTATACCAAATTCACATTAGTTTAGTGTATGAGAAATCCTGATAAAACGAAGGTTTATGAATCATTAATTATTTATTAATTAAATCATGTTTCTTTTATTAATCTAAAGTTCTTAGTATATTATTGACCAAGCTGACAATTGAGCTGTGATAGCTCAATGTTCGGACACTTGCCTTTAATTCAATATACTCGAGCAACTTGAGTTCGATCCCGGTGCCGGCACCAATGAAGTTTTTAACTTTAAGTGCTGACTTATCACGTGCTCCGCGACAACAGTTATTTTTTTTTTCGTTCATTTTTATCTTTTACGGCTTTGAATCTTTAATATTCAGCTGAATTAAATTTCGATAAGAATATGGTTTTTGACACGATTTCGATATTGATTTTTTTATATCGATATATCGTTATATAACAAATTATCGATATATCGATATTTTTTGGCATCCCTAACTCAATATAATCAAACAGGGATGGGCAAGTAAAAAAAATATCGATTTTCATCGTATAGACATTTAAAAAAGTATCGATAATTATGGAGTGAAAAATACCGATATATCATCATTTTTCACATACTTAATGTATACATATTTTCAAGCCATTCGAAATACGTAAAATAATAAATAGACATGAAGAAAATAGTTGGAAAGAGGTTTTAAAGTTAACGATGCGGGAAGAGTATGCACGACTCGGCTAACTCGGAGAGCACGAGTCAGCTCGACTCGAGGCTAATTAGATAGGAAGTAATATTAATGTTGAATCGTGATGTTATGTGGCTACTCGAGTCGATTCGCAACTTCGTTTGTGGTCTGAACTAATCCTCTCCTCTTTCTATACACTTCGACCTCGAACAGTGTCCGACGGTTGGGATTTCAAAGACAAAATTTACAATCAATTGGCCCTAGTGTGCATTTTATTTCGAAAATCAATCAACAAACGTGTTCCAGCGCAGATCTCAACATCGTGTTTAAGAAAATACGACAAAAAAATACCGCCATCTATCGCCTCAAAGTCGTACTTATAAAATGTAATTATACATAGTCGATTGCTTATCGAAAATAAAGTTAAAAAAAGTTTCTGTTTTTATAGCAAAGAATTCCCACGCCACACTTCTGTTATTTGACGTCGTTACAAACAAAACAAAACAGATCACTAACAAATCAAAAATGTCAGTTCGCACGCGGGTCGCCAACGGCCAACTAATAAAATCAAATAACAAAATGTCAACCAAAAAACAAAATAAACTTTTAAAGCGGTTTTTCATTTGCACAATTCTGTTTCCGATCCTAGCCGAACGAGCCCGACTCAACCCGAGTTCTATTCGAGTTGATGCGAGTAAGATGCAACACCTTACGAACGGCGCGCGCGCGTGAAACGTAACTTTACTTTTCACTCAACTCGAGTTGATGAGAGTTGCAACGACTAACGAACCGCGCGCGCGAGCCGCGTGTGTAACTCGGAACAACTCGTGAGGCCGCCGCGTATAACGTCGGGCTTGCGTTCGGACGACCGAGTTGATTCGAGTTGCTTAAAACTGAACTCGAGTTGACTCGTTTAAGGTTTGACTCGAGTTACTCGAGTCAAATAACTCGAGTCGCACATCGCTAGTTGCAGTTGTACTTTCCGAGTAATGTCAGAACAGAATTATTATGTCTCCTAACTAGTTTGCTTGGTTTTCGTTTTACTTACTACTAACATAAATAAATATAAATCAACATAATTTTGGTCAGTACTACTATTACAACTAAACGTAGAAGTAACTTCTTTAGTGTGTACTGTGTATGGACAATTAATCAGGGCAGTAGTACCTTTCACTATTTAATAAAAAAATATGTAAACGGACGGTGAAAAACAAATTCAACTTTACTTTATCACAGATGTTATACATTTTTGTACCAAATTATTAATATATTTCCTTTTATTTGGTATGAACTATGCGATTATATTATATTTACAGTTTGCTTTTTGTTGTAAGGTGGCCATAAGGTGCTTGATTTTTATAAGAAATATGTTTGGATTTAGAGTATTGTTTCCTACTTCGTTTGCTGTGAAAACATGTGCCAGGATATGGTCTGCAAAATGTATTTATATTTTTATTTATGGACATGTTTGTAATTTCTAGTATGCCCTATTACTAACCACATAATTGCTTTAGACTAATATCTGCATTACTGTGGCTATTTGGTAATGGCTTATTTTATAGCAAGTGTCTAGTGGGCCACCACTGGTAATTTAATAAAAAATTATATATTGCCTCTAGGGGTAAATTAAGATATTATGTTAGTCAGCCATAATTTATATGGTATTCAAATGTTTTCTTTAATGCAAATCAACAAAGTTTAATTTTAAATTTAAATTATAGCATAGTTAAATAGTTCTTATAGTGGCAGTAACATAATATGCTATTCTGCCACATGCTATTAGTCATTGAAATATATTACTCATTGCAAACTTTATTATTCAGACAATAAAGTTACCATTTATTCGAAAAGCATAGCTCAACCCAAAGCAGCAAAAAAGTAATAGGGCATAAATATCTAAATATGTGGTTGTATGTAGAAAAAGCGGTACTTTTCTGTTAGCCAGGTGCAAATGTTAAATTTGACTCACTTTGAACCTAACCTTATCCACTATAAGAATCCACAAAATATATTATTTTTTATTCAGAACTGAAGCAGAATAACAGTATCATAGATAAGACATATATACTGAACAGTATCTCAACTACCACTAGTGGCAGTATAATTATTTTTATTAAATGGCCACTGGTGGCAGACTAGACACTTCTTTTATAATATACATTGATATTTCATTAGTGTTAATGAACAGTATCATGTTTATGTTATCATAATTTATTTTTTTAATAACTATTTAGTATACTTTGGTAAAAACTTTAAAAGTATACTTTAGTAAAAACTTTTAAAATTATAGCTGTATTGTTCCCTAATATTTTGGCTATACCACTAACAAGAGACTTTTCAAGTTCAAATAAAGGACCCAATACCATGGTAGACCCCAAGAGAGTTGTCAGTTATGAAGATATGTTGAAAGTTATTCATCAACCTGAAAAAGTCATTATTGATGTGAGGAATAAAGATGAAATCAATGCAACAGGAAAAATACCGTCCAGCATCAATATTCCATGTAATGTTTAAATTTATAATTTAATTTACAATTGAATCAGCATATGATTCTGTTAGCATATTTCCACTTATTAAATGGTTATTTTAATTAGTGTAAGTTTGTTTTTTTACTTTGGAAGGACCATGTTGCAGCTTCTGCTGTAGCTAGAATGGACTGGCTCATCTGGCAAAGTACCATGGCCTAACAAAAGTCAAAGTCAATTTGTCGCATTTTGTCTGGTGAGTGAGGTAACTGGCGGCCACTTTTTTAAAAGTTGCTAATGCATCTGCTAGCCCTTAGTTTTTAAGTGTCAATGGGCGGTGGTCTTCATTTAACATTAGGTGTATGGCTTGCTCATTTCTTTAAATAATTAAAAGAAAACTAAAAATGGTGCAGAGTTCCCAAAACTCATTGGTTTATACCCCTGGGTTCTAATATCTAACAAATACATTGCAAGTTGAATACAGACTTCAAAATGTTTTAAAGCGAGTAGTAGAAATACTGATTGTATATTTGAGCATTCACTTTTTACAATTTATTTAAAATAACAATGTTGGATTATTGTAAGTTACGAATGTCAATGAAATTTGAAATTGTTTTGTTTTACAGTGGGTCAAGTACAGAATGTTCTAACATCCATGTCAGAAGAGGAATTTCAAAAGCATTTTCAGCGCAGAAAACCAACATCATCAGATGAATTGATTTTCTATTGTCAATCTGGACGGCGCTCCACTGAAGCCCTTGACAAAGCCCTGAAACTTGGTTATTCAAAGTGTGTATAAAAATGGAAACTACATGCAAAAGATTAACAATTGTACATGTTTTACTTCTATCATGATACACAGGGAATGTAAATTTGGCTGTTTTTACAATGAACCACAGTTTCAATACCCTCAAAAGTTTACTCTCTTATTTAGTTTATCAAAAATACCTAATTACATTCTTATTGGTTAAAATTAACAATTCCTTATAGATAAATGGTTAGCATACATATATCTTACTGTTTTATTGCAAGAAATTTACAGATAAATCAATGGCACATATATCTCACATCTTTTATTTATCCACTATGTGACTGCCATTCCGTTATCTAGAATTGAAATATTAATGAGCATTAACAGAATCATGCCTATATTTAAAAGAAGGTCAATAACTTCACAGAATAGAGTTTATTAACCTCCAATATAAACATTTTGTATGTGTTAAAGTTATAACTTATGAAATATATTAAATTCCATTACATGTTTCTTCCTAGCTCTTTTCCTAAATCATTTTTTTTGGAAGAATAACTTTTCCTATTTGATAAGGAACTGATCATCGGATCCTTCACATATTTCATGAATGTCATATCAGCACATATTTCATGAATGTCATATCAGGATACACATTTTTCCTGACACGGACTGATGAATACATCTCTGCATTTAGAAACTTTTAATATCTATTGAAATTAAATATTTTCTCAATGTTATTATACATGATTTATATTTTTGGTTTTAACAAAAACTGAATTAGTACCATCCAAACTTCTATTAAAATAATCAATAATTTTTTTTTAAAATTGTGTGACAATTATTCCAATTATAATTGTTTTAATTTAGTGTCTCATTTTTCAGCTCCAAGACCTATCTCGGCAGCTGGAATGATTGGTCTAGCAAGCAAAAATAATATTTTTATTTTTATTAAAGATTTTTAAAAAATTAAAATGGTGCTTTTATTATGAAGAATGGATTTAATTGTTAAAACATTTAATAAATATGAGGTGGTGTGTAAATAAGTAAGAGATTTCTCTATTTATATGTTAATATCTCTATTTATATCTATTATATAATAGATTTATCTTTAAATAAAGAAAATGCCTTTGTCTAACAACAAAAAATTTCACAAAATTTTTAAATCTTTTATATGAAACTTCATGGACCATGAATTGCAGCATGCCTTTCTATTCCAGAAACTTCGATGCCAGGATACTGCCATTCCAAATGTGTTTGAATATATTATAGTTTTTATGTGATTATATAGTTGTCCCATATGGGAATGGAAACCACAACCCACGACGCCAATATTCTGGCAACTGCGCCATGGAGACATCAAATAGTGAATAACAATAACTAAGAGATATAACTAAAAACTTTACTTTTTTTAAGTTATCCACCAGTATTAATATAAAATGTTGATTATATGACATTAATTTCACTATTGATTTTTGCTTGCCCAGTCTGTCCAACTTCCAACATAGTTTTTAACACTGAAAAATAAATATTGATGCTCATTCATTTTAATTATTGCTCCAAATAATTTAACACATAGGCTTATTTTATTCAGATTAATAGTAATTGCAACTGAAAATTTTGAGAAAGTTATATAAATTTGAAAATTTTCTAAGATGTACTTACTTTTTAAATCCAAGACTTATTGCATTCTGTTGGGCCATTCCAGATCTTTTACCAATCATACAATAGAATATAATTTCAGTATCTTCCGAAGGCTTTTTCCTCCCATAGGTTTGTTCAAACTCTTTTTCTGACATTGTGTTGAGAGTGGTTGAAACACTTCCCACTTAAAATTAAACAAAATCTTTATTGTAAGATAAATTCTAGAATTTATTGAAGTCACAAGAAAACATTTAAAGTTACAACCTATGTATATGTTGCACTGTTGTTTATTTCTGTACCAGGTGAAGTTAAAGTACTTGCATTTTGTTTGGCAAAAGAGGTATCAAGCCAGGCTGAGGGTCCTTGGGCCATCCTCCCAATTTCCAATCTAGACTGCAGCGCGAAAGAGAGGGTAATACTCTTTCTCACAATGTTTTCCTTCCCCGCTGAATATGTATCAGCACTTAAAATTAATAATTTCATTGGTCCCGGCACCCAAGATCGAACTCAAATTGCTCAAGTATATTAAATTATAAGCATGCGCCTGGACAATGAGCTATCAAGGCATACAGAGAATGTTTATAAAAAGAAAATATTTCACTCACAGGGTATATTTACACTATTAGGAATTTTTCCATGTTCCTTAATCTCATCTGGTTCTCTAACATCAACGAGTAATGTGTTTTTGTTTGTTGTAGCGTTTTTTACATAAGTGTAATCTACTATTAACTCTTCCAATTTTATTTGATCAGTATAAAATCGAGTAAGTTTAAGCACATTAAGGTAAAAATTATTGTGCATGTATTCTGAAATAAAATTGAGAATATTTTTTAAAATAACTGATTATATTAGATGCAAAAGTAATAAATATTTCATAAAAGTAAACTTACGAAATGATGTAATTCCACTTTATATGTGCTGTTGAGATCTTGAAAGCTTTTAAATTATAAAGCGATAAGTTTAAGCATTTTGTACTTAACAGGCGAAAAGACATTCTTAGTTTTGTATTTTTCTAATTGGAATTGCTTTTCAATTTATGCTACTAAAAATAAGTAAAGGTGTTTAATAAACAAGTCTTAAGTTATACATTCGTGGATTCAATAACAACACTATCGGCTTCCAGCTTTTGCACGAATGGGCGCTGAGCTCGCGAGCCCGGAAAAATATTTGAATTTCCATGGTGGTAATCACATAACATCAAGTGAATCACTTCCTCATCCTCACTTACCAATTTATATATTAAAACATTTGGTAATGTAGATGATAATAATTTGTCACAAGTTTTAAATCATTCAAACCTATTCAGTATATGTGTCTTATCTATGCAGTATTCATACCCAAAGAGTACTTTTATTTTATATATCTGAAATGTTCATACCCAAATAAAAAATTGGTGATGCCAGAGGATAAAACTGACAAGTGACAAATAGTTGACATTAGAAGTGGGCGATACAAATCGTATCAGATATGAAAACTAGATATTAGTACAATATCCCAATATCGCTTACTGGCTCGTTCAATATCTATGTATTTTACAATATCTGATATTTCCGAAATCTGATGTACCGTGCTCGCTCGCTATACCGACACGAATCGCGATACGGCGATATCATACGCGTTTGCCACAATATCTGATTTTTAAACAGATTTCGAGAAACAAAGCGCGTGAGATACAAATACTCACTAGTTAGAGCGGGACGGCAAGCAATGCACGATATCAGATATCGAGCGACAAAGCGCGTGAGATATAAATACTTACTAGTTAGAGTGGGACGGCAAGCAATGCACGAAATCAGATATCGAGCGACAAAGCGCGTGAGATATAAATACTTACTAGTTAGAGTGGGACGGCAAGCAATGCACGATATCAGATATCGAGCGACAAAGCGCGTGAGATATAAATACTTACTAGTTAGAGTGGGACGGCAAGCAATGCACGATATCAGATATCGAGCGACAAAGCGCGTGAGATATAAATACTTACTAGTTAGAGTGGGACGGCAAGCAATGCACGATATCAGATATCGAGCGACAGAGCGCGTGAGATATAAACACTTATTAGTTAGAGTGGGACGGCAAGCAATGCACGATATCAGATTTTTAAACAGATATTATGAATAAGTTAAGTAATTTTGAATCTTAAAACCATGCGAATAAGATCCGTTTCATTTAAATACTAATCTTGGTATCGGCGATTACTACAACGATATTATTATATTTTTATTGTTTTGTTTAGCCTTTGAGCCGTAACGGGCGACAAAGCGCGCAGTTAAGTAATTTTGAATCTTAACAGCATGGAAAAAAAACTCTGTTGCATTTAAATACGAATTGCGGTATTAACGATGTCTTTGAAATTTTGTTCAGCCTTGAGCTGGATTGCATTGGTACCTAGCACGTAATAGTAAGGGATGCCAACTTACTACTTAAGAATTTTCTGCCTAAATTAAGGAAGAAAAATATACAATGGAAATTTTTTAGGAGGTAAATTTTTTGTGAATATTTTTATTAGCTAAATTTTATTCATATTTTTGGAAAAAAATAAAAGTACACAAAAAGAAAAATATAATTTAATAGTGCTGTGCTGCTTTGGTGGAAATCAGACCAAGGCTTATGTGCCTTGTGTGTATATTTTAAATTCTTCCGCCCTAAGCTATAATACTGAATGTATTATTTCTTACACAAATAATAAAAATATTTCCACTCGATTGCGTGTTCTAAAAATATGTTAAAGTCAATTATTAAGCGGTATATAAGATGTTAAAATAAATCATTTTTATATTACTTCAATTTATATTTTTAATGAAATTTTTAATTTAATAATTTAAAAAAAAACGCATTTTTAGTAAGACAGGGTTAATTATTAATGATCGTCGAACAAGACTTTCGACGAATAAAGTCAGAGAGCTTACGTTCCTAAACGTGAATTTGAACCCGGAGGGATATAAATAATTATTAACCCTGACATAATTGTAAATATATAATGTTAAGTTTTAAATATAAGGAAAATTATGTACATAGAATGAATCAACTTTTAAATACGCCTGCACAATTTTATATTTATAATAACAATTTTATATAAATATATAAGTATACAATTTTTTTTTTTTTTTAGAATTCTATTAATCAACGTGGATAGGGAACCGTAAAATATCTAGATATTAAAATACATAGTTTCGAAATCTGATATTTGAAATCGATATCGGATTCAGATACGGTACTCAGAAAAAGCGATACGACCCATCCCTAGTTGACATTTGACAAAAATGACAACTACACTACAATCACCAGCACCATCAATATATTTTTAGGGATGCCGAAAGTCGAAAAAATATCAATATCAGCCTCGATATATCGAAAAAAAATCTCGATATATCGGCCAAATTTTTGGTTTAAAAAAAATGTAATATATAGTTAATTAAGGTAAAAATTTCCTTAAGTTACCGACCAAACAAAAATTTTATTCGGTTAAGAAAAATCACTAATGAAATAATCAACAATCAGAATTTGGCGGTCGCTTATAGTTTTCGAGAAAAAAAAAATATTTAAAACTTGTTATTTTCACTAAATTAATCCGCCATTTTGTGTTTGACAACATGTATAAATTTGGGAATTCACACACTTTTCCAAATTATAATCTTCGCATTATTAAAAAAGAGTCTTTAAAAATACGAAAAGTACTATTACACTAAAGTTTTCTGGGTGGTTATAAAAAAAATAACCAGGACCTTCTAACCTAACCTATCCGAGTCGGATCGCTCTTTGTCGGATCTGTCACTCTCAAAATTAAAAGAAAATTAATCTTCGCCCACTTCCTATATTTTTCATGTTGGCGGTACTGTGTATTCAGTTTTTGAAGTAAAATTGGTAAAAATGGTGAACTTTCTTAGTGAAAATTACGTTTTAAATAATTTATTTTCTCGAAAACTATAAGCGACCGCCAAATTCTGCTTGGTGAGTATTTTATTAATGATTTTTCTGTACCTAACTACATTTTTTTTACGTCGAAAAACTCCCGGAAACTTAAAGAAACTAATACCAATAAGTTTCTTTAGCCCTGAATCGAATCAAAAAATAACTAATTAAAAAAACATGTAACTTTGTAAAAAAAACATAAAGAAATGTTTAAAACGAAGTTAATAATGAGTCAAAAAGAAACCCGTGGAGACTTGTGATAAAAGACAGGCCAGGATAGATCAGCAGAATTTAGTAATAGTTGTTTGATTGACATGAAAATGCTGAACGACAATTTAAAGAAGTTACTTACATGGTTAAATGATAAATTTTTTATGACGTCAAAATTAAATATTTTTTTAATGAAAACTCGATATTATATTATGTGATATTTAATTAATGAGAATTACATTATAATTAAACTAATTTATACATTAAATTAAAGTAATGCCATTAATATTTTGCATGTTATTTATGAATAAGCATAATATGTTGTTCAATATTAATTATTTGAAACACCTCTAGACCATGTTGCACCTTAGATATGGATAGTATAAAGTACGAAGCATGAAATTGTATTATAAATACCATTACTATAGTACAAAATGCAGCTCTGCATCCGCAAAAATACTGGTCATAGACCACAGTTTTGTTCCATTCGTTTTTATATTTTACGGCTTTGAATCAGTTTAAATAAAAATATCGTTTTTATTTAAACGATTGTATTGTATTTATTTATTATTGATTGTATTTATACGATTTCGATATTCAATTTTTTATATCGATATATCGGATCAAAATATATCGGCCAAAAATATCGATATATTTTTTAAAAAATATCGATATATCGATATTTTTTCGGCATCCCTATATATTTTATTGCCAATTAAACATCTATACAAACGAATTAGATAATTGAAGAAGAATTTTGTATTTCTATGGATGATGTGTGACTAAAGAGAAACGACATAGCTGGTGCACGACGGCAGTATTAACATGATAACGTCCGTGCAACTTGCTGAAACTCCGTGTCCTCCTAGACGAGAGATTTAATTTTAGTTGAAGGTCACTTTCGTAGGCATACCTCAGTTTCCTCACAGCAGACGTGGCCGTAAGCTTCAATGACTACGTTTTCGTAATTGGAGTTTATTTGAGGAATTTATATACGGAACTGTTCCGGAAATCTTACAAAACAAATTCTCGCATTCCCAATGCAAGCAAATACCTAAGCGATGTACTCTCATCGCTGCACATTGCACCACGGTCGTCTTTTGTGCAATCCACGCCTACGCCACATACTGTTATTTTCTTATTTAAGGAATAATCCTTTACGGATCCCTTGCCACCACATCTAGCGTGTGGCAAGTATATGTGGAAGTCGAGTTTCACTGATCGAGCCAGGACTTATCCACAGGTACCCTATCTCTGTTGCATCGGCTGGGGATACAAGTACGCAAAGATTTTTTCCCTAATCCGGCGCAACTGCGGCCTTCTCAAGCCTCTTTTTTTCGGGTGCCTGGGCAATCAGCTCAGATTCTCACGAGCTTTATATTGAGTTGCAGATACCTTAATGGCTGCTACCCGTGGGCTCACGTCCACTCGTTGTCTTCTACCATCGCGTGAACCAGGGCTGGATGTGGGAGGTTGCACCTTACTAGCGCACAGCTCTCATTGCTGCTCCGTCCAGGCTGGGCACTTCTCCAGAGCGGGTTTTATCCATATCCTCAGGACATACGTCAGTGGTGGAATTTCACCGTGGTCGCCCTTCTCACTACGTGAAACAAATACCTCCCGAAACAACTGTGTCCCGAAAGGACCTGCGTCACGTTGTAGGCAAGGGTTCCGTGTCGTCTGTCCACCTCCTGAAGTTAAGATATATGGCCTTCACAGTGCGTGTGCATAATGGCGACTAATATAGGCAGTGTTATCAAAATGAGGAGTTATGACAAATGGGGACTTTTTAGCAGCTAAAGCGTCTTTTGAATCGTAAATCATTTTGGAGTTGAAAGTTTAGTCGACCCCAGTTTGAGACTTTGGTTAACAAAGTTTCGAGTTCAGATACAGGCTTGTCCCAGCACTCTTTATTTTATTAAAAGGTATTCCCGAGAAATCTTAGCATGGGCAGTGTACAACACAGCCGCAATACTATCGTCTGCATAGCAATGAATGTTGCTGTTAATTTGTAACATGTTATAGATATGCAAAATAAACGATGTTACTGAAATCCATTCAAGGAACGCCCTCGCTAGTAGAACGTTAGAGTAAAATTATAACTTTTGGCAGTGTTATGTCTTTAAATGTTACGAATGCAATGCACACAGGGCCTTTCCCGATGTCGAGAATGACCCTGAGTGACTTGCATCTGAAGTTCTTGTGGAATACAAGTAATTGTAACTGTGTAACACCCAGGTTCGTTGAGTGGTTGCTCGCTCCCCCCCTGTTAGTCAATTTTTGATTTTTGTCTGTAGGGTTTGCAGAGTTGAAACGAAGTGGACGAAGTCATCCTTTTATCTTCGTGCACCGGGTTCGTTGTTTTCTCCTGAGTCCATTGGTCGTCTATTTGCGGTGATCCGGGTCCCTGAAGAGGTCTTCTAGCGAGGCTGTCAATGCCGCCAGACTTACACTTACAGCGTATTATATTTTAAAAAAACATTACAATATATAATGTACTTATAGTATCTAAAAGATTAACCTACTTTATTTTTATCATTTTTATTTTTACTTGCTTTGTAAAATTTGAATGGGTTGCTTTATTTTTCGTCATTTCTAACGAGAGAATTTGTAATCTACCTATTTCGTCTGCTGACAGTTGATTGACCCTATCTGGTTCCACTGTCGTCCACACAGAAATCTGATTCATGGAATCCTAAATAAAAAGTATAACTATAAATATATTATTAAATTAATATGATTTAATGAGTTCATTTATTATAGGCGATTTCAAGATATAACAAAGTTTTATATTGAACTAATGCGGTGGTTAAATAAAAGTTGTGGAAGCTTTCTTATTACGTTAATTTTTGCAATACTAACGATATGTCTGCATACTTTATACTCCTTATTGCATTCTATTTCTATAAATGAAATATGAGTTAATAAACACAATGGACTTAACTTGCAGATGTTAAAAATATAACGTAAAAAGGAGCCACTGAATGTATTATGTGTGAAATGCTTTCGTGTTGAAATCGTTTGATTGATCAATACACGGACGAATCAGAATGGGGTCCATGCGTCCGACGGGGCGGTTCCTGTCGTTCACTTCTAATATACAACGAACACAGAAACAGCCTGGTGAGTACATAGTATCCTAAAGTTGTACATAGTATCCTAAAGTTGTACATAGTATCCTAAAGAAATTTCTATTATCATGATTCATGTCGTATTATAATTTAAATGCCGATTTTTAGGTTTTTTTCATTATCGATAGTATCCTTAATAGGATGCTACAAATAGAGTGGAATAGGCCAGAATGAGTTTATTAGTATTTAATGAAAAAAAAATACAGAAGAACTGACACTGAACTGTGTTAAGAGAATTTAATTGTATTCATAGTCATCAAATAAAGAATTCAGTCTTTTCATTGCCAATCACTATTTTGCCATTTTTTACTTTTGTTGTGTAATATTTCATTTATATTAGATTAAGTATGTTTTAGTGGTTGGATTTTTGAATCCGGAGATGTAGATCTTAACCATGATCTTTTAAATATGCTGGAGAATCTCTATATCAATTGCAATATGTATATTTTTCAATAAGGCAATTATGATCATATACCCAAAGTTTATTTATAAACTATATTATGGTTTTATCTAAACTGTACTGGATTTTCAGTTACACAGAGCAAGATTTGGGCTTTTAAACAACAGAAGAAGTGCTCTTATGAAGGTTTTGTTTTTACTGATTAAGGGACAGATAGATCCCTAAAAAGAGATTCCATTATATAGAATTACATTAGTTTATTGGGGAAAAGATATTTTTTTATTTTATATTGAATATCTATGAAATGTTCAGGTATATCCATTCTTTCCAGCACATCATGTATATGTAAACCTATATACAGCATTTCGTTACCATCGCAACAATAAATGAACACACGTCTAACGCTATTTGCCAATAATCATAAAAAAATATTAATTATAAACAAAATCCATTATTGAAAAAAATATTTTTCAAACAAACGAATTAAGTAAAAAAAAAAAAACAAAATTTTACATCCTATACAACTCGCGCCACAGCGTCGCATTACAAGCCTCTCCTTCTAACAGTATGTTTTCTCTCTTTTAAATTCATTCAACCCATTCATATGCTTTGTGACCTTTACAAATGAACTTAACGTTACAGTTTTATATGTAAAGGTGTTCTAAAATTGTTTGTTTTGGAAAATTTTATAACTCGGTAAATATTGATGTTTAAAGAATGTAAATGTTTAATACAATTTTAAAAAGTTATCGTCTATATGTGTGTTCATTTATTGTCGCGGTGGTAACGACACGCTGTATATGTCTGGGACAATTTTTTGTGTTAAACAGTTTAGTTAAGGGAACAAAACTTTAGCAAGTATTTAATTCCATCATTGCAACTCAACATTTATTCATTATTATGGATAGAATTTTTTTTTACTTTCTACTCAGTAGTATGATAATAAATTCAAATTTTGTATGTTTATTTATATTGTATTGCAAATTAATTAATAAAATTAGTTTTATTTTTAATAATTATTCTACCATGTCTATTTACATCTGCATATAATGGAAGTTTTTAATTTAAATCTGAATATTAAATGAGCATATTGATGATTTTTAATAAAATAAAACAAATGTTAATTCAATATTACAGTGTCAAGTGGTTTCCCACAAAGTCTATCTGGTAGTGAGACTGATGTGTCTACATCCAATGAGAATTTATCAAGAGAAGAGCGGTATGTTGTTCGCCATACAGCACGAGTTGAACCACAAGGCCAGGAAAATCAGAGTCAAACCAATAATAATGGTAATAACCGGAACTCGCTAAAGGTAATATATACTTAACTAGCTGATCCAGCAAACATTTTTTTGCCATGTATATTATTTCTAGGAAACATTTTTTCAGTTCAATAAAAATAACTATCTACTATAAGTGTGTGGGCATGTACTTATAATTGTGAACAATGAAAGTATGCTTTATTTAGGTTAAATAATAATTAAAGGAAATTGAAATTATAAACTCTGAATAAGAATTTATCTTACTACAGCGGATCTGTGGATAGAATAAAGTGGGTTGACAATATCAGGGTGAAAGTTAAGAATAATATGAATTTTTTTTAAGCCATTACAAAAAAAATCTTGCCAAAAAAAGTAGTTTTTAATTAAGTAATAAAAAATAGGGGTTGATTGTAGAGGGGTGAAAAATTAAGGTTGTATATTTTTGTATATTGTATCATAAAAAAAAGAAAACAAAAAATTTTGTCTAAATAAGAAAATAATAAATTTTGGAGTAGACCACCCTCAACATTTGTGGGGATGAAAAATAGATGTCTCATTCTCAGACCGAACCGATATGCACACAAAATTTTACGAAAACCGGTCAGGCAGTTTCGGAGGAGTTTAATTACAAACATCATGACACAAGAATTTTATATATTAGATTATAAAAGTCGTAATAATCCTCAAAATTATAAGCAAAATATGTATGTGCATCATGGCCCAAAATAACACAATTAAGCAATGAAAAAAAAAATTTCACCCAACACAATGACTGGCCTTCCTACAGTCCAGACTTAAAATCCGTTGGATTATAAAATATGGCAACAAACATTAATATTTTTTTTAAATTATGGACTGCTTAATTAACATTATGTCACAGTATGTACTTTGTCTAAAAAATCACCCTATATAAATGGTAACTGTGAAAATAAACAAATAAATATGTGTCAATTATTTCATAATAAATACCTGACAGAACTTATCACCGGATTAGGTATTTTTCAACGGTTTTATTTAGCTCGACCCGTACGGAATTTGTTTATTTATTTGGGTCAAAATTAGAAATTGAAATTTAAGCACCTTGCCGTTGTCAGATTGATCTGAAATTTGGTACACACATTTAATTTAGATGACAATACAATATTAACAAAAAAAAAATTTAACAAAAAAAAACATAAAATAAAACCGTTTAACTTAAAAGATTTTTAAAGTAATTATATTAATTTAAAATTTGTGGAAACTAAGTAAAAATGTATTTTGACCTATCTTTAAATTTATTATAATTTGATAATGACATTGTTAAAGTATATTTTTGTAAATATGTTCCTTTTCTTAAATCAAGATGACAATTTTTGTAATTACTTTCACAGCACTATATTAAGTATGACAATAACTTAATTATTTTATTTAAATGCAGTTTGCATTTAATAGAGAAAAAGGTTGAAACTAGCTAACTCATGAAACTAATAATTAATTTTGCTACACAGGAGAGTGTAACAGGAAGCAATCGAAACTCCCTTAAGGATTCCGTAGGAGGGGGCAATAGCAATCGAAGTTCATTAGATGTCTCCTCGTCGTCCTACAATACTCTGATAATTCACAATCAGGACGATTCATGGCCTCCACGACCGACACCTATTCGGTTAGTTTCTTTGGTTTTTTTAATCTACGGTCTATTATCATTATACTCAGGATTTATTCAATCAAATGTCAATGGACAGTGGTCATCACTTAACATCAGGTTAACCATCAGCTCGTTTGCCACCTTTTCACATAAAAAAAATTTGCATTTAAAGAATTTGATGGTTCCATTGGTATATTAAGAACAATTGTTTGGGCGGATAGTACATTCAAAGCTTTTATCTCATTGACTCTAAATTGCTGAAGACAACCATAAGAATTTTATTTATCGTAATTTTCTTCCATTTTTCCCAAAGAGAACACGAACGAACAGCCAGCGAGGTGAAGCATTCCAATACGCAGTCGTCACCTTATCATACTCTGAAAAAAAGCGAAACAGGCAAAAAGCCTAGTGGCATTCCGTTGCCAAAGGCTCATAAGGAGCAAGCGGTTACTGCCAACGCGAACTACATCGACATCGGCGGTCAGAGGATTTACACTAGCCCGCCTGATCATGGAGTGCAGGTGAGAACTGTGTGCCTACTTAACTCTTAGATGTTTAAAATTCTGTGGTATTGTGGCGGATCATGAATGTTACGATTAACACATTGTTCGTTGACTTTTAGCTTTTATTACAATAGACTATCTTTAAACGAGCAATTTTTGTATATATGTATATACAGCGTGTCGTTACCATCGCGACAATAAATGACCACACATATAGGGGATAACTTTTTAAAGTATATATATATATATATATATATATATATATATATATATATATATATATATATACGGAAACGGCTCCAGCGATTTTCATGAAATTTAGTATGTGCGTAGATTCGAATTAGCGAACAGCCAGTTCGATTTTTCGGTTTAATTTTTAGTAAATGTCGATTTATCATTCGAATACGGCGGTACATTTCACCGAAAAAAAAAATGTTATAATAGTTCGGTCGGTAATCCCCCGAAACGTCGGCCCCGAAACAGAAGACCGTGGTTCGTGTCGCGATCATTTACACTATTATTTTGTTACTTTTTTTTCGATTCCATATCATTGCTCTCTTTATTTTTTATTTTTTGTCGATCCAGATGATTTTGTTATTGTTTTCCCTTTTTTTTAAAGTTGTTTCTTTTGTGAAAAACACCACTTCATATTTTCTTTTTTATTACTCAGTAATTTGTATCAAAATGTAAATTCCAAAATACATTATTTACCAAAAAGAAAAGGTTCTCCAGGTACTAAGTCATTAATGTAGTAACGACGTACATTTCATGTAATTCCCTGTTTCAATACAACAAAACAGATTCAGCTTTGAACTTTAACATAACTGAAATAACCTGTGTTTCATCCGTGTATAAATGGCCGCAGTGAGAAATCACATTTATCAAAATTACAATTCAAAACCTCCATAGCACTATCTCGAAGTAAGCGTTTTTGTAAACTAAATCTTTATAAAAATAAATCGCCATGATGACATAATTGAACGGGTGCGTCTTGCAGGAGATAACCGAGATTCCGGACGACTTCTTGAACCAGTCGTCGGTGCTGAAGCACCTGGCCAAGGAGGTGGCGCAGTCGCCGACGCCGCGCGGGCCCACGCCGCCCGCCTCCCCCCGCCATCAAAGAGATCGCGCCAAGGACAAGCTCAGCCTGTCCAGGTCTCAGCCCGATCTCACCAGGTGACGACAGCCTGAGCTAGTGGACCTTTTGTTATGTGATAAAGTAGCAAACAAGCTGGGAATTCACCTGATTAAATAACATTTGCACACCCTTAGGGTTGCAGATGAGTTGCCACCTTTTAATAAAGTGGGCTCCGGCTACCTCACTCACCAAACGAAACGCAGAAGTGTAGCACTTCTACTTCACGCGCTGTCACAGCACGGGCGTGGGCTAGTGTTTACCCTGTATGTAATCCCCGTGCGTGTTGCTACAGCGCGGGCGTGGGCTAGTGTTTACCCTGTATGTAATCTCCGTGCGTGTTGCTACAGCGCGGGCGTGGGCTAGTGTTTACCCTGTCTGTAATGCCCGTGCGCGCCGCCACGGCGTGGGCGTGGGTTAGTGCACACCCTATCTACTCCCCGTGTGCTGCAGCGTGGGCGTGGGCGTGGGCGTGCGCGCCGCCCCCGGCGGCTCCGAGTCGAGCGGCTGGTGCAGCGGCGGCGAGGGCTCGCTGGAGGAGCCCGACGACGCGTTCGCCGCCGTGCTGGACGCCCTCGCCGCAGAGAACCACCAGCTCAAGGGGCAGCTGGCGGACGCGTGCGAGCGCGTTGCCAAGACCACAAAGGTATAGGGAGGACCGACTGTATTACCCTGTCGATTCTGAGCTATTCATTTTTTTTGTGTCCTTTGGAGTTGTTGTTTTAAAGTAGAGTCGATTTTACTATATAGCTCGATTCTTTTTTTCTAGTCTGGGTACTCGGTAACTGAAATATACTTTTCTTTTATTAATAAATGGTATACATATGATAAATATAAACGATGAAAACTGTTGTTCACAATATTATAGTTGCCTAGTATATGATACCTTTCATAATATTATAGTTAGGTATTTACGTATAAAAAATACTTCTTTAAAACTAAAAACATTCGATAACCGATCCATACTAGGACAACCAGTAATAACATAAAAAGCATCAAATACGTGTGTTAACTGAAAAAAATTAAATGAATTGTACACAGCAGTCATAAAGTGACTGGAGCAGTGTGCAAACATTTTCATGTTATCACCCTGACATTGCCGTGTCAAGAATTCGCCCTGACAACTTACGAAGGGGTTTCTGCAGCTCGAGGAGGAGGTGGAGAAGGTGCGGCGCGCGCACGAGGACCTGGTGGGGTCCTGCGAGCGACGCGAGCGGCTGGAGCGCGCCGCCCGCCTGCGCCTGCAGGCCGACTGCAGGCGTCTGCAGGACCTCAACCGGGCGCTGAAGCAGCAGGTGGGCACCGCATGCCGCTACGCTCTGCTTGTTTAAGCGCGATGTTCGCGTTGCCAAACCGCCGCGACCTCATACTGCTGCGTTGCCGCACCGCCGCTACGTTCGGCTTGTTTCAGCGCGATGTTCGCGTTGCCAGACCGCCGCGACCTCATACTGCTGCGTTGCCGCACCGCCGCTACGTTCGGCTTGTTTCAGCGCGATGTTCGCGTTGCCAAACCGCCGCGACCTCATACTGCTGCGTTGCCGCACCGCCGCTACGTTCGGCTTGTTTCAGCGCGATGTTCGCGTTGCCAAACCGCCGCGATCTCATACTGCTGCGTTACCGCACCGCCGCTACGTTCGGCTTGTTTCAGCGCGATGTTCGCGTTGCCAAACCGCAGCGACATTCAGCTTACTCGCTTAGCGCGCGGAATCGGGTTGCCAAACCGCAGCGACCTCACACTGCTGTGTTGCCCCACCACCACTACATTCAGCTAGCTCGTTTAGCGTGAGGAATCGCGTTGCCAATCCGCCGCCACACCAACCTGTTTGCGTTGCCACACCAACAATAAGTCGAACTCACGCGTCTTGCATATCGCCGCACAGTGCAGTATGGCAATGTTGATGTGCTGTGAGCGAATTTACGTCACAGGTGGAGGTGCTGACCGCAGGCGTGCGCGCCGACGGCGACGCGAACGCCGAAGCCCTGCGCAAGGAGCTGCAGAATAGGGAGATGCTCATCGCGCAGCTCATCACGCAAAGTAAATAAATATAAATGTAATATGAATATTGGTTTTGAAAGAAATTGGTTTCAAAACGTTGTCAACGCATCGGGAACCCTCGGGTGTAGCAGATGTCCATGGGCGGTATTCACTTAACATCATGTGAATCGTCTGCTCGCTTGGAAACTTTTCACATGAAAAAAAATATATATATGTATTATATATATATATATATATATATATATATATATATATATATATATATATATATATATAAATATTTTAGCAAACTTTTTTTTGCACAACTTTCTCTCGTCCCAAACTAAGCAACGCTTTTACTGTGGTTACTAGATAACTGTAAAACATACTTAAAAAAACTTTTCTTTTGTAAATAAATGTAAACCCCGACACAAGAAAAACACTATGTTCATCACACAACATTTTTCTAGGAGTGGGGATCGAACCCATACCCTCTGGTACACTACCCACTACGTCATTAGGGTCGTCAAAAATGTTCATTCGCTCACCGTTCTTCCACTAATCCAGCACTCACTCGATGTATTTTCGTTTTTTTATGTGAGTAAATGGCAAACGAGCTGGCGGTTCACCCGATGTTAAGTGATAACCGCCGCCGCTATATGAAGGTTGCAGATACGTTGCCAACTAATAATAAAGCTGGCCCCGGCTAGCTTACCCACTAGACGAAACGCAGAAGCGGCGTAAAGTGTAACACTTCTTCTTTACGCCTTCTGTGAGGTCATGGTACTTATTCGGACGGACCTGCCCATTCGTGCAACAGCGAATACTGTTGCGTGGTCCTACCACATTTCATTCGTTCACTAGTCATTTACTGATCCATCACGCAGCAATGTTACTCGATTACCGGTCTCACTAATCCACCACTCACTCACTGTTCATTCGCTCAGTAGCCTTTTACTAATCCATTACCTAGTGACTGTCCATCCAAAGGTTGCCTGGAAGAAATTTCTCTTAGTAATAAGGCCGCCCATCACTTCTACATTAAGTTTTAATTTTTGTTTGTTTTATTTTTGGTGTGCAATAAAATATATTTATTCATTCATTCATTCACTGTTCATTCGTTCATTGGTCTGTTCCTAATCCACCATTCAATGAAATGGTCATTCGTTCCTAATCCATCATTCAGTGAAATGCTCCCCGCTAGTAGAAAAATATTGTGTGTTGAGCATAGTGTTTATAAATTCATAATATGTATTTAATTTAAAATAAACAGTACGTTTAAGTATGTTCATCGGTTACCTAGTGCCTATAGAACAAGCTTTGTTTAGTTTAGGACTAGACAACTTATTTATTAACAAAAATAGCAATAATGAACATACATATTGATGTCTTCTTGCGCTGCAGATAAGGAGCTGGCGTGCGCGAAAGAGAGGCAGGAGATAGAGATGGCTGCCCAGCGGGCCACGTTGCAGGAGCAGAGGACGCACATCGACATCCTGGACACGGCCCTCACCAACGCCCAGGCCAACGTGGTCCGCCTCGAGGAGGAGGTGGGACTCGCCCTGGAATAATAACCTTTAACTCTGGGCTCTAAGCTGTTGCGCGGTTGGGCACGACCGCCCGGGGAAGTACCACGATGTCACAGAAGTCAGGCGTGAAGGTGACGCCTTACACTTCTGCGTTTTGTCTCGTGAGCGAGGTAACCGGGGCCCACTCTATTAAAAGGTGGCATCGCAGATGTCCATGGGCGGCGGTATTCACTTAACTGGAGGTGAACCGCCTGCTCGCTTAAAAACTTTTCGGCGAAAATAAAAAATAAAATGAATGTAAAAAAGTTGTTAACGGTCGCCATGGTAATTTCAATTCACTCATAATTTTTTTGTGAACGAGCCAAAAGTGAAACTTGTTGTATCGCTGTTGCAGTGCCGCCACGCGGGCGGCTACGTGGAGCGCGTGATGGGGCTGCAGAGGGCGCTGGCGTCGCTGCAGCAGGCCTCCGACCGGCGAGAGCACACCGAGAGGAAGCTGCGCGCACAGCTCGAGAAGGAGCTGCAGACGCTCAGGTCAGGGCTGATCACTACCTTAGCCGAGCCGCTGACTTGAAGCGCGGCGACTGGTGTTGCATGTTTGTTGAAATTATCGAGTGTTACAGTATAAGGAGTACCTTATATGTGCGTTTTTAAGTGAAAAAGTGCCATATAAATATGCTAATTATAGCTCAAGAGAAAGCCAAGAAAGGTCAATTGATAATTTAGTTAATGTTCTGGCGCCTTCTACTAAATGTAGAATTTATCGTACGATATACACCACTACAGTGACGATATCATAGCGCATATTCCTTGGTAATCTTATTTTTTTATGTGAAAAGTTGCCAAGCGAGCAGACAGTTCACCTGATGGTAAGTAAATACCGCGGCCCATGGACATCTGCTACACCTGAGGGTCACAGATGCATTGACAACCTTTTGAAAATTGGGCTCCGGCTACCTCAATCACCAGACGAAACGCGAAAGTATTTGTCATACTTCCACTTTACGCCGGTCTTCTGTGAGGTCGTGGTACTTACCCGGACGGGCCTGCCCATTCGTGCAACAGCCGAGGCTGCTGCGTGGCCCTACCACCGTAAACTTAGTATTCAACACTTAAGAGTTCAAAGAAGTCAAATTTGTCATTTTTATTTATTAATCTATACCGTACTATACATAAATAGCGCATTTAATGTCTTAGAATATATAAAACCACCAATCGCAAAGGTTTTTGTTTCTACATTTGATTTATTTTTCCACAACACGCAGCCAATGGAACAAACGTAGAGGATCGTGCTTCGCCAGCCTATATGATACGTAAGAAAGAGGTGATCCACTTTATTTCAACTAAATGGCATATTATGTCGATTTGGTAGATGAATAAATGCATACTAAGCGGGTAGATTCAGAGGAAAGTGATGACTTGTTTCACATATTTATCTGGGAATGTTATAATTAAATTATATCAATACTATTAATTAGTACCATTTATACTACATTTATACTTATATAAATCTAGTTGGGTCTAAGAGATTGTATTTCACTAGTTACCGAAAATATTTATCCGAAAATTCTGTTGTAGCATTTCTGTTGATCCGATCGCTACCAAACTGCACAGGATTATTGAAAAAAAAAAGTCCTGAAAATTTCATCATAATATGTTCAGCCATTTTGGAGTCCATAGGCACATATATACACATAGATTGTGATATACTTGATTCTGATATTGATTAAGGTCGAGTTTCCGTGTTAACAATCCAAAAGAACGCCGTTCTTTACAAGCTGCAAATAGTACAAAATAAGTGTATCAACTTAGCAGTGGTATCAACGCAACGTCGATCTGCACAGCGATTGCAGACTCCCGACGATTCGCGAATTTTTTAAAGACCTGACCAAACGGTTCTTTGATAGAGCCAAACATCATCCCAACCCTCTGGTGGTAAGCGCAGCAAATTACCAACCCGACACAAACGCGAACGTCAACAAGCGTCGCCCGCGAAACGTCCTCATCGACCCGGTCGAGGAAGGGGACTTAGGTACGTCGGACCCACCGTCGGGGGTCCCGCCGGATAACACTACACACACATTTAGTGTAGCAACAAATACATCAGTTCGCCCTCGCCTCCGAGCACGGCGAGACCAACACAACGCGTACACAAGGTACACCCGCGTTCCAGGGCGGTTCTCACCGCCCCCAGCCACCGATTAGCTAAAAACACAGTCGACGGCCATCGGGGTCTCGGTCCGCACCGCAACTTCGATGGCCCTTAGATGACATGTCGTAGTTAAACGCACGCATGAGCACATGCGTGGCCCTACCCACAGCGGAGGGCCCAAACCCGTGGGTTCTGGCTAGCCCACCGGTTCTGCGTCAGGTGAAGCTTTAATAGTCTCGGGACTGAAAGCAAAAACATCAGTTAATACAAGATACAAGATACGCCGTTATTTTGTTTGCCAAAGTTTGTGCCCTATAAGAAATGTCGAGAGAGGTGAGTTCTTTTTTGTCATTCATCCTATCTGCGTACGACCTGTTGGAGTCTTAAGATCAAAGTAGGCATATTTTTGATTCTATATATCGATATTTTCAGCCGATATAATTGGATCCGATATATCGATACAAAATATTCAATATCGAAAATACTATCAAAAACATTACTTTCTTTCAAATTCGAGTACGTAGGTGTCATTTGGATAAGGTTTTGTAGGGCTGTATATTTCGAAGCGGGCGTTGCGGTGGAGCATCTTACATCTCACTGACTCTCTCTCTCTCTCTCTCGCTCGGCAGGAAGCGCGAGTGCGGCTGCGGCGGGGGCGGCGGCGGCGTGGGCGGCGCGGGGGGCGGCGGGGGCGGTGCGGCGGGCGGCGGCGGCGGGGGCGCGGGGGGCGGCGAGGCGGAGCTGCGGCGGCAGCTGCGCGAGCGCGACGAGCGGCTGCTCGCGCTCGAGGGCGAGTGCGCCAAGTGGGAGCAGCGCTACCTCGAGGAGGCCGCGCTGAGGCAGGCCGCGGTCTCCGCCGCCTCCATACCCAAGTGAGCCGGCGCTCCCCTCCGCGTGGACCGCTTTCTTTGTGTGTGAAATGTCGTCACGTTAAGTGAATACCCGGGTTTGTAGATGCGTTGACAACCTTTCGGAAAGTGGGCCCTAACTCACTCACAAGACTAATCGCGAAAGTGTTACACTTCCGCTTAACACCGGTGTTCTGTAGGTCGTAAGGTCGTAGTACTTCCCCGGACGTGCCTGCCCATGCGTGCGGTTACCTGCTACCTCGACCACGTCACGGATAAACTGTGGGACGCGTGAAATTATTCATACTAAGCGTGACCTGTTGGTGAGGTACTGTAGGTACATGTGCTTAGTGGTTTGCAACACTTCACGTCTCTCGTGTTGCAAGTGTGGACATTTATAATGATAAAACTTACCGCTAGGTGAGCAGGGTACTAATTTTTCATCTCATTGAAATAAACAACAAGCGTCTACCGCTGCATCTCATCCTTCTGTGTAATACACATTTCATATGCACAAATTACACGAGGACAAACTTCCAGATCTGTAACAATTAACCAAGCAAAAAAAACTGTAATCTATCTTAATCAGATGCTACGTTTTTGTCGTAGGGACGTGAAAATCGCGGCACTCGAAAAGACGTCGGCCGAATCCGAGAGGTTAATGGCGGAGGCGCGGAGCGAAAAGATACGGCACATGGACGAGCTGCACTTGGCGCAGAAGAAAGTGGCCGATCTTGAGGGCAGGTATATAAACAACAGTTACTATGAGCTGGTGTATTAACCGCTTTAAAAAGTTAATCCAGAGTATTACCTATCTCTAGTCCAAATGACATCCAAATTCGTTCAGCCTTTTCGACATGTAGAGGTAACAAACGCCCTTACGCACAATATTTTGCTTTTTTAATATTAACGCTATTAATTTTAATTAAACAGCCCTACACTTTCGCTTATGATCAAATAGCAAATTTTTTTTTATAAACGTCCACACAACATTTTGTTAAATAAAACTATTTAGTTGACTTTTTGTTCTTACGTAACATCGAGAATTAAAATGAAAATTAAATGCATTATAATCCGTTTATTAGTTGTATAAGAAAAAATTAATTTATTCAGAATTTTTATTCGCGCAGTAACATTATTCGTCTAATATACTTTTTTGGGTGATAATCAACAGAGTGAAGGAGTTGGAATCGAAAGTCGCCGAACGCGATGCGATGATCAAAGTGCTGCAGAAACACACCAGCGCCGCCTACGATAGCGGTGCTTCGCTCAGGAACAACTCCAGTCGAGAGGAACTCGGTAAATGACAATGTTATACTTTCTATAGGCGTGTATCATCATCATCATCGTGGGTCCCCTTTCAAACATAGCCCCACGCTTTCTCTCGCACTCCTCGAAACCTCTAAAACGTGTTACCGTAGTAACTGACTCATTCATGCGTTCAAAACACATTGTCTTGACTGCATAAATACCGAATAATATTCGAAAAATAAAGTAACACCTCATACATGTCCCACTGCTGGGCAAAGGCCTCCTCTGTGCAGACGGTATTAGGGCATAATCCACCAAGCGGATAGGCGGAGTTCACATATTTATATTTGAAGTTTTACTTCTTTAGGCGCATTATGAAAAATTGTGAGAGTGAAATTTTAAGATGCGCGCGCATCACTGTAATACAAAAGTAACACCTTTGAAGCGGCCCGCTAAGCCGCTTCTATTTTATTGTAATTAATTATTTGCATGCAATTAAAAATATTTTTAATGATGTCAAAGAAATATCTTCCTAATACTTCTCACGCGCGTACGCAAGTACATGCACCTATTTTTTGTTATTAATTATTCTCCAATAAAAGCGTGTTAGTTCGTCCACAAATGAATGTGCGGTGTGTTGTGTTCAGTCGGGTTGTCGTCGGGCGCGTCGTTTTCGAGCGCGGAGGGCGTGGGCGTGGGCGGCGTGGGCAGCGTGGGCAGCGTGAGCGGCGGCGTGGCCTCGCGCTACCGCCATCTGGCGCGCAGGAACTACTCGCCCCACAACGACAACACCAGCGGTATGCTTACTAACGCCTTTCCATTAGAGCTTTAGAACGAGTTTGGGAAGTAGCGTCCCAGTGCAGTTGGGCTGTCATCTCGCGTTCGCAGGGTGCGGCTTCGACAGCAGCTCCCTGCGGCTGGACGAGCAGCTGGCGGCGCTGGAGTCGCGCCTGGAGCGGCCCCCCGTGCCGGCCGTGAGTTACCTGCCGCCCGCCGACCCGCCGCGCCACAACTACTACTGACCGCCGCCCCCCGTCCTCCCCCCCCCCCCCCCTCTTCACGCCTCCGCCCACCTCACCCACCCTGCCACTTCTAAACTCCCCACTTTCCCACCACCACTCCCTTCTCCATAAAAGCATTACGCAAACCGAATACCGTCCATATACATTATCTATGAAGGACTATGATTGGGTTGTTTAAAAGTGCGAAAACTTGAGTAAGAGTTGACTACAGAATTTGTCGAACTATCTATTTAGCTAGCTAGTCTTGTTACCGAAGAAATGGTGGGATTTAACAATCGGGTAATTTAACTTGTCTCTGCTTCTCGTAGGAAGAACCTAGCTGCTCAGTTCTCTTGTAATGCCTAGTGAGGTAACGCCTAATATCTCGTGATATTAGTTGCAACAATGCAAAACTGCATTAAATAAAGGCAGTGTATTTAACGGAGTCGGTTATGTTAATTTATTCAATATTTTCGTAAAGTATAAGTAAAAACATAGATCTTTTTCTTTATTAGATTATGATTGATAAATAATTTTTGTAATGCCATTTATTGAGAAATATTTAGGTCCTAAGTTAAGAACTTCTATATAAAAATATAGATCTATCGGAAGGTCGATTATGTATGTACATAATTATGATGGTATACAGCGTGTCGTTACCATCGCGACAATAAATGAACACACATATAGGGGATAAATTTTTAAAGTTGTATTAAACATTTAAATTCTTTAATCATCAATATTTACAGAGTTATTAAATTTTCCAAAACAAAGAATTTTAGAACAGCCTTACCTATAAAAGCGTAACGTAAAGTTAATTTGTAAAGGTCACAAAGCATATGAATGGGTTGAATGAATTTAAAAGAGACAAAACATACTGTTAGAAGGAGAGGCTTGTAACACGACGCTGTGGCGCGAGTTGTATAGGGTGTTACAAATTTTGTTTCTTTTTTACTTAATTAGTTTGTTTGAAAAATATATTTTATTAATTATTAATTTTGTTTAACGTTAATATTTTTTTATGATTATTGGCAAGTAGCGTTAGACGTGTGTTCATTTATTGTCGCGATGGTAACGACACGCTGTATATCATATTGTAAACAAATTATATTAATTCCTAAAAAGTATTATAACGACTGTTACTAATACTTCAATCAATGATTGATTATATTTTGAAATGTATTTTTAAATCAAGTTCTAATATTCTCTAAATTGAATAAAAATTATAATTGTCGCAATTTTATAAATCTCAAACATAGTACAATTACGTCAAGTTCAATTTTATATGGAAACATTCCGACACGACAGTATTTCGTACACACGCAACATTCCTCTTCAAACCGCTAAGCTTTTTTGTGTTCTGTGTGGTTTTAGATTGTTTGAAGTGATTTGTTTTATATCGCCTAACAAGCTTGCTAACAACCGCTGTTCGCCGTTTAAGTTCTCGTAGTAAGAATTGAAACGGGAGAATAAATCTCCAATAGTTTATGGAGTTTGTGATATTTGTATTATATTCTCGCGCGAGAACCTTATATATTTTTATATATTATTACAAAATGGATGATATTATATGTGCCTTAGGATCAGTGCCAATAACGAGTAGTTCGATTGACTTCATCGGAATCTCAGAAATGTTCTGGAAACTCAACTCCACTAGTCGAAGTCACTTCAAGTGATCCTTCCGTCGGTTAGTCGATCAGACAGTAAGTTTAGCTTATTTATATAAAACTATATAAGTACAGGTATGGGGCATTGGACGCAAATGTTACGCCAAAGTTAGGATAGAGGTGTATTCGGATTATATTCTCCGTAATGTCGCTAGACGCATTGTAAAAATATTTCTTTGGTTAGATGTAAGTTTCCCGTCTTTTGTATTTATTTTCTTTTCAACTGTACGGAGAAAATGTGGTATTATATTATATATCATGCAGCCTTTGGAATAATATTTATGTTACTCATAATCAAAATGTTATTTCTTTTTTTTTTAAAGCGCCGCTTTATTTATTAATATTTTTGCCTATTTTGTCTTTGATATTAAAGATAAATTTAAGGTTTTAATGATTGTTTTTACATATTACAAAACGCATTTTTCGATGAACTCTACCATTCCGAGGCTTATTAACTAGATTTATGGTGTTATTATAAGTCAATGTAAGCGGAATAGTTATTTTCTTACTATATTTTGTACTTGATATATTTTTTGGAAACATATGCATGTTTAAAAATAAAAAAAAGAATAAAAGTGATGTTTTGTTCGTTGTAGTTTTACTAGATACCCTAACACTTGCTTCGTACTGCTCTAATAACCTTCAATTCTGCCGTACGATGAAAATATGCATTAACGTTAAATATTTTAAATAAAACTGCCAAGTTATAAATAGTTTTTATGATTCCCCTAATTAACATTGTGTGCTTTGTTTGGAGTGTTCTGGTTGAAATAATAATTTCACTGCTCCAATAAGAGACTGCCGTTCAACATGCGAATCGATAATAATCTTTATTAAACCTTCTTTGGTGGGGTATATTTTTACGATATACAACAAAAAGTTATTCAAGAAAGAAGATCGTGGGAAACTCATATTGGAGCAGATTGTGATATATTTATCCATACCTGACTACATCCCTCAGGTAAGACACAATAATTAAATAATGCTTTTTTTTGTGCAAGTTCATATTAATTTCACAATGTTGTGATCTATAAACAAGAAAGATTCGTTGATACCTCATTCTGCAAACAAGTCTTTACAGAACAATTTTTCTCAGTGTACAGAAATATAAAATATTCTACAGTTAAAAAAATGTGTATGTCAACGAATGATCGTCGTTTGTAGATTTGACTGAAAGCATTGTTAATATCGTCATTTAGACTACATTTAAATAGCTCTACATTTTTGCCCTTTTATAACACGTCACGACTGCTGTTCCACGCTGTTTACACGTTCGTTTTTTAAAACTATACGGCAATTTATATTAATCAACCGAGACTTCCTAACGCATTCAAACTATGTATGCAATTAAATTAATTGAAAAGTTATAGGGCGTAAAAATGTTTCTAAGGCACCGATCAACCTCGGGTATAGCTGATGTCCATTGGCGGTGGTATTCACTTAACATCAGGTGAACCGTCTCCCCGCTTGGCAACTTTTCTCGTAAAAAAATGACAAGATGACCGTTGCAATTCGAAATTCAATTAGTAATAATTTCTAATTTTTCTACACATAATACGGAACATAAACCATAAAGTATTTCAGTAGCGGTCACAACTGATCCGGTTCCGATTCATTTATTTAACGAATTACCTCAAACAATAAGGGTACCCCAATTACATTTGGATCGATCAACACAAGTAGGCCTTATACAGGAAGGCCTTTTTAAGTGTATCCATTTATTTTTATTCAATTCTAGACATAAATAATGATAACATTGATTGAACGAGTTATTTTTATAAAAATGATAAATATTTAAAATCACTCGTAATTAATTAAATACATTCATTTGAACTTAACTCAAAATGTGCGTGATTTATGGGCAACTCATTTATTTTACGCGCGATCATTCATAACTAACACGAACACAAGTTCGTTACAAAAGTATACGACGCATTTATGAATTACTAGCTGTTGCCTGCGACTACGTCTGCGTAGAATAAGCTGAAGGCGTAACATTCAGACAGAAAGATAGATATACATAAAATATGTATATATTGTTATTCTGATGTATAAGCTACATTATTGTAAAGTTTCATTAAAATCCATTAAGTAGTATTAGTAACATCCATCCATACATGCAAACTTTCGCCTTTATAATATTAGTTAGAATAGTAAGGACTACCGCATTGTCAACAAGTTCTGTTTTTTAAGGAAAGGAATGGCAATTAAAAAAAAATTGTTTGTTTTTATTTCAATAAACGATTATATTACCGAATCTGAACCTCCTGTGTGAATTTGGGCACCTTTAGAAAAGCCACCCTGTATAATACTGCTGTAGCTTGTATATCGTGATTACCCGTGGTACTCGCGCAGATAGTATATGTGTGTTCGTATAAATTTAATCGAGTGGCGCCGGTGGCGTGTCGACAGCGCGGGCTGTGCTGCTTCCCGGGCCTGGGGGCGGTGGGGGGGCGCGCGGGGGGCGGGCGCGGCGAGGAGGCGCTGCTGCTGGAGCGGCAGGGGCGCGCCTCGCAGCAGACGCGCTCCTCGAGCCTGCCGCCGCCGCCCTCTGCCCTGCCCCGCCCGCCGCGAAAGCCCTCCGCCAGGAACACCCGATACGACCGCCTCGAGCACAGGGACGCGAGAAAGGTGCGCCCCCCGTCGGCCTCCACTGCGCTGTGGTAGACCACGTATGATGTTCCCAGGGCAGTGTGGGTGCGCGATGGGAAAGACGGTAAAAATGTCGAGAGTATGAAAGAGACTAAAAGGATATTTTTAAATGTGAGACCTTCAAATATTCTCAGATATAATAAATATTGAACAGTCACTTTCTTAAATATCGAGCGCATTTTTATTAAGCATTTAGATCTTTATGAATCTTAAATTGCGTGTCAGATTTAAAAAAAATCAGGCGAGTACCATTTTGCTATACCGTTAAATAATGAACTTTACGACTGATCCAATTTAATTTATAATAGGGCTAATGTCCAGTCTGAGCTATGTCTTCATATATCCACCTACACGAACATGGACAGTGCTATTTCTTAAATTATGTTCGTCCCGTTTTCCAGGATTCAGACGGGTCCGGTTCAATAGCGTCGAGCGCGTCGCGCAGTTCGCCTTTGCCCTACGACGCGGTACGGAAACTGCCCTCCGTGCCCACGTCTGCCTCCCTCCCGGCAGCCGAATCCCGGGAGTCCCTAGTTCGGCCCCGGGACTCAAGCCTACCTTCGCCGTCCAAGCTAGCCGTGTACGCGGCAGCCAGGCGGCGTTCAGCAGAGTCCGCTAAGGACAATAAGAGACCGCAACATCACTACCGAATCCAATTTTAAATAAAAAAAAAACAACAATGTTTTTACGGCGAAATATTAAGTATAATGTGAACTTTGTAATTGATGAACAGACAAACTGGAAACCGAGACAATTGCATTCGTCAAGAACATGGCTCAACATGAAGTTAGATAAGAAAGAGTTTTAACAATAATAGATTTCACACTACATAAGATTATACAACGTTCAAGAAAAAATCTTTTTGCTATAGCTCAGTTCAAAATCTTCGAAAATATTTCTTGCTGAATTTCAAACTTTTGAACACACACCACAAATAACACTTACATATACATATATATATGTATGTTGCTTTTTAATATAGTCTGACATCGTCACAAACTCTTAATGTTACCCAAAAAGCGTTTAATAAAATAAAAGAAAACAATTGGGCGGGTTTTGTTACGAAGGCAAAACGAAATTCATGATAACGCCACAAAATAGGGCATATTGCTTAACCAGGATTTGATGAATAAATTTGAATAGATCCATTTATTTGAAACGCGATCACGAAACTACCAAAGGTTAAGTAGGCGATAGCTTGTTATGTTTACTTCATGCGTGTAAGTTTGAGTTGTAGTAAAGCAAAATTTAGTGTAGCGAAATTTGTTTTTTTTTTTAGATTCTTAAGTTTATGTACACGTAACGTACATCGTATTTACACGCAAGTGTTTAGATAATTGGAACTAATTAAGACATTAGTTTCCAATATTATCTTAGCTTGAAGACTGAGCAAAACTATTTCTTCATATTTTATAATATACATATAGCTCACGGTGAGTATTTGAACATTATGTTTTGTGAAATATATACGGAAAGTTATAAGAGTGAGACACAGGTTTTGCCCTTTCATTTTACATATCATATATTCATAATTAATATAACATATTATTAGTATGATTAATAATTAGCTACTTCCATATGCCAATCCTGATGACATACTCATTAACGAGACATTTGTGGCCATACACTTGGATTAATATAAAGTGATTTCAACTGAAAGGCTGGACCGGTTAACCTAAGAATAAAAGTACAAAATGTAACAAAACGTTTCTTCAATTTCCGAATAACTCGACACTCGTTGCATCTATTTCGGTAAGAAATTGCTTGTATCACGATGGACTCGGGTTGGTTAGGTTTCATAATTTTGCGTGTGCGTGTGCGTGTTTGCATATTAATCTTACGAGGCTATACGTTTACGGAGGAGGATGTAAGTTTTGAATTTTTTGTACAAATTTGAATACCGAAAATTATTACGATTTACGATTCAATGCGAAAATTAATATATCAAAATGAATTGTGTTAAACAATGATGTATAAGATTTTTTTTTTAGAAATAATGTCAAAATGTTTTATACACAATTAAAATACTAAATGATCTTTTTTTGTTTTTATGCGAAACCAAAATGCGTAATGCAGTTGTATTTTCTCTAAATAAACATTTTAAGTCTTTTTTTTTTCATGTGTGTAACAGTAGCACTATTTTTACTCGACAGCGCCAGAAGGAGGGTTATGTTTTTTGAGAGTATGTATGTATGTATTTATTTTTTGGCACGCTCTGCAGCTTGAACGGCTTGATGGATTTAGCTTGAGAGGTGTCGTTAGATTCGTGTTTACTTTGAGAGTGACACTGGGTATATCAAAATAAAAAAATACACAGAAACGCAGTTGAGTCTGAAGACTGAAACAATTATTTGTATCATATTTGACTGAATATCATTGGATCTACTTTAGGTGTTTTTGGATGCCAGCAAATTATTTACATATTTTTTTTTTTTGAAAGATGTTGAACTGTCAATGCAAATCTACTGATAGTTTGTAATCTTTCACAAAAAATGAAAAATATTATAATTGGAGCAGATATATAAACATCGCAGATATGTCGCAAATTATACAGAGAAATAAAAACTTCATGTATTGTTTTATTTGACATATTACGGTTTTCTATAGAGCCTCTAATAATAAATATATAATTCATAAAGAAATCTGCCACATTTTTTGCGTTTCATAGTTAGTCTTCCAAAACCGCTGAAGTTATAAAGCTTGTCAACTGTCGTTGTTGTCTGTATTAACTATTGTTGTCTCGTATTTATTCTATGGATACAATTTAATATAAACATACAAGACCAATATTATTTACACCTGTATTGTACTCGATTTAAATGTTATAATATATATTGCCAGAAGAGTCACACGCTTTGTGACATAGATTTCGAAGGAGATGTTTATTAAACGGAGAATTAAAATATACTTCGTGGAGAGGAATATGATCGAGTGATTGACGATAGGATATAATTTAGGTGACCTTGATCCTGACATATGCGCGTAGAGCGCGAATGAGGCCAAGCGGCGACCTCGCGCGGGCCGCTTGCGCAACGCCGCACTGCCTGCATACGCGCCATAGAGCGAGGCTGAAATTGGGACGTCGGTAATGGACGTGCCGCCACGATCAGCGGAACGTTCTAGTATAAAGAGTAGTGTCTCATATGTGTTTTCATCTGGAAGCGTCTATAAAAACGGGCCAAGTGCGAGTCGGACTCGCGCACGAAGGGTTCCGTACCATTATTTATAAAAATGGCAAAAAAATTATGTCTGTTGTATGGGAGGCCCCATTTAAATATTTTTATTTAAATGGGGGCTTTTGTTTTTTAGTATTTTTTGTTATAGCGGCAACAGAAATACTTTTTTTGTGAAAATTTTAACCCTCTAACTATCACATTTCATGAGATACAGCCCGGTGAAAGACAGAAATACAAACAGCGGAGTCTTAGTATTAGAGGCCCGTTTTACCCTTTGGGTACGGAACCCTAAAAGTATACTAATGATGGTTCAATAAAAAGCGCCAATCGTCTATGATAAATCAATTGATAACGTGGAGCCATGTAGAATTATAAATTAAATTAAATTTTATGGTACTGTCGCTTTTATCATAAATTTAATTAAATCATGCGAAGGAAGGCAAACAAGCAAGTGGGTCACCTGATCACCAACACCCGTGTTGCCATGGCAGACAAAAGCGTTTTTAAATCTTTCTTTCGACTGCACTTTTATGTATTTAATAAACAAAGATTATCGTAGCTATCCTGTGAGAGGACGTTGAAGCAATAGTAAAAATTTATTCAGATCAAAATAATGTGAATTCTTTTTAGAAGATAACTTCTTAAACTCGCTTTCACAAATATTTAATCTTGTCCCCCTGACATACAGACTAGAGTACATCTAAAACCTATTATGATATTTATAAATCTAGAACTATAACCATCGTAAATTTGGCACCATCGCATGTGTGATATTGTGAAAAATTAAGCATTCGAACAGCAACCTGATACTTTTTAATATTTCCGTCCAATGAAAGATATTATTACAAACAAATAAGAGGAACATAATTATGGCACTTGCGCACCGAAACTGATGCACTCAAATTACGCCAATTGGTGTAATTACATTGCAACTTATTAGACTGTTATATCTTTGCGTATCATACGTTCTATATTATCACATTATATTATATATCACATTAACTTATACATGTCAAAATCGAACAATTTTAAACGCCGCTCTGTATGGACATTCGTCATCTTTAGTAAACATTTGATTTCCGTCTGTCTAGCGACACTTTCATATTAGTTCTTTATATCTCTTGAATAAATATTTAGATGTATAAGACAATATGAGTTGTTTGTATATGTTTAGAGATTTTTTAAAAAATTTTGTATCATAAGAGGTAATTAACACAGTTTCTATCAATATTTGCATGTTTTAGTACTTGTGTCTGTTATTTATGTCAAGGTCAAAGTCAATTTTAGCCTTAAAAATCTTATCAGGAATTTAATATTTACTGATTTTGCACTTCTAATCCTTTGAAACGCTCTAAATAATTTAAATGATAATTCAAAAATTGAAGAATTAAATTGATAACAGTATTTTCAACAAGCCAAAGTCACTTAGATAATTATAAAGGTAGCTAAGAATATTAAACTCGACCCGGAAAGAAAAATGCTAACATGGAATTATTACAAAATATATATTAAGTACTGAATTGTTTTGCATTTTAAATGAAAAATCTGCATAACTGTAATGTTTAAGAAGCATAAAAATTACTCCAATTCGCAACGATTTTTAAAAAGTAGAATTTATTTAAATATCTCAAAGAAAAATTTTACGGCTACTTCATATTAATGCTATTAAAAAATTAGGCTATCTTCACAAATGCGAGCAATTAAATTGCAATAATAAAGCGACACCAGCGCCAGCCGTGCTTCGCTTGACACAGAAACAGTGTCGCGTTGAGCGTTAGGATGTTTGTTTCATATTCCGCTTCGTGCTCTCGTACGGAACGGACGTCTCTCTAAGACGGAGGGCACATGCCACCCGAATTAGACGCTACTCGCAACTTTGGTTGCAATTTAAATATTTGTGCAAGTAGTGCAATAGTTTAGTGTTAGTGTAGTGTTGTGCTCGTAGGCAGGTTCCTGTCCGTAAGTAGAATTCTACACACATTTCTCGCCTCAGAGGCGGCATTGCCTAATTTTTAACTGTGTGCTTGTTGCATTGGGCGACAGCTAGGTACTCACCCTAGCGCACCTAAAGCGCAGGCGAATTAAGTGTTATTTTTAGGCACACTCCTCCCTGCCGCAAGGTGGGGAGGCTTATTAAGCTTACACACGCCGGCGGGGCCTAAGCCCCAAAGGCACGTACGTTACGATGGGCTCTCTTTTCGAGGAGTTCGTCCGACAACGCTGTCCCTACATTTGGGAAAGCTACCTAGCGTTCGAACCCGAACAACGATTAGTCGTTGAATACGCCAATGACAGCCCGCCTTCACCGGCAATCGCATCGCCGCCATCTCCGGCGCCCTCTGCGCCCGTAACCCCGTTGCCTTCCGCGACGCAAGAAGCGCCCGTCGCGTCGACATCCGCCACTGCGAACACGCCCGTCGCGCATTCCTCGCAAGCTACCCCGGCCTCCTTGTGCACCGTCGTACTCGACTCATACTCGGACG